TTCAAAGAGTCGCCCCATCCAGATGAGAAGCAGAGGCAGCAGCTGAGCAAGCAATTAGGCCTTGCTCCAAGGCAGGTCAAGTTTTGGTTCCAAAATCGTCGAACCCAAATCAAGGTACTTAATTTCATTTTCTGATCATTTCTATTGACAGTGTTGCTTCTTATTCTTTTAAATAATTTGTAACGAAGAATGGGATGGTTGGTTCTTTTTCACAGGCCATACAAGAGCGCCATGAGAACTCTTTGTTGAAAGGAGAAATGGAGAAACTCAGAGATGAGAACAAGGCAATGAGGGAGCAAATAAACAAATCTTGTTGCCCCAACTGTGGCACTGCAACCACTAGCAGAGATGCCAGCCTCACGACCGAAGAGCAACAACTGCGAATCGAAAATGCCAGACTTAAATCCGAGGTTCGAATTTTGTAAAATGCTCGAGTTAATATTGTACATGTCACATGTTTGGAAGTGACTAAGTCGATCCAATATATAATATGTAGGTTGAAAAACTCAGAGCAGCTCTTGTGAAAAATCCTCCTGGGACATCCTCTCCTTCATGTTCTTCTGGGCATGACCAGGAGAACAGAAGCTCTTTGGACTTCTATACTGGAATTTTTGGTCTAGAGAAGTCGAGGATTATGGAGATAGTGAATCAAGCTATGGAGGAGCTTAAGAAGATGGCCACTGCAGGGGAACCACTCTGGGTTCGGAGTGTGGAGACTGGCCGCGAAATACTTAACTATGATGAGTACATCAAAGAGTTCAACATTGAAATTCCTGGAAATGGGAGGCCGAAGAGATCCATCGAGGCCTCCAGAGAGACAGGGGTGGTGTTTGTGGATATGCCGCGGCTGGTTCAGAGTTTCATGGATGTGGTACACACTAGCACCTCTTGTATGCATGAAGCTGAAATCTTATATCATGCCAAGTCTTATTGCCTTGTAGGTACAAGAATTGCTAGCTAATACCTTTAATATTATGATTTTGATCTGCAGAATCAATGGAAGGAAATGTTTCCGTGCATGATCTCGAAGGCAGCCACTGTAGATGTTATCAGCAATGGTGAAGGAGACAATAGAAATGGTGCTGTACAATTGGTAAGCTGCAGAATTATGCCCTTTTTTGTTTCCTTTTCTCCATAAACATAGAAACCCATTTTCTTTCATTTGGATGAGCTGCAAAGTTCGTTTTTGACATGAATACGTAAGATCAGTCTGCCTGCAGCATAGATCAAAGCCTTTTGCAGATGTTTGATAGTTGAGTGTGGTTGCAGATGTTTGCAGAGCTTCAAATGCTTACACCATTAGTTCCCACAAGAGAAGTGTACTTTGTTCGATGCTGCAAGCAACTGAGTGCTGAGCAATGGGCTATCGTAGATGTTTCGATTGACAAAGTTGAAGATAACATCGATGCATCGTTGGTGAAATGCAGAAAGCGTCCCTCTGGTTGCATCATTGAGGACAAATCAAATGGCCATTGCAAGGTATTGAGATATGTTTAGCAAATGTCAATATTTTAATCTTGTGTGCATAGAACATAACATTAGATCGGCATCCTTTGGTGAGATTTTCAATTCATTCATTGACTGCATTTCAAGAACCTAGACTCCCCCGAGTGTGAATTTTGGGACATCAGAATTTTAGATGAAGTACCTACATGAGTATTGGTTTTGTTTTGACAATTGACTTTGGCCAGGGAATGGAAACTACACAAAAATGAAAACAGAAACACAGAGGTGAAAATGATAGAGCCATGCATAAATATTCAGTGGTGCAAACAAGGTTTATAATGATCTAATAATGGTCTACAGGTAATCTGGGTAGAACACTTAGAATGCCAGAAAAGCACAATTCAGACCATGTACCGCACTATTGTCAACAGCGGTCTAGCATTCGGTGCAAGACATTGGGTTGCAACGCTACAACTGCAATGCGAACGGCTCGTTTTTTTCATGGCAACCAATGTTCCTATGAAGGATTCAACTGGTATGTCCAAGTTAAACAGAATTCAAACACATACAGAATCGCTGCAGCAGGGGACATATAGTCTCTAATCAAATGCTTGATACTGATTACTGAATATTAGGTGTAGCCACCCTGGCTGGAAGAAAAAGCATATTAAAATTGGCACAAAGAATGACATGGAGTTTTTGTCGTGCAATCGGAGCATCAAGCTATCATACCTGGACTAAGATCTCAAGCAAGACAGGTGATGACATAAGGATTGCCTCCAGGAAGAACTTGAATGACCCTGGAGAACCTCTCGGCGTGATCTTGTGTGCAGTTTCTTCAGTATGGTTGCCTGTCTGTCCTTACGTCCTCTTCGATTTCTTAAGAGATGAGACTCGCAGGAATGAGGTTAGCAAAGATGGCTCTGTTTACAATACAACTGTACTAATCAATAATCATTTTAATTGTTAGGATAATGTTTGACAGTTTTTTGCTCTCTAATTGCTAGTGGGACATTATGTTAAATGGAGGCCCAGCTCAAACAATTGCCAACCTATCCAAAGGACAAGATCGTGGCAATGCTGTTACTATCCAAGTGGGTTCTCGTTCTTCACGCACAAGTTAATAAGCCTCATATTTCTAATGCAAAATATTCATAATTTTTGCTAATATATTTTGGAATTCCAATCTTTCAGACGATGAAATCAAAAGAGAACAGCATGTGGATACTGCAAGATACCTGCATAAATTCTTATGAGTCCATGGTGGTCTATGCTCCGGTGGATATCACTGGCATGCAGTCCGTGATGACCGGATGTGACGCAAGCAACATTGCCATATTGCCTTCCGGGTTCTCAATTCTTCCAGACGGGCTGGAGTCAAGGCCTATGGTCATCACTTCCAGGCAAGAAGACAGAAGCAGTGAAGGAGGAACTTTGCTGACAGCAGCATTTCAAGTCTTAACTAATTCCTCTCCTACAGCCAAACTAACTATGGAATCTGTGGAGTCTGTCAACACCCTTATATCATGTACCTTGAGAAATATTAAAACAAGCTTGCAGTGTGAGGATGGCTGATCACCACCACTTTATTAATTAGCTAGACATAGTTAACAGTTAAACATAGGGTTTTCTTTCTTCTTTTTGGAATTACCAGTGGTTTTAGCATATGTTTTGTGAGTTTGTTTCATTCGTTTTGGTTGGAATGGGTGACTTGTACTGGGAGGCAAGTCTACATCAGTATTCTGGCAAGATTTGATTTATAATCTTTATAGTTTTACAAATTTCCATGTACAGAACTATTTATCAATGTGAAATTTGCTTAAAGTTAATTGGTATTGCATTCTTACCATCTGAAATGGTTCAGATAAGGCCATACCATGCATTACAGCAGATAATATCCTGCAGAATACTATCAGTCACCATGGTGATTCTTGTTGGCTTAACACTATCAGTCACCATGGTAAACCATCATTTACCTTAAGGTTAAAGAAAGTAGCACATGTTACAAGTCAGATGTAATTTACTTCAACTCTAACTGGCATTGGATTACTACTGACAAATTGACCGCCTACATCATGCTGTCATTGAAGATGCAGCAGTCCCCACAAAGATGAGAGATTGGAGATACCCTTCTTTACTTCTATCAACTAGCTCAATAATTTATTTCTACATATAGACTTTCAGCATTATGATCATTCTTCACTGAATGGCAACACTTGAACTTTACACAACAAGAATCACAAAAGACTCATTTGCAGCAACATCAGCGATTATGCACTTCCTTGTCAGTCAATTTCATGCAATTTGTCAGATTAAAAAAGAAAAAGGAATGAAAAGTTTTACTTCCAACTATTTCAGTCCCCTTTTATACACCAGACTTCATACTTCAGTAATTAAGTATCAGCACTTTAAACATCCAATCTTTGTTTCAAATTCCATAAAATAGCATTTCCTGGACAAACAAACTTACAATTTACATCTATTCAGCTTAATGAAACCAGCTAGTAGTTTAATGGCATCTCCTCAATACTTAGTCTATGTTTATCTCATATTTATCGGTCATGGCAAGTAAATAATCCAAAAACCATATGTAGTGAAAACAGAACATGTTCTAGCAAAAGGTCCCAGCCTCACAAGGTTTCTAACTTGACAAGAATATAGCTCGGACTTGCTCATGGAAACACAAGTAACAACAACGATTAAGAGGAAAATCACCCCCTATGACTATAACAATCACTCAAATGCTAAATTTCTTCCAGTTGAGAAACCAAACCTGAAAACTAAATAAAACCCTACATTGCAAATACTAACAACCACCACTTACGGGCATATTGTCAACCAGCTGTTCCAAGTTCCTCCTGACAGCATAGGGTGATGATCAACTCCAAGGATTAGTGTCAGTTGCTCACTTGTAGTATTAACCAATGTGATTCAAGGTAATCAAAAGACCACTCTGATGGTATTAACTCAAGAGACTACAGCTAGAGAAATCAGATAGTAGCAAAAGTTCTAATTTTCCCCAATATTTGACTAATACAAACTTCTTTTTGTGTCAAGAGCATATATCACCTTAAATTTACCCTGTAAAACACAATTACTCCAACCCAATAGGAGTACCAATTTCCACATTAAATTCAGCAAGCAAGAAAAATTCTTTCATAGTTTTACAACGAATTTAAACCCACAAACGATCACATTCATGCCTTCTTTTACTCACATTCCTCACACTTTCCTACTCTCATGTATGCATTAATCCAAATTCACTGAACACTACCTACATTAGATTTGCGGATTCTTCAATTCCCAATCCAAACCAAATTCATGGAAAGCTAAATCCACACAATTCAATCTAGAAGTATAACGAAACCCATAACACCAGAATTAGAACAAAATCAGTTAAATAAGTTAATATGAAATCCATTACCAAAAACCCATTAAAATTACACTAATTCCATGCAACAAAAGCTTAAGCATTGAATCATTTTCGACCAAATTACACAAATTCTCATTCCAAATCACAAAATGAACAATCAAACAGCAACATGGACCGCACTCTAAACCTGCTGAGACTCCAAAGTAATCCCAAGCTCTTTGGACGCATCTTCTTCACCAGACTTGCTCTTCACATTCTTGGCAGGAAGCGGAACAGCAATGAAAGTCTTGGTCTTGCTAATGGGTCTGCTTTTTTCAAGCTGCACAACGTCCCCAACCTGGAACTGGTTCTCTGGGTCGTGAGCCTGGTACTTCTTCTTCTTCCTCACCCTCCTCTTGTACTTCGGGTGTGGGGCCAGGCGAGTGACCTCAACGGCGACGGTCTTGTCGCTTGTGGAGCAGACGACTCGGCCTTGAAGGTACTTCAGGGCTCTAACGGGAGGGAGGAAAGAGTGGCGTTGAAGGGTTGGGAAGGAGAGAGAGGAAGTAGGTTTGGAGAGAGGAGAGAGAGGGGTGGAGGAGCCATGGAGGAATTGGGTGGAGAGCTTGGGAGAAAGGTGGAGAAGCGAAGCTGTGAGTGACATTTTCTTTGGTTTGATGTTCGAGTTTGGAGTTTTTGGGTAAAAAAAGGCAGGAAAGGATAAGAGGGATGGGATGAGGTGGTGTCTCTCTCCACTCTATCTTCTGGATTGGGATTTTAGGAATTTTGGGTTTCTCTATTGAATTTTTCTATGTACACCCAAAAAATAAGAAAATGGTTTTTGGACACATAATTTTCATGCCATTCATGTTTAAATTTGAAACTTATATGAACTAGCTCTTGGTGTTAGTAATATTCATTTTTTCAATATTATAAAATTCTAAATTAAAATCTAAAGTTAATTTGAGACTCAACTCTCCAAACATTTCAGACCCAAAAACCTACATGAAAATAGGTCTAGTAAATATTCTGTTTATTTAGCCCACATATGTTGATTTTGTGCTTGCAAGAAATTCTTGAGTTCGACTGCCGGGCCAAGTAATCCACATGTAACAGCAAAATTTGTATTTTGGTCTAACTAGATCTCACTCTAGTTCTACTCCGTCCCATGTTGGTTCTAATTTTTTTTTTTAGCGTGTTGTTGTTTACGACAGACGTACATCTCGGATGCTTGCATCATCTACAGCAGTGAGGCTCCGCTGGCTGGATGATCCTGGACGACGAGGCCTGCATTAGTTTGCTCATAACATGCATGATATGCAGGTGTGTCCAAGTCTAGTGATCGATCATGTGCTTATGCTTTGTTCGTTGCAATTTAGTGAACATCAATGCTCCCATGCCTCATTGTGTCTAGCTTGACTGAAATTGCCAATTCTCGTGCCTGTTATCTTTTAAACCTTGAGGAGGATTAATTTGTACGGATGCGATTATAAAATTCCCAAATTTCTTTTGGCGTGAAATCTGGATCCATTGTAATTAGTGCTCACCGCATATGTTTTGTTTTGAGCATCTTCATGATGTTTTTAGTGATTTCGTTAAAATAAAGAGGGTTGGATCAAAGTGGTGCTATAATTGCCAATGAAGTAAAAAATAATTAAGATTATTCCTAAAAATATTATACTAGTTAAGATTAATATAATGTGTGTTTTCAGTTCAAAATCAATTGGTAGTGGATAAAAAGGTTAATCTTAGGATGATTCTTAAAAATATTAAGGCAAAGCTTTCATTTCCAATATAGGATAATACTCTTAACATGCCCCTTCGCATATGGCGCCACTCGAACTAAACAGTGAACAATACATTATTAAGTGACACATGTAGTTGTGGGGATCAACACGTAGATAACCTTCTATAATAACATTAGAATGTGAACATCCAATCAATCATTTAAACTAGGACAATATGCTTGGCTCTTGATATATTAGAAGTCATTCCTCAACACATGATATGGCCTCTCAACACATGATGTGGCCTCCTTAAAAAAGACACATGTTTCTTTCTGTTTTTCATTGACTCTCCCTTTCTCTCCTCACCCAATGTGCGGCTATACTCTTGACATGTATTGAAATATTTAAACAGTATAGCAGCACGGCTATACTTTTTAGATAAATTTGTATATTTATTAAGTCTAGCCGTTCGGCTATACTATTTAAAATTCGAAAGTGGATCCATTATCATATTTTTCTTTTAATTTTAATTTTTTAATATGAAAAAGTGTAAATTTACCATATCATCCTCATTTAATTAATAATTTCAATTATTAATGTTTGCATTAACCAAGGACATTTTTTAGTATTTTGAATGTTTCACCATCAGGAACGAACCTACCCTTTAGCTAACTTGGGCTATAGCCTAAGCGACTTTGTCTTTTTTCAACCTTAACTAATACACCCAGCCCAGCGAATAGACAACCGTGCACCATGCATTGCACTCTTTTATTGGTTGTGCGCCCCTTGGGTGCTCCACTGTTATGAGCCTACGACTTTCCACTGAGCACATCACACTGAAAATAACAAAAATATATGGTCACTCGTTTTTTATTTCTTTTTTCTTTTTTGGTTGCAATTTTGCACTAGAAATATTAATATATAAGTCAGGGTCAGTTACCTCAACCCTAAGCCTTCACCTTTTTTATTTTTTTTTGGGTACAAAAAGGGCCAAAGGCTAAACCCCCATTTTTTGGTCGAAAATACCCCTATTTTATTTTTTGATAGAAAATAAATTGTCTTTCACTTCACACCCCCCCTGCCCGTAGAAAACAAAAAAGAGATATGTACTAGATGAATTTTATGGGGTAAAGCTCATTATGTCCTCTTGATTAGGATATATTTTTTGTGATCAATGAAATTCACTCGTACTGTCGAGTTTTCTATCTTCTTAATAGGTTTGTGCGTAATGTAAATTTAGTCCATCCTAATTTGAAATCTTGGATCCATCCCTGTTCACCATTCTCTGTTTTTTGCTTTATATATATATATATATATATATATATATATATATACAAATAGATAAGATGCCTAGGATCACAAGGCCATATTAAATTACAAACGGGTACATGCAAATGTGTAGTAAATACAAGCACGAAATGCAGCTATGCAAAATTTATTGGAAATTCTACTCTTATCATATTTTCTATATTTCTATACGGTATTTTTATACCACCTTATGTGGTATCTAACTTACACATGCCACATCAATTACTTATGTGTCAGTTATGTTTTAATTTTATTCTCTTTTTGTTAAAGCAACTAATTCATTACTATTTTCATGCCTTCGCACTGCCCTCCACCGATTGGTTTTTCATCATCGGCATAAGTCCACAGTGAAAACCAATATAGGACTCCAGATCTATAACTTCTTATATTTGACATAAATTTTGTGTTACCTTATATTAATAGGAAGACATAATTAGTATACTTATATATGCAAAAAAACTCACGAATCATTCCCCTTTAATAGGTAGACTAACTCAACACTCGAACCTTATTGGTAAGTACGTAGTTACATAAACCCCTGCTACCTAGGTACACAAATGGGGCAAAAAGAAGAAGGAGAGAACCACCAACGTTGAAGGAGAAGAAATTTAAATTTAAGTGGTGTGTAGAGTTTTTTTTCTTTTGGTGGAAGGGTGTGAGAGACATTGGGGAAGGAAAGGGTAGGTTTGTATTATAAATGGTAATTGTCCAATTAATTTCAAAATGAATGGAGTTTTTTTGGTAAAAAAAAATAACAAAGAGATATTATTGGGAGTAAAATGAGCATTGGGAAACCTATCTTGTTCAGAAAATCAGCTGACACTTCATTCATTCGAATTTTGATATAACCCCAAAAAAATGAGCCTAATTGATCTTAAAAAAACCCATGGCTTTTTCCATGAATGCTTGAATTTTTGAGTTAATATCTAATTTTTTAAAATTGTTGGACTATATAACACTTTACTTATTTATTTATTTTGAAATATAACTAATTTTTTTTATAAATTAAAAAATCTACAGTACATAGTTCCGAGTTGCAAGTCTAAAGTTTGTGATTTGAGTCAAATAAAATAAAAAGTTATTTAGTACCTTAAACTTTAAAGTAACCATTTTGTTTTTTTGCCAATGTTGAAATATTGCATTCATAATTTAGATATAAGGGCCGTTAGCTACAAATGCTACAAATACAATATTCCCAAGGGCCAATACAATACAATACAAATACACTAACTACAAATTCTTCATAAAAATATGGAGAGGTCCAATGATAACATCAAGCTCACACACTATACCTCAACTCCCATGTAGAGCCAAAGAAATTCTCATGCCAAGAGTCTAAATTTTAAAGTTACCATTCGACAACAGAAAAGAGTAAGAAAAATAAACTTCAAACCCTAAAATACACACTCATGAAGACTTGAATAAACTTCAACACCTTCAAAAGCAACAATTTAAAATTTTGCTGAAATAAAATAATGAATTCTAATTGAAAATAAGACTGAGTTCGAATCCAACATTGCATTCTTGTTTTTGTCTTCCAAAACTCCAAAAACAAGAATACATAACATAAAAGAAAAAGAATTACATGTTGTGGAGTTTTGCATCTGCAAACCACACGTCATTTTTGAGGTTCATCGTCGTTTTGATTTTCAGCTTTATCTGTATTTCTTTTGGGCTGTAGTTCTCAAACTTTGAACCCTCATGAGTACTGTCTTGGGGGAGCTTATTCAAGCAAATATTTCTTCAATACATAAGAGTTAGGTTATTCATGTAAAACTCTTTGTGGATTAAACATCTAAGGCTTTTTACCTAGATTGGCCTTATTAGGTCCCCTCATGCATTTATATCATACATGAAAAATTGTTTTATGTAAAAATATTGGCTAAGTATAAAAAATGATTTTTCGGAATAATCATTTTCTCAAGATAATTTTTGGCGGCTTTTATTCCTTACACATCAAATAAGAAAACTTGATTTTATGAGATTTTATTATGAAGTATATATTGACTTAATGAGCCATCATTTTTAGCCTAAATTGTATTTTGCACTAAAATCGATTTTTCATATTTTGATTTGGTGGGAATTTGATTTTCTAGTATTTTTATTTGAATCCAAATGGGGGGTACTTCCTTATTTACATTGTAAACTTAAGTAAATAGAGTAATATAAAAATAAATAAAAGTAAAAGGACAAAGATACCAAGCAGTTTGTGGGCAATTTGCAGGGGTCAACATCTTCGCCTCCAATGGTAGATTCCAGGCTTGCAGGGGTCAATTGACCCCTCTTGCCCCTATGTGGATCCGCCCATTGATATGCACCAAATTCACCAAATTTTATCGTATTTACTAAATATCATGATCAAGATAACTAAATACAATCATTAACTAATGTGAAATTACTTAGCGAACTTCAGCATAGATTATCTTTTGTGTTGTAAAGTGTATATCTGATATATGCACGGTGATGATTTTGGTATTCTGAAATCACCATTAAATACCTCATGCACTTTTCATTTGTGAGTAGTAGAGTATTGCAGATGTGAGATGTAGAGTGCCTAAATCATCATCTCGAATTAATATTTATTATTGACTCACATAATATGATGTCGAAGAGTACATCATAAAATGGAATGCACATTGCAATAAATCCTGCGAAGACTGGACAAACATTACAAACAAAATCAAATATCAGGACATGGAAGATGCCCGACATATGACAAGTACATAGAATTAGCACAAATGAAGAATGGCTATAATCAATACTTTAATTTGGTGCCTATGTCATAGAAAACCTGTTTTTAATTTTAGAAAATGGGTAATAAGAGAAAATATATGATTAATTAACAAAGATAAGTGGATATTCAAAACAATCAATTTTTTTCAAGTTGCAATAGGAAATTGGAGTCAAATTCCAAAACTAATATAGTTACAAATAAAGAAATTGTAATATATAAAATAAAAGAGTAACAATATAATAATATGTATCACATTTACTGATTACATTGTTGATCACATTAATATTTTTCACTAGTGATAAGATGTACGAGAGACTCATGTATGCAATTTAGTCTTACTTAACAATACATTACCTATGAATGTGATACGAGTAGTTTTGTATAAATTGAAATGGTACTTACGTACGTACAAACTATGACCAATGAGGTGTAAAGGTCGCCGGGTTTGAAACCTAAATTTCTTACTAAATATGACTCAATCACATCAAACACAGGCATCCAAAAGATCTGAATACAAAACAGAAAAAGAAATCCATTAGCAAATGATTTAATTTTCACAATTTCTTTAGTCTATATAATACATCTTCTAATTAATTTGAATTCATGCAACAGTTTTGCTTTACCTGATAGCTTCCTATAACGTGAAAGAACAACATAATGTTGGCCAATGCAACGAGCCAATTAGTTTTCTCCAGTGAGATGAAAACATCATCTTCTACAACATTGCCAAAAGCCCATAAGCCAGAGATTGCAACAGCAAGATAGCAAAATGGCACGATGATGTAAGCAACCACAATACCTTTCCACATGGCAACTTTTGATGGCTTCTCTGGAGGTGAAGGGATTGTGGCTTGAATCTCCAAGGCCACACTATGCCCTGCAAAAGCAAATGCTACTGTTCCAAATCCATTCAGCATATCAAAAACTTTTCCAGGCGTTGAATGAGACCGAACTCCATGATTAACATGTTGATGGTGATGGGCGCCCCTGATTGTGGATGCCACAAATGATATCATGGCGTAACTGCATCCAATTAATCCACATTTTACACAACCATCAATTAAGTATTCCTTGTTAATTGTGTACTCACTTAGTCCTAAGAATGACAAGTGTAAGGCTACAAACATGTAAAGACTGAAATAGTCAAGAGCTAGAATTAAGACAGATAGATGGCTGAGATTCACTGTTGCTTGTGTGAATCCAGCTCATAGCTAACGGTCTGTAGTACTCACCATGTGAGCTCATTTTCTTACATAGAGAATATACAAAAGGCTTGCTCACTGATTTCGTGAGCAAGCAGAGCAGTTATTCATAATGGCATTTTTCGTCTTTCTTTTTTTCTCTCTAACAGACCTACACAAAACCCAGCTTGAATTTGAAAACACTAACATGGCCTCAGAGCCAAGTTTGATCAATTGAATCTGGGCGTTTTTCAAATCTGTGAAATCAAGCTAAATCGGTGCTCACTCAAGCTCGTGACGATCAATTGAAGCTCATTTGATATCTAAAATGAGTTGGTGGTGGTTATCTGAGATTAGCAATGTCTAGATCTGGAGGTTCAGAAGTAAGAACTCCGATCTTCTCCGGTGAGAACTATGAGTTCTGGAGAATCAAGATGATAACCATCTTCAAGTCATATGGGTTGTGGGCTCTGGTGGAGAAAGGAATTACGATTTCGGAATCGAAGAAGAAGGAGGTAGCTGAGGAAACATCTGCAGAGGAAGATGATGAGAAGATGGTTGCGATTCTTATGAAGGATGCAAAGGCTTTGGGGATTATTCAGAACTCTGTCTCTGATCAGATCTTCCCTCGCATTGCTAGTGTTGATTAAGCTAAAATGGCATGGAATCTGCTATATGGAGAATATCATGGTGGTGACCATGTCAGGTCAGTAAAGCTTCAAAATCTTAGACGTGAGTTTGAGTATACTAGGATGCATGAAAATGAATCTCTGTCTGTATACCTTACTCGTTTGAATGAGTTGATTAATCAAATGAAAACGTATGGTGAATCCCTTCTAATGAAAGGTTTGTTCAGAAGGTTCTAATTAGCTTAAAGAAGGTTTATGATCCTATTTGTCTGGTGATTGAGAATACAAAGAGTCTGGAAACAATAGATTTGCAGGAAGTCATTGCCATTCTAAAGAGTCAAGAGCAACGATTTGAGCTACATAATACTGATACTGTTGAGAAGGCATTTGCCTCCTTTTCTGTGAATTCCAAAAGCCAGAACAAGGGAGGCTATCAATCTGGTCAATCTAAGTCTCAGAAGAATTGGAATCCGAAAGGCAAACCATGGGAATCAAACTCCAAGTCTCAACACACCAATTTTGCACAGAACTCAACAGTGGGTCAAGAAGGTTCAAAACCACAGTGCAAAGTGTGTTCTAAATTCCACTTTGGTGAGTGCAGATACAAGGGAAAGCCTAAGTGTTACAATTGTGATAAATTTGGACATTTGGCTAAGGAGTGTACTACAAGCAAGAATGTGCAGAAAGCAAACTGTGCAAACCAAATGGAAGTGACTGGAAACCTATTATATGCCAACAATACCATTCCTGCCACAAATGTTACTGGAGAATGGTATATAGATAGTGGGTGTAGCAACCACATGACTGGAAATGGGAGTTTGCTGACAGATATTAGAACAAATGTGGTAGGCAAGGTGCAAATGCCAAATGGTGAGCTTGTGAATGTAGCTGGAATGGGCACATTGGCAATTGATACTACCAAAGGCAGAAAGTATATCAAGGAAGTGACGTATCTTCCCGGGTTGAAAGAAAATTTACTAAGTGTGGGCCAAATGGATGAACACGGTTACTACCTAGCATTTGGAGGAAAAATGTGCAGCATCTTTGAAGGTCCTTCACTAAAGTGTCTTGTAATCAAAGTAGAGATGAAAAGGAATAGGTGTTATCCCTTGGCACTATTACCTAATGATCATATTGCATTAAAGGCAAGTATATCTAATTCTACTTGGACATGGCACAAAAGGTTGGGTCATTTACATTTAAAAGGACTAAGTCAACTCAAAGAGAAGGATATGGTGCATGGACTGCCATTCATGGAAAAGGTTGATGGAGTTTGTGATGGATGTCAGTTTGGAAAGCAGTATCGAGAATGGGTAGCAATCCTCTTGAGCTAGTTCATGTGGATTTGTGTAGACCTATGCAAAATGAATCCATTGCTGGAAACAAGTACTTCATGCTCCTTATTGATGATTTTTCAAGAATGGTTTGGGTCTATTTTCTCAGATACAAATATGATGCACTGAATTGTTTTCAAAAATTCAAGTCAATGGTAGAATTGCAAAGTGGCTTTAATGTGAAGTGTTTGAGAAGTGATAGAGGAGGAGAGTTCACATCTAGTGAATTCAACAAGCTATGTGAGGTTGAAGGGATCCAAAGACAACTCTCTATGGCCTATACTCCACAACAAAATGGAGTAGTGGAGAGGAAAAATAGGACTGTGGTGGAAATGGCAAAAGCAATGCTTCATGAGAAAGGATTGCCTTATTATCTGTGGGCAGAAGCTGTACATACAGCTGTCTACTTGCTAAATAGGTGCCCTACTAAAGCACTTGGAGATAAAACACCATTTGAGGCATATAGTGGGAGAAAACCAGGCTTGGCTCATCTCAAAATATTTGGCTGCTTATGTTATGTACACATACCAAGTGAAGTGAGGCAGAAGTTAGATGCAAAAAGCACCAAGAGTATTTTTGTGGGATATGCAATCTGTGAAAAAGGTTATAGAGTGTATGATCCTGCTACTAAGAAGATTCTACTCTCAAGGGATGTTGTGTTTGATGAGAATGCAACTTGGGATTTGATACAAATGTCTGATAAACAAGGAAGTGTGATCAATCATGAAGAGCAAGCTGATCTGCCGAATGATTTATCACAAGTGACACCTTCTAGAAGTCATGATCACCTTCAAACTCCAAGAACAAGTGATATAAGCAGCAGCATGAGAAATACTCAAGCTTATGATCACACTCCATTAAAATGGAGAAATCTGGATGATGTTCTAGCTCAATGCAATCTTTGCATCATGGAACCAGAAAAATTTGATGAAGCTGCTAAGGATGAGTCTTGGATGAAAGCAATAAATGATGAATTGTCAATGATTGAGAAGAATTCAACATGGGAGCTGGTGGACAGACCAGCCGATAAACCGATAATTGGAGTTAAGTGGGTGTTCAAAACTAAGCTGAACCTTGATGGATCAGTATAGAAGAACAAGGCACGGCTGGTTGCCAAAGGCTATGCTAAAAAATCAGGTATTGACTACAATGAGACCTTTGCACCAGTGGCTAAACTTGATACAATCCGCACATTAGTTGCATTGGTAGCACAAAAGAATTGGAAATTGTATCATCTAGATGTCAAATCTGCTTTTCTAAATGGTGTCTTGGAAGATGAGGTGTATGTAGATTAACCGAATGGATTTGTGGTCAAGGGGAGTGAAGATAGGGTGTATAAGCTTCATAAAGCTCTCTATGGTCTAAAACAGGCACCAAGAGCTTGGTACGGTGAGATTGACACATACTTTGCCCAATGTGGATTTACCAAGAGTCAAAGTGAGGCCACTCTCTATACCAAAACCAGAGGAGAAGCAGAAATTCTAATAGTGTCCATTTATGTAGATGACATTGTCTATACAGGGAGTTCTCAGTCAATGTTAGAGGAGTTCAAACAAGACATGATGGTGAAATATGAAATGACAGACTTGGGGCTCTTACATCATTTCTTAGGAATGGGAGTCATTCAAACTCACACTAACATTTTCCTTCACCAAAAGAAATATGCAGCAGCTTTGTTGAGCAAGTTTGGACTACATGAATGCAAACCAGTCTCTATACCTTTGGTTACAACTGAGAAGTTAAGCAAAGAAGATGGAAGTGGTCCAACTAATGAAGAGCAATATAGGAAGATTGTGGGAAGCTTGCTATACCTCACAGCTACAAGACCCGATATAATGTATGCATCTAGTCTACTTGCTAGATTTATGCATTGTCCTACTAATAAGCATTATGGGACTGCTAAAAGAGTTCTCAGATATATTCAAGGGACACTTGATTATGGGCTGGAGTATGTGAAAGGGAGGAATGCAATGTTAATTGGCTACTGTGATAGTGACTGGAGTGGCTCAGTGAATGACAATAAGAGCACTTCAGGGTATGCTTTCTCTTTTGGCAGTGGTGTTTTTGCTTAGGCATCAGTCAAACGGAATTGTGTTGCTCTTTCTACGGCATAGGCAAAATACATCAGTGCTTCAGAAGCAACTGCACAAGCAATTTGGCTCAGGTTTGTTTTGGAAGACTTTGGTGAATTTCAAGCTGAAGCTACACCACTTCATTGTGACAACACAGCTGCTATTGCTATCACAAAGAACCCTGTGTTTCACCAGAAAACTAAGTATATTGATCGAAGGTATCACTTCATTAAGGATGCTTTGCAAGAAGGAATCATTAACTTGATTTACTGTCCTACAAATGAGCAGCTGGCAAATATCTTCACAAATTCATTGGCTAAAGATCGATTCTGCTATCTCAGAGACAAGCTTTGTGTGAAATCAGCTCAAAAATTAAAAGGGAGTGTAGAATTGTAAGTTGTGAGTCGGATTTCTTTTTAAGCCTAGAGTGTTAATTGTGTACTCACTTAGTCCTAAGAATGATAAGTGTAAGGCTACAAACATGTAAAGATTGAAATAGTCAAGAGCTAGAATTAAGATAGATGGATGGCTGAGATTCACTGATATTTGTGTGAATCCAGCTCATAGCTAACAGTCTGTAGTACTCACCATGTGAGCTCATTTTCTTACATAGAGAATATACAAAAGGCTTGCTCACTGATTTCGTGAGCAAGCAGAGCAGTTATTCATAATGGCATTTTTCGTCTTTCTTTTTTTCTCTCTAACAGACCTACACAAAACCCAGCTTGAATCTGAAAACACTAACATTCCTAAGAAGAATATATGGACCATTATATATAATACACATACTTTTAAAACATATTTTGGCTGCCATGTACGTGGTATTCAAGTTATCACAGTGAATAATGATGGGCAGCAAAAGGGAAAACACAATTCACGCAAGAGAACACGAAATAGAATAATATAAGTAGACATGGCAGGAGCAACATCCAGTACGGAAGCAGCTGGAGGCTCTGCAGCTGAAGGCGTGACATGAGATTCAGACTAAGGAGAGGGTGAGTCTACAGCGAAGGGTGATTCTGCAGGGGAGGGCAAGTCTTGGACTGGCCTTTGAGACGACTTTCACTCACCTAGCTATTACTTACACATACTTATAACATTTCCTGAGTTTTGAAAAAACTAGACTCTAGACTAAAATGCCACCCACTGCAGGCAAAATATATGGTGAAGGTTCTCATGAATGGCTCGAGGAATGGCTAAACATCAAATTTAATTTCCTCCAATAGCCCATTTAATAATGGAAATCCTTGATACATTTGTATGAATATTGTTCAATATAAACCTATACAAGTTGCAGTACATAGACTATATTCAACATATAGTAACTATCACAATCCCATATAAGTGATATTTAATTCAATTCTTGCAGAAACAGACTTTGAAGAACATGATCATACCATCATGATGAATAGTCTCTTCACCATGGTGGTTGGCATTTCCTAACTTTTCTTTTTTCTTTTTTTTTTTTTTTTTTTTTTTTTTAAAAAAAAAGAAAGAAAAAATTCAACATTTTTTATTCATAAATTAACGCTTTTTACACTAAGTTTTCTCATATCATTATCAAAGTTTAGTTGAAAAGGATCTGAGATTGCTAATTTTAAGCTTACTATAACCTATTATTTCGTAAAACTAAAATGGTCATCACTTAAAAAACCTTCCAACACACATGGGGGTCTAGCTAGACATAGTTGAGTGTGATGCGTTTTGGTCACCGATTAATTAGCCACGTTTGATTAGTACTTTGATCACATTATGAGAGCTACAAGGCAACTTCTTTCCACAACCCCTGCATTCCAACAGTTTTCATCTTCGTTAAATCCTCGTAAACTAAAAAGATAAATGCAATCAAGAAACAAATCATGTAACAAACATGTAACGACCGCATACCCGACACAATTAATCTTTCTCTACCGTTTGCCTACCTTTAATGTGATGTGGGATGAATAGCTCAATTCATCAAATTTCAGCTGCCAATAATGTTCTTTTACCTATTCAAAGCTATTCCAGTGGGTTTATAGCCATGAATGTGAAGAAAGTGGAAAAGTGTAGTCTACAAACCTCAATTAGACCTTGTTGTTCCTTTTTGATGAGGTTTGAGGGGTCCCATTTTTCTTTGAAGATTTTAGAGGCCAACATCCTGCATAGATATTTTCTACATAACATACTACACTTGTGGGAACTGGTTTTGGGGCCAATTTTTGACAAAACAATTTATTTGGGACATTGGTCTTGTTGCTGCACTTCGGCAATTTTTGCTCTTCTGCTGCTATCCTTGTAGCACCTTTTACTGATGTTGTTGTCTTCAAAGGCTGCTATCTTACACTAGGGGTGGGCGTGGCCTGGTTTGGTTCAATTTCTACCTCACACCGGAATTGGTACTATTCAATTGGTGTGGTTCGGTCCGATTTTGGTGAAATTTTTTTTATGAAATCGGTAGGTTCAGTTTAAACCAATTACAGTGCGGTTTCCGGTTTTTGACTGAATTTTTTTGTATATTTTTCAATTATTATCAATTATTATTATTATTATTTTACAAATTCCAACTAAAATTTATATTTTGGGCTTCAAAATTCACAAATGATCTAATTTCATGCAAAGAGAGATGATTGAGCCTAGAAAATAGAGGTGCTTTGAAGTTGGGCTTGGGGAAATATTAGATATGGGATTAGAACTTTAGTATTATACTTAAATATTTAAAAAATACACAGTCGGTCCGATCAGGTCCAGTTTTGTAAGGTGTGAAATCAGTACCGAAATCAGTTTGATTTGGTCCAGTCTAGTTCGGTGTTGGTTTGTTGACTTTTTAATCAACACGGTTTTTTTCTAGTTTTTTCTGTCCAGTGCGGCTCGGTGTTCCGATTTTCCGGTCTCAATGCCCACCCTATCTCACACCAAGTTTGAGGGTGGTTTGCCTTGTACACAAGAGCATCATGACTCATCAATTTCTCTTTATGGAGCTAGAGCCAATAAACCCCAGAAGCCCTCTTCTTTTTCTTGTTTCTTTTCTTTTCTTTTAGTTTAATTTTTTTCTGCTTCCTTCCTTAACTTTGGTGTTGCATGTTTTCTTCTCTTAACATTGGGGACAATGTTTAGTTATAATATAAATTTTTTTTTAAAGACATTTTCTATTGAAAGAGGCGATAATCTAAACTATCAAGTCCATTATTAGTTTTTCCTCCTTTGGCGAAGTTCATATTAATATGTTTTAAGTCAATATATTCCATGGATGATAAATAAATAAAGAGAAAGAGAATCTTTGTGTTTTAATATTTCTATAAGAGGGGATTCGAATTTAATTAATCTTTTACATTGGAAAAGAAAAATCAATGTATTAATAGCTAGTCAAATTGAAAAAACTTACTAATCATTCAAATATGACACACTCAAATTGAAAAACTTTTAATCATTCAACTATGTTAAAATAAATAAACGAATACAATATTTTCTATAAAATAAAATAATCACAATATCTCAAATTTGACTTCTTGTTTTAATTTTGATATTCAATTAAAAATTTTAATTGAGATTAATTTTTCCAAGTGTGACCTTTTTCTATATAAATTTTAAAGTTATTTTGGCTAACGACCTTTAATATCTTTTCCTCCAATTATATTATCTATTTTAATTATTCTTAAAGCGTGAGTTTAACTTATGAACAAAAAGTAAAGTAAAGTCATTAAACTAAGGGAAATTCAAACTCGAATACAGACACAATACTCTAAACAACTATTCTAACTCACATATCCCGTCTTATGATTATCATTTTTATTATTACAAATTTATAAATAAACCCAATCCTAGACATGTATTTATAAAAAAAAACCCAAGCACTATTTAAACATAGAAACACATCCAAAATCAACCCAAAAGTCAACTTTTTGGGTGTGTTTATAAATGGGTTTTGAGTGTGTGTAATGATGGGTTTTTGGTGTGTTTATATGTTTAAATAGTGCTTGGGTTTTTTTATAATTTCAACTCCTATTTTGGGTGTTTTAGTGAAACTCCCTTTTATTATTTTCTCTATAGACAAAGAACATAACAAAACAAAATTACCACTAATAATAGTGTGCTCTAGCGAGATTTCTGAATATGATCAACAAGGATAGGCTTATCCAGCATCCACTCCACGTGGCAGCATGCAAGTGAAGTTCAATATCCTCTAAACAAAACCCATCTGACCACGTGTCATGCTCAGATCCATGCAAAAGATCAAAAACCCAAACACACTCAGCTCCTCATCCTCCATAACCCAACTGAAACAAGAACAAAAGAAAAATAAAATTAGCTAGCCAGAGACTCAGAGCAGACCAAATTATTTGGCCATGGCATCTCTGGCAACCTTAGCAGCTGTTCAACCAGCCACCATCAATAGCCTTGCCGGAAGTTCCTTCACTGGAACCAAGCTCTCTGTCAAGCCCACCCGCCAGACCCTCAGACCCAAAAACATCAGGTAAGTGCTAGAAGAAAAGGTTCTATATATTTTCCATGAGCTTGTAAATTTGTAATGGGTGTGTTTAATTATAAGTTTACTGGGTGTGTTGGGTAAATAGGAGTGGTGCTGTGGTGGCCAAGTATGGAGACAAAAGTGTCTACTTTGACCTTGAGGATCTGGGCAACACTACCGGGAAGTGGGACTTGTACGGCTCAGATGCACCCTCACCCTACAACCCTCTTCAGGTTCCGTTGCTAACTACCCTAAATTCTTTGAATGTATGTAAATAATGTACTTAAAATTAGAAAGAAAAAAAAAAAACAGAAAAACAAAAAAAAAAAAAAAAAAAAAAAAACAATAATGCTTTCATTGAGAGTTGAACTCAAGACCTCCCGCTTACTAAACGGGTGCTCTAACCAACTGAGCTATGAAAGCTGTTGTTGACAGAAGCAAAATTTTATAGAACTTAAACAGCTTATTTCAAAAGCAGTTTTCTTTTCTATTATTATTTTTAGTGGAAATCCTGACACATTAAACTTTATATTTGTCTCTAATGTTATAGCATGTGCTATATAATCAAATATCATGTATATGTTAATCTAGGTCATGTTGGTCCAATATTTCCCAATTATTTTCTAACCCAAGCTAATAATTAACAGTTGAATATGTAACCCAAGTTGGTTCAGTTATTTGACCAAGTCATCATCTAATTTAAGCTTGCCAATGGCTATGAAATGCTAATATTTATGCAGAGCAAGTTCTTTGAGACATTTGCTGCTCCATTCACCAAGAGAGGCTTGTTGCTCAAGTTCCTGATCTTGGGAGGTGCTTCCACCATTGCTTACCTTAGTGCCACTGCTTCAGATGACATTCTACCCATCAAGAAGGGCCCACAACTTCCACCCAAGCTAGGCCCACGTGGCAAGATCTAATTGCATTTGGGATTTTCCATCTTTTCAAAGCTTTTCATCATGTGTATGTAATTGCTTCTCTATTTTGTACTTGTAAGTATGTCTAATGCAGAATTAAGACCCCCTCACTTGACAATTATTCAAAGATATTTCTTTCAAGTGCAATTTGGGGCACTACTGCTTTTATGTTTTAAGATCATGATATCATCATATTTTGTGGTCTATGATCAGTGAAGTCTGAAATCTTCAAAACATGATGAAAATTGGTAGAAAATATTGCAAACAGTCTGGAGGATTTAGAGTACAAATGGGCAAGGAAAAAAACATGAACATATGTCTAAGAGAAGTCATCAAATTTATATTTTCAGTCAGTCTACAAAGCCATTTCTTCTACAGAAGAAGAAACAATGTGCAAAATGCTTCATATGCACCCCATTGGGTTTTCTCATTCTTCCCTATGTACAAAAGGAAGGAATTGAATGAAAATAAGTGATGACAACTCCAAGGATGCCAATGAGTGCTGAAATTTACATTTGAAAGCTAGGCTTTCTTGCTCTTTACATCGCTGCGTCTCTCTCATTTTGTTTCTCCTTTTCTCTCTCTCTTTTTGCTCAAACTCCTTTGATTTTTCTCCTGTCAATGCTGTTAGTGGCGTGCCGTTGGACTTCTCAATCCACCCAAGTTATCTAGATAGGAAATCTTCTTGTTGGTGACTATGTTGGCAATCTTCTGCATATGTGGATGCTTAACCTCACAGAAGTCTTTGCCTTCATCTGTAGCATCTAGGTCCTTTTGTGCCTCAGTGTCAGCTTGATCCAATCCCCAACCCATGAAATCCGACAGTGTCATTGAACCGGGTGTCTCTGTCCCGGAATTCTCTTCTTTTGTGGACCTATCTGGAGAAGTTGCAACTGGTGTAGATTCTCCTAAATTGTTCCTTTTACATGCTACATGTGATGGATTCTGAGAAGCATAATCAGCGTATAGTACATCTTCAATCCGGGACAAGACTGTGAAGGCCAAGCTTTCTAGTATTCTTGAATAGCTCTCAAGAATAGCCTGTCCAACATTCTATAAAGCCAAGAAAAAGCCTTTATGTAAGTTCATAGAGCATGATCAAATATTACAAGAAATAATTTTTCCCAAACAACACTTCTACAAACAGAATAGAATATATTATGTGGTATGTTCTGTTACATTGCCAATAAGCTTGCATTAACTTTTTGATTCTGCAATTAGGGGGTGGAGTAATTCTTCAAGATTTAAGGGATATGAATTATGTCTTACCGCGTTGTATTGGATTTTACTGATGTCTAGTGAAGATTGAGGGATTCCAGGGAACCTCTGCTTGAGGAGGAGTAAGATGGTCTCTGCTCTCTCTTCAAAGAGCTCTCTCTTTTCCAAGCTCACGGCTGAGCCCCAACCTGATTTCCCATCTTTTTGGTTCATCTTTCTTTTCCATATTACCATGGAAGCCTCCATTTTGTTCTTGAGGTCCAGTATTTTGTGCTCTGATGATAAGTCCATGCTGCAAAGAAATTGGTCAGGATCAAAGAATTCAACTGTAATGCTCCGATAGATCGAATCACCAAGACTTGCCCTTCCATTCTGCATAAAACCAATAAACCATCTCATTTTCATAAAGTGGTAAGAGAACTCATCAAGGCTCAAAAGTGGCCTGTAACATTGCAATGAGATTAGTTCTATCTTTCTTTACCTTCGGGAGGGATTCAATGTAGTTCTCGGGAATTTCCATTTCTGATAGAACTTGAGCATTTATGGCCATTGCTGCTTTAAGCACTTGGTTGACACAATCTTTTTGATACTGCAAAAATTTTCTTGCCGCTTCTGATAAACCATTCGGCGGAACTTTAGGAGTAGGTAGCCACCATTTGTCATCTTTTCTCTTTGCATTTCCTTTCTCATTCTCATCAGCATCTTTGGATACATAATAGAACTCTTGCTTGTCTATGAAATTATCTAGACAGTCCTGATTATTATAAATTTTGTCAGAGCAATATAATCCATTGTACACACAGGACATGAAATCATATGTTATGGAAAATGGAAAAGAATTTTAGCAAGCACATAATTACTTACAATAAGCATTGCATCAAGCTTTCGCAGGGCAGGAATGTTCATGTGAAGATCTGTTCGTTGCCGAGTCACCATTATCTATTAAACCAAAACATGCAAACTCTCATCAAGATGTGAAATGTTGCGCCATGCGCCCATGTGTGTATGTGTGTGAAAGAGAGAGAGGAGAAGGGAAGAGATTGTACCTCCATATTGCTTCCATCCTTGGATTTCTGTTGTGAAGGAACAAATTCAACTATGTAATCACTCACACATAATAACCAATCTATTTCTTTTCTCCACCTCTTTTTCCTGTCTGCGGACATGGGTTCTAGGCGAGTTTGTTCTCCAAAAACAGAAGCTGCAATGCATTTGGAAGAGTAACATGATTGTTATGCGAACTGGAAATCTAACAAATCAGCCTTTTCAATAGTGCATACTATATAATTTGTAAGAAAAAGGCCAATATAGTTGGACATTCAAAATCAAAAACCAACATTAATATGTCAATGCCACCATCTGAGTCTAAAAATAATATGAAATCTGAAATAGCTGCATTTCACAATTCCTACATTCACCTTAAACTAATGTATAATCTTTCCAGATATATTTTGCTGTCATAACAATTATAATAAAACTATTTGTACCACATTTACACAAAATAGACGAAAAGTATGCATACCGGCAAGGTTTGTAATAGCATTCGACAATGCCAAAGCTGACGAAACACCCTTTCCTCCACCAGACATATCTTCTCCCAAAAGCAATTTGGCAAACCTCTCCTTCATCTGCTCCATATCTGAATCAAACCCAACAAGCCAAATAATTATAATTCAAATAAAGATATGTATGCTGGCAAATTCTGCAGGACCAGCTGAGCGATTTATTCAAACTAACAACAACAATTATGGTGGTGACAAGCTCACCTGTCTGTTGTTGCTTTTCTCTGGCTTCGGCTTCTTCTTTGCTCAACCGTGACTTGGAGCCTTGAGCTCCATTACTTCTTGAACCCTTCTTATCATCGTCCTGAAACTCTAACGCGGTAGCGCTCTCAACGCTCAAACTCTTGGTATGCCTTCCTGTATTCTCATGCATCCCTTTGAAATGATACAATCTTGACTTGTAATTATCTTCTTCTTCTTCAAGTGCTCGGACCATTCTCAACTTTTTGAGAAAAACCTTTATAGAATGAACAAGCGAGAACAAGGCATGAGTGCTGCTCAATCTATTGGCAGGAGGGAGGGGAGGAGAGGGATCTATTTTGTCTGTTACTCAAGTTCTTGCGGGTGAGAACTTGTAAATGATTGAGAAACAGAGCTGTTGTCGTTGTTGTTTTTTGTTGCTGATGTTGTTGTTCTTGTGGTTGATGATGTTTTTTTGTGTGCTCTTGTTTCTTGAGAAATTGGCAAGTTTTGACAAAAATGCGGAGGTGATTGGTTTTGAGATTGATGGGTTTTTGGGGTTAGTTAATTTCTTTTCTTTTTTTGATATCAGTTGGGTTGGTGGAACGTGGGGTGCATGTTGTGAGAAATGAGGAAACAAAACTATTCTTTCTGTTGTGTTGGGAGGTTTTAGCTTTGGCTTTTTGAGGTTTGCATGAATTGGATGGTTGAGGTTTAAATGTGGAGGTCAAGGAGAGCTAAAATCCCGGTAAGACAGAGGTGCATTTCTAATTTACCAGCTCTCTCTCTCTCTCCTCATGAAGTGGATGGTTCTGGTAGGTCAATATCAGCTCCTCCCTCCATAGAATATTTATTTCATTTTATATGAGAGAGAAAGAAAGAAAGACAGACAGACAGAAAAAAAAATTTGTTCATCTTCTCTACTCCCAACTACTTCTTTATAAGAACTTCATTATCAATTCTCCAATATTTATGAATACTGCATTTTTGTTTATATAATAAAGACATTAAAACAGCATATAATATCTATGAATAATATTTTTTTAAAAGAAAATATCTATGAATAATATATCGACCGACGTTGTTAATCTAGTGGTATTTTTCTCTACTTTGTAGAAAAATATTATTCATGCAATTGAATATTTGGCCGGGTTGGTTTCGGAACCGTGCACCTTTGATTTGGGAGGACTAAAATTCAGCATTACATCGACTGCAAGTTGGATCACAAGTTTCTTCTTATTCCAATCAAAATTGATTAAGATTTTCTTGATTTATCATATAGCTAAGTCTAAGGTTTTGATCTCAGTAAAAAGAAAAAGTTTGAAGTACTAATGGATAAACGTTAAAACCAATTTTTATGTGTTCTTATGATCTATTCCAATTCATGCTTAGTTTTCTTTTTTCTGAAGTCTCCATCAATTTCCATATCCTTCATAGTAAATTACACTAATGACTCTTATGTGGGATTAACAAAATGATTAAAACCTCCTATGGTAAAAATTTTACACCGACCAAGACAGCGAGTATGAAGCATACAAAGGAAGCCAAGAACAACTTAGAAATACAGCAGTTCACAAAAGAAGGAAATAGTCATTTACATAGAAAGAGAGGCATATTAAACACCAAAAGACCATCATGCACCTTTTAACAACATACTGGAACACTAAAACAGGGTCTCAAACCCGCACTCACCACAAGCAATTTGCTTAGTTCAATTGGCAGCTCTACATTCTGATCCAAGAGGAAAGCAAACAGTAATGTGAACTTTATAACCTCAGTAATCAAATGGCCATCCTGAATAGCCCATCTGATTATTGTTTTCACGCATAGTCGATGAGCTACTTTCGGCTGTCGGGTTATGGGTATGGGTATGGGTATGGGTATGGCTAGAGCTAGAGCTGGCACCAGATGAGCGAAATGGCCACAAATAAGAGAACGGATTTCTCCTTCCTTGGTTTTCTCTACCACCCTCCCTTCCATTAGTATTGCTACCAAAACTACTGCCTCTACTTCGACCATTCGAGCTACCACCACTTGCGGCTCCCTGCAGAGGCAGTTCTTGGCGGCAAACAGGGCATGAGTTGTGTTGGACTAGCCATGGTACAATACAATCTGTGTGATATAGATGGTTACAGGGCATTTGCCTTGCTTCAGATCCAAGCTCAAACTTGTCTTTGCAAACAGGGCAGTGTGAATCAGAACGAAGATGCCTATTTGCGATCTTAATAGTAGGCATTGCATCAATTGAAACTCTGGATGCTGGAGGAGGGCCTCGCCGGTCATTAGCTGAAAGTTGCTCAAACAGTTCTTCCAAGCCAGGACCTACAAAATAATCCCCCACGTTACCCCGCGTCACACTTATTCCAGGAGAGCCATTGAAAAAAGCTTCGAATGCACCATTCCCAGACAGTCGAAAAGGAATTTGGCCACCAAAGATCAACAGAGGAGTAAATGCCGGGTTACGTTCAGGAACTACATCTGATCTTCCCCTGATATCGCTACGTCTTCTGTCTGTCGATTGCTGCCAGGCTGAGAAAGCTTCCATGAACCCAAATCTCCTGTCATGATCATCATCATTGTCCAGTCCAAAGAAATCCAGTGGACTGACATGAACCATATCATCGAGTTCTTGAATAAATCCTCCATCGCAGCTTGGGCAAACTGCATCTCGCCCTTGCAGACGAACCGGGCGCCTGCAATTGTAACACCAATGGGTGTTTCGGCCACTTGACATTATCTCCTCTCCCTCTGCTCTTTCAAATCTTATTGTACAAGCAACAAGTCTCGTCTCTGAACTCCTCAATCTTCGAAGGTTATCTGAGCATGGTAACATAGGGAGATCAAAAAAGGATTCAGACACAAGGTCAGCCATCAAAATCATTAAAAATCATACAATCTGGACCCAAACAAATTCAAATTTGATGGTTTCATATAAAGAAATTGAAACTGCATTTGATACTATCAAAGAATATCAAAATCTGAATCCATTGTTGGAAAGATAAATTATTCAGATAGATTATTCAATATATATATATATATATATATATATATACTTCTAAAATTTCTTCAATCCAAATTATTTTCTCAAAGCTTAGAATTACCCAATTCAAATACTAAACAACAGAATTCCAGTATAACCAAACCCATCTATTTCAGGTTGATAATTGGTTGCATCTTAGCAATTAATGATTCCATATACAAAATACCAAACAAATAAACAAAAAATATAACCAAGATCAGAACTTTGACCAGCACAAGAAATAAGTAAGGAAAAAAAAAAAAAAAAAAAAAAAAAAAAAAAAATTTGCAGCTAGAAATTACCAGAGGCTCTGATATACAAAATCTGAAAAACCCAAGAAATTCAGAAACTTGAAACTACAAAATTTTAAAAAAATAATAATAATAACAAGAAACACTGACCTTAGATTCATTGGAATCAACAAACAAAAGCCTTAACATCCAAAATAGGAAGCCTTAAAAAAAAATCTAGTTAGTGCAGAAGAACTTTAAGCAACAAAATAAAATCCCCTAACCTTGAGAACGCAAAGCTTTGCTCAATTTTCTCGGATTGTGTTCTCATCGATTGTGCGAAGAAAAAAATGAGTGAGGCGTGTGTTATCTCTCCCTTTCTCTAGTCTCTTCTTCAGATGGGTCTTCCTCAAATCAGAGCCGTTCATTTGATCCTGCGGTTGGAAATAAGAACACCTATATAATTAAAATAACTTCGCTAGAGCATTTTTTTTGTGCATTGACATTGACCATAAATAAGCTGGTAATCTCTAAAGTCCATACCAAGCGAAATACCCTTCCAAATAACTCAAAAATATCCTTATTTAAGAAAGAAAAAAATCCAAAATAGAATTACATTTTTAAATGGACAAATACACAAAAATAATATATTTAAAAAAATAAAGATTTATGTCAAAAATATATATAAATAAATATAAAATACATGTGTGAGGGCGAGTCAAGAGGTTTTTTTTTCTCGGTCAACAAGAGGTTAGGTTTTTACTTAAGTCAAATCACAAACTTTCCTTCCTTTTTAACTCAAGTTTTCAATTGTGTCCATCCAAATGTAGTTGGCCATATGTTGGACTAAGTCATCAAATTTTGTCTATTTTATTGAACTTGCTTGTCTCATGTAATAAATACAAGCATAAAAATTGATGGAAAACCATTGGATTTGACAATTTCAACCAAGCATCAATTGTTTGATCATTATAGTGCTACAATGAAAAAAAGAAGTTATCTATGTATATGCTTGGCTTCATACGTCTCTCACAATATTTTATTGTACAAGGTTAAAGAAAAGTAATTTGGACTTTATTTTATTTATTAATTCGCTTTATTGTAATTTACTTACTCACTTGGTTGTAATTTTGTGGAGTTATTTACATTAACATCTCCTGAGGCTTTAAGATTTTTCACAAAACCTTATGAGATTTGGGAAATTACACTGGTACCTCCTGAGGTTTTAAATTATTTTCACAAAACCATTTTCGTTGATTTTTCATCTAAAGATTGATGATTTTAGATAGAAAAATTTCTCCAAATGACAAAGTCTTTGGAATTAGATTGCACATGCATTCATTGATGTTGATTTTGTCATTTGCACAAGTTTTTAAAATTAAATCATCAAATTTTGGATGAACAATCAACGAAAAGATTTTTATGAAAATAATTTAAAAACTCAAGGAGTGTTCATGTATTTTCTGAAACCTCATAGGGTTTTGTGAAATATCTGAAAATAACTCTATTTATTTGTATGCTCTCTCCCTTTAGACAATACGTCGACGTTTACATTGTCGTCCTCGCGGGACCACCGCAGAATTAGGAGCCACCCCCCATAACTACCAGTCAGACAGTCACCGACTCACTCTCAGTTCACAAATCACAACCTTTTCCAAGCGTTTTGGGGGCCACAAAACTCAAAACCAATCAAAACCCAATACTCAAAATCCAACAATGGACTCCATAGGCGTGCTCATGCCAGTTCCAATGTCCCCATATTTAGAGCAAGAGCTCGAGAAGCGCTTCAACCTCTTGAAGCTCTGGACCGTCCCTCAAAAAACCCAGTTCCTCAAGGACCATTCCGGCTCCATCCGAGCCGTCGTCGGTAATGCAGGGAACGGAGCGGACGCCGAGCTCATCGAGACTTTGCCGAAGCTGGAGATCGTGGCCAGTTTCAGCGTTGGGATCGATAAGGTCGATTTGAACAAGTGCAGGGAAAAGGGTATTCGGGTCACCAACACGCCCGATGTTTTGACCGATGACGTGGCGGACCTTGCTATTGGGTTGGCGTTGGCTGTGTTGAGAAGGCTCTGTGAGAGTGATCGGTATCTGAGGAGTGGGCAGTGGAAGAAGGGTGACTACAAGTTGACCACCAAGGTTTGCTTTTTCTTAGTATTTTAGACATAATTTTTATTGCTTATTATTGGGTTGATTTTGTTTTGCTTTGCTTTGCTTGTGCATTGGCAACCAATTTCTAATGTTGGTTTACTGAAATTGGAGATTATGGTAAAGAAAGTTTACCAATTGTTGAACCAAAAGGGAAAGAATAATAAACCTGATACTGATATTTTTTTTATTTTTTTGGTCATAAACCTGATACTGATATTGAAAAGTTAAATGGGTGATTCTTGATAAGGCTATGCTGTTAAGAACAAAGTAGTGGATTTTGATGTTCTATTCTCAATTTAATGTTCGAGGGCAAGAACGAGTGATTCTTGCCCAAATTAGCAGTCAGGCAAACACTACTGAATGTTGTTTCCAATTGCTGTTGCCGTAACGTGTCTTATTTTCCTGAACTTTTATTGAAAACAACTTTGTTGTGGTGATGTATTTCGGATGACAAGCAAAGAAAGGAGGTGAGATGGTAGTAATTGTTTGTTCTTCTATGATGCAGTGATTGATGTCTTTCTTGTAGTGCGTGTTCAGTGCACTCTACATTGTTTGTGTGTATGATATTATAAAAGAGAATGCAAAACTTTTTTCAACAGTGACAAAATTTCTTGAACAAGGAAGCCTTGGTGTTTGTTTCTCTGTTTTCTGTACAGATGTGAATTGATTTTGGCTGAGTTGGTCATTTTCTATTTAATGTGTTCCGCTGTGTGGTGTTTGTTTAATTGCCATTATCGTAGACTGGGTATTGCTCAATATTGTGTAATTGCTTTTGGTGCTTTGTCTTTCATGCATAAAATGCTGCACGATATAGTAATCAAGCAAATGACAGCATAAAGGTATGAATTCCTTTCTTAAAACCATGACAGGATGCTAACGATGTGTTTTCTTAGGGTAGTTTGAATCTAATGGTTAGGTTACAAGTACTTGACATTTGAACTTTTAAAAGCTGGAGATAGTTGTGCCTTTAATGTGATAAGTCAAGTTCATAAGTTACTAAAACAAATGGCTTCTTTTTTTTGTTTCCTTTTTTTATTCTCTTCCTGACTTTTCATCCATATAGTATCTTTGTTTCCGCGTTCTAATAGCTCTCCTGTCATTTACAGTTCACTGGAAAAACAGTTGGCATCCTCGGTCTGGGAAGAATTGGCAAAGCAGTTGCCAAGAGAGCTGAGGCTTTTAGCTGCCCAATCTCTTACCACTCCAGAACAGAAAAACCAGAGTTGAAGTACAAATACTATCCTAGTGTTGTGGAGTTGGCCTCGAACTGTGATATTCTGGTTGTTGTGTGCGCATTAACTGAAGAGACCCGTCACATTATTAATCGTGAAGTCATTGATGCTTTGGGCCCAAAGGGTGTTCTCATTAACATTGGGAGGGGTCCTCATGTTGATGAACCTGAGCTGGTCTCTGCTCTGCTAGAAGGTCGGTTACGTGGTGCTGGACTTGATGTTTATGAAAATGAACCAGAAGTACCTGAGCAGTTGTTTGAGCTTGAGAATGCGGTACTCTTGCCTCATGTAGGAAGTGACACTGTACAAACTGACACTGCCATGGCTGACCTTGTGATTGGGAATCTTGAGGCTCACTTTTCGAACAAACCATTGTTGACACCAGTCGTTTAACAGAGTATTTGAAGGTAAAGTTGATTGAAGGCTTCATTGTCTTGTTCTGGTACCAAAACTTCTTCAATCCATGACCATTTTTTCAAGAGTTGGCAAAGAATCTTGGTAATTAAAGTGCAGATTCGCTTCTGCTTGACTAGAGATTGATTGCATCCATTTGATTCAATTATTGCAATTTCCGCAATGGAAGTAGTTGGGATGGCTCCTTAACAAGCTTTGTATGCTTCACTTGCAGGTTCTTGTGTGTTTTGAAGAATGAGGGATTTCATCCTTCACTTGCAAGTGCTTGGAACATCCAACGAGTACAACAATCTGAAGTATCCATTAAGTGGTGGATACCCTCAATCGGCAAGATCTCCTTTACCCTATGAAGAGTCTGTAATTTCAAAATGCCCTAAAAAGAGAGAAATAAGAGATGAGAGGAGAGAAAGAAGAGAATTAAAGTGATGAAATTACCCTTGCACTCGAGGTTGGTAGGCTTGATAAAAAGGAAATTATCAAATTTTAAATTTTTATGGAAACACAAATAAAAAAACAAAAAAAAAAGAAGAAAAAAAAAGAAGGTTAGGGGGTTGGAAATGTTCATTGATAGAAGTATCTTTTCCCCTTATAAGTTCATAAGAAGTAAATTATTTTTTTCTGAAAGAGTTACAACAAGAGATACAAAATCCCAATCTAGAAACCAACTCAAAAAAACCCAGAGCAATAAAGAACCAACGCAAACACAAAACGTACAAGGCCCACACAAAATGCATCTCAAATCAAACATAATTACCATGTTAGCATAGTTTCAAAGGATAGCATCTTCTACTTGCCTTAAAAATACCTACACTACAGTTCATGTTCTCTTGTCTTTTGCTGAAGTTTCCATTTCCACCAACTCCCTTTACTCTGCCAGCCCATTTTTGCAGTAAACTAGCCTCTCGATTCAGACTCATACTCGTGTCACTTCTTTTTCAGAGAATCTTGTTTTTTTGATCAAATTATGGAGAATCTTGTTAAACATAGAGTTTTATTTACTTTTTGCTTTCTAATTATTTGTATTTAAATATAAGCTACTGTTTTACGTTTTTCTTCCTTTAAAATGAAATTGTGTTTTGAATTTTTTCTTTGTAATGATTTTCTGTCTTTTGAATGTTTAACCATTCTGTGACTTTTGCTTTATGTATGCTTCTCCATTGCGAAGTCCCAAAATGTGTGGAAGTCCCAAAATGCGGATTTGTTACGGAATTAAATTTTTGACCGTGCGAGTTAACTCCTCTCTCCTCTTTCTTTTTTCTTTCCTTTCCTTCTCTCTTTTTTCCTTCTTTCTCTTCTCCAGTTTTCTTCTCTCTTGTCATCTGGTGATTTTTTTCTTCTTCTCTCTTCTAGCTAATTGGCTCTTTTTTTTACTTAAGGGTCAAAAATTCAATTCCGTAACAAATCCGCATTGTGTGACTTCACAATGGAGAAGCGCCCTTGCTTTATATATATATATATATATATCACATTAATGATTAACAAAATAAACTTTTAATTATTTAGCAAAACAAAATTGCTTTATTTTCAGACCCAAAAAAAAAAATACAAATTTATAAATAAACCTAATCCTAGACATGTATTTATAAAAAAATTCAAGCACTATTTAAACATAGAAACACACCCAAAATCAACCACAAAGTCAACTTTTTGGGTGTGTTTATAAATGGGTTTTGAGTGTGTGTAATGATGGGTTTTGGGTGTGTTTCTATGTTTAAATAGTGTTTGGGTTTTTTTATAAATACATGTCTAGGATTGGGTTTATTTATAAATTTGTAAAAAAAAAAAGCATTATTCTATTAATATAATTTATCTTATTTTTTTAAATCAAACATGGCCGGTCGCTACAACACGCTTGGTTTTGGTTGTAAGCTAATTTCAATCTGCGTTCATCCAACGAGACGTCGACATTTCACTCCATTTCTTCCCTTCCACTGGTCCTCCTCTCTGAACACCACACAACAACAAACAACCGTCCACCACTACCAGTCCACAAATCCCAACCTTTCCCACCGTTTTGGGTGCCACCAATCGAAACCCAGTACCGAAAATCCAACAATGGAGTCCATAGGCGTTCTCATGCCAGCCCCAATGTCCTTATACTTACAGCAAGAGCTTGAGAAGCGCTTCAACCTCTTGAAGCTCTGGACCGTCCCTCAAAAAACCCAGTTCCTCAAGGACCATTCCGGCTCCATCCGAGCCTTCGTCGGTAATGCAGGGAACGGAGCGGACGCTGAGCTCATCGAGAAATTGCCGAAGCTGGAGATCGTGGCCTGTTTCAGCGTCGGGGTCGATAAGGTCGATTTGAACAAGTGCAGGGAAAAGGGTATTCGGGTCACCAACACGCCCGATGTTTTGACCGATGACGTGGCGGACCTTGCTATTGGGTTGACGTTGGCTGTGCTGAGAAGGCTCTGTGAGTGTGATCGGTATGTGAGGAGCGGGCAGTGGAATAAGGGTGACTACAACTTGACCACCAAGGTTGTGTCTTTTCTCTGTTTTTGGACTTGGTTATGCTTTTTTTTTTTTTTTTTTTTATTTTGGTTTGTTTTTCTTTTTTTCTTTTGGTCTCAAGTTATTGATTATGGTTTTTGTGATTTGTGTCTAGGTTTAAAGAGTAAAATTTTGTAATTGTGTTTTGTTATTTGTTGGGTTTGGTGGAATACCCAGTTTGAGTTTATGGTAAAAATTTACCCCAAAAAAAGAAAACCGAATTGTTTGAAAGAAATAAGAAACGTGATACTGGTATCGACCAGTTGAATTGATGATAAAGCTTTGTTGCTAAGCACAAGATGTGAAGTCCTGGATTTGATGTTCTTTACTGAGTTTAGAATTTAAAGGCATGAAATAATAGTGCTTCTGCAGATTAGCAGTCAGTTTAAGTACAGGCTGAAAGATGTCTTCAAGTGTTGTTGTCTGTACTGAAAGCAACTCTTGTACTGATGTATTTAGGATGACATCAACCCATACCCATTAAAGGGAAAGAGGGTGAGATGGTATTCGATATTGATTGTTTGTTTCTGATTCTTATTTGAATAGGTTCTTCTGTAGATGTAATGAGGAAAGCTTGCGGCTGTTGATTGTTTGTTTCTCATTATTGTATGTATATGCGCATCTGTGAACCCTTTGTGTTTATGGAGTGTTCATCGCATTCTATTTCTTTGGTTGAAAAATGCTTGCTTACTAGCTGCTTTGCTCATCGGGCTTGGTGTATCTATTGAAACTTTTCGTATTGTTTCCAATTTTACAGTAATGCATTTGAAAATTTAGTAACAAAATTCACTTCCATCCTGTATAATACTTTCAATGGTAACCAAACATGGTTATTTTTAATCTGTTTTATGTGCAAATGTCAATGCCTGTTGAATTACGCATTTTTCGATTTATTGTTTTCCTGTGTGTGGTTCTTGTGTCATCTCATTGGCAATATCGTGGACTTTGCTATTTCTCAATATTCTGTGTAATTGCTTTTGCTCCTCTGTCTTTCATGTATAAACTGCTTCCCTGTAGGTTTCAAGGAGTTTTGCCACTTTTATATAAGCTGCTTATGTGCTATGCACATGATAGCATAAGATACGAAGTCCTTTCATGAAATCAAGATTATCAAGATGTGTTGTTATTATGGTAGTTCGAATGTAATAATTTTGTGACATGTTGATATTTTGGGTTCTTTACCGCTTTTCATTATGTCTACCATTTTAAAGTTGGAGACAGATGTAGCTTTAATTTGAAATGTCGAGTTTATCAATTGATAGAACAAACAGCTTTTTTATATATTTATTTATAGGAATGTAGAACAAATAGCCTTTTTTCCCTTTCTCTTTCCCTTTCTTGGGCCTGAAATAGAGTTAGTAGTGAATTAGTAACTACGAGCTAGGGAAAAGTCTGCCTAAAACATTTCTTTCTTGATAGTGTCTTTGTTTTAATAGTTGTCCTTCCTTTTCAGTTCACTGGAAAAACTGTTGGCATCATCGGTCTGGGAAGAATAGGAAAAGCAGTTGCAAAGAGAGCTGAGGCTTTTAGCTGCCCAATCGCTTACTACTCCAGAACTGCAAAACCAGAGCCGAAGTACAAATACTACCCAAGTGTTGTGGAGTTGGCCTCCAACTGTGATGTTCTAGTTGTTGCATGCCCATTAACTGAAGAGACCCGCCACATTGTCAACCGGGAAGTCATTGATGCTTTGGGTCCGAAGGGTGTTCTCATCAACATTGGGAGAGGCCCTCATGTTGATGAAGCTGAGTTGGTGTCTGCTCTGGTAGAAGGCCGGTTAGGTGGGGCGGGGCTCGATGTTTATGAGAAGGAACCAGAAGTTCCCGAGCAGCTGTTTGGACTTGAGAATGTGGTGCTCTTGCCTCATGTGGGAAGCGGCACGGTAGAAACTCGCAATGTCATGGCTGACCTCGTGGTTGAGAATCTTGAGGCTCACTTCTTGAAGAAACCATTGTTGACACCAGTGGTTTAGTACTTGTAGTATCTGAACATGTCGTCCATTGACCACAAATGTCTTCTTCAATAATTGTTTCTATCAGACAAAAAGAGATGGCTGTTTCTAGGATTGGAAATGAGTCTTGGTGAAACAACTGATTGAAATTTCTCGTTAATTCATTGAAGCATGAATCAGTACATTTTACCCTTAATTGGAAACCTTCTAATCGAGAATTGCTAAATGCAACCTTAAGCAGAATTTTCTCTTTAATGGCTTAACAAATCAAATATGGATTGAGATACTAATTTGAACTTTTTTCTCTTGAAAATTATCATTTGCACCGTGCGATGAACTAGCCACAAAAAAGGAATTGCGAGAGTAAAATCCCTGTTGACTGTAAGTGAATAAATATGCACCTTTAGCTAGGCAGCTAATTTTGTGAGGACAAAATTGTCAAGTCTACATAGATAATGCTTCACAGAAAAGCTAGAAGCCTTAACAAGGGAGTGTATATACCAATTCCACATGCCTAACGTCTCCCTACAGACCATTAAAAATAAAAATAAAAAAGATAAAAAAAAGGTCTCTTCCTCAGTATTCTAGTTATAAATCACGCAGTAATCAGTATCATATCCTATCTCGAACTCTCGGTATACCAACCAGTATATGTATCTATAACTCATCTTTAGGGACATTATCTTTTTCTTTAGCAACATTATCTTTCGCTTTCAAATGTTTGTTGATAGTTGTGGCCAGGTCCTTCAAGCTGGATTTTGTGGAAAGTTTGATCTGCACAGTGGAAAACATTTCTTGCATAAGATGGCTCTACAGATTGGAATATAACAGAAAAACCGGGATGTGTAATGACTAATTACCGGATTGGCTTTATCATTGGCTGTGTAAAATAAGAGTGTTGGATAGTCGTTTACCTGCAATAACAAACAATAATAACTGAGATAGATTTCAAAATCATCACTCTAGCATCTCATCAACTGAAAACTTCATGGTTAGAGACTTGGAGTTGGTTCTCATTGATGACATTTCTGCCATATTAAATTGTTTGGAAATTGACACCCTCTGCCTATATGTACAATGCCTCACTATTTTCAGAGGACCAAACAAGGATTCACAGCCAGGACTTATCAAGCTACTGAAACAAAGAAGATGACCGGAACTCTAAATGCTCTAACAGGACATAAGTAAATGCTATAGGAAGTGCTTGAAACAAAGGCATATTCATAACTAGCCCTCCCTATGCTCTAAGATGCTATGAACACAGGATGAGAGTAAGTTCATGTCTGTATCTCCTTAATGCTTATCCAATGTCCAAGGTCATGGATTACATGAAAAGCTAGGTTTTATCCAATATTGATAACCAAAACATGATCCCAAAAATAACACTTACTTGCAGTTTTGGATGTTCATTTGCAGAAACATCTATTCTTGCGAAGACTAGATTATCCAAACCTTTAAAGTGCTTAGCCAACTTCTCAACGTGTTTGCTAGTGGTCTCGCAGTTGATGCACCATGGTGTGAACACCTGTTTCACAATGATGATAAATATTCCATGGGCATAGTCAAAATAGTCTCTCTAAAGAAAATTCTGAAACCTCAACACCAATTAAGATTTAAAAAATTCTGGAAGTTGGGTGGGGTATAAAGTTACGTATATTCAAAAAATTGGCTCACCGTCACCGCTATCATATGGAGATCAAGGTTATTATTGAATTCCATAATTCTTTGTTTTAAAGAAGTGGTTTCTTCTATGTATCTTGACCAATGGAACTCGAGATTACTAGTACAAAAATATGATGAATTCTACAATTCTTTGTATTTTCAGTGGTTTTTTGTCTGCTATGCAATGGCTTCTTTTTCGGGAAAAATAGGTGCAGTACCTGTATCAATGTACAATGTACATGCTCATATAGTAAAGAATATCAAAGAATACAATCATAACATAGCTCAGCCAAACTAACAGCACTGATATTCCATATTCCATATTTCATATTTTGTTTGATAAGCAAGACAAATCCTAACATAACAGTGCATAATTACATATAACAGAAACACTATTACATACTTTTCTTTTTCAAACATGAGGAACTTCCGCTTAGATGTGATCAAGTGAGCAGAAGTAGAAGGGAGAAACACACATACCTCTAGTAGAACATTCTTGTGACTATTCAAAACCTTGTCATCAAATGTCTTTCCTACAATGCTCTGGACAGTTTCATTTGTCTGCAATTTTCGCAAATGTAAGTAAGTGAGATCAAAATATGTGATATAGCATATATTTAAAAAATTCATAAAAATGTGACGCATCTCCCAGATTTATTGGCTGATTTAGACAATACTTTATGTTATAGAACTATAAGTTTACAAGAAGTGCCTTCATATTTGTTCTTAATGGCTATGTTAAACACCACACTACAGTTTTGGTTGGTTCACAGTTCACCAGCTCAGTGAATAACATAAACTTTTTGGCTGAAGGATAATGTAACACACAGAGAACCAATCATGCAACTATTGTCCAAAAGTATCCTAATAGAAAAGAAACTAAGATAGGATTCCAAGATTAAGTTATCATCACTGATCCCAAAAACCTTTGAGGAGGAAGGGAGGGGACTCACATTATCCGGTATTGGTTGCGATTTGAAGTGTGAAGATAGAGTACCATGCAGAAGCCCTGAGCAGAACTCCTACAAAAGCCAATTCAGAATTTTAGTGGCCTAGGTAGATATTCTTCACAAGGAAAATTCACAACATGAGAAATTGTTACTTTGATATTGCTTGGTGTTGGATCTGACTCTAATAAATATTTAGAGTTGACGCTGATATCAAAAGCAGTCACCTGTTCAGAGCACATACAAAACCTGATTAGTTATAGCCTTATTAAAAGCTTATTTGACAAAGAACATGAACTCATAGTCAACATCTAGTTCAGATGTGGGAAACTGACCACAGTACTATTTGATTCTTCAAGCCCAAATAATGTTAAGTACGGCTTAGCAAGGTTTTCATCTGTATTGTCTATATATATAAACAGTATCTGGATCAAGAGAATGACAAAGGAAAAATCATTAGTAGGTTTAACCAGTTCACCCAATAGCTTCAACATTTAGTGCATTTGAGTACCTTTGACTTGAACTGTCTAGCAACATCTTGAAGGGGCTCAAGAAATTTCGTAAAGTCATCTGCCTCTGCAAAGACAAGAACCTAGGCAATAATGAAAGAGAGTCATTAAACAAAATAACCTTGCAAGTATGCTTTCGCATTTCCAAATTGTGATTTATACTGAGCTTCAAGAAAAGTGTAACCCTTAAAAGTTAATGTACGTCCACAAATATTATTTTGACATATGATTTACATTGAATGACAGAAAACTGCAAATTGTCATTTTGAGTATCTTGAATTCCAGAATCTAGAAGGGAGATGAACAGTTCCACATGTTTGGAAGATCTTAATGTAGCTTTTGATTACTGTTTGTCAAATAATCTAATTCAGAAGTCCAAACTTGGCTCTTAATTGTGTACCAAGTGTACTAGTTCAATTTATAATTTTGAGTATTGTACACATGATTGTTGTTTCTTATTTATTTATTTTCAATGACCTTTTTCGTTTAATATTGTCCAGACTTCAAATTTTCATCTGCAACAAGGTACATGGTAAAACAATAATTCAACAAAAAGATGTAGACATATATATAATAATAATACAATTTATGATTGAAGCTTAAAAAAGATATGATGTATTGGAAGAAACAGCAACCTGAAGTTTAATAGGGCTGGAGTAAACTCTGGCGGAATTTGTTTCAGTCAGTTTGTTAACCAATGGAAGCTTGTTATAGTCTAGAAACTGCAAAATTTTGTCCGTTTCAAAGGTCCCTTCTGCAAAACCAAACAAATTCATGAATATGTTAGAATAAGTCCGTAACTCAAAAATATGTCTACTTATTGTTCACAGAATATAAACTTCATTTAATTAAAAAAAAAGGAGCAAAAATCACATATTGACCAAGTTGAACAAGCAAGCAGGAAAACAATAAATTTCATCACCTTGGAAAAAAAGGAGATATAAATTACACAAAGCACAAATACAACAAGAATAAAATTGAACTACAAATAACAAGCTTTTCTGAGAGAAAAATTGTGTTGGTAACAGATAAGTTTTACTCATTCACCAACTCACCATATGAAGTATATCTTTCTGGCTCACTTTTCACAATTCCAAGGAAAACATTAGTTGGTTTTACATTTGGAATGAGAACTTTAGCAACCTCGATGTTGCTTACTCCTACAAACTGGATTGCATTGTCCGCTGCTGCTGCTTTTACAAATTCTTCGTAGTCAGGCCCCTGAATAATTTCAGAACAAACATATAAGCCCAAGAATATAAATACTGTCCAAACAAATATTCAATCAAGGCAGAGGCCTCATTCTAACCCCAGATTCAAAATCAGGTTGACAGTTTTTCTTGTGTAGCATTCTAAGAAAATCTTGAAAACAATAAACGTGCACCAACCTCAAATTTTTCAAACAGACCAACAACAAATATATGGTGCTTTTTGAGAAACTCTTCCGCCTCTGTCACTGAGCTTATCCTAATAACAGGTTCACCAGTTTTCTTCCTTGCCCAAATCACTATTTCTTCCCTGAATCAAAATTTTCCCAACAAGAACATTAATGGAAATGCACAACTCAGTTGATGTATATATTCAAACACATACGTACATTATATTCATGCTGCACAGAAATGATTAAAAATTGTTCAAGTCAAACACACTATAAGGACAATAACAAGCACATAAGGCACAGAAATTTTCTGCTGAGTTATATTTTATCATCTCACTGACCACAAAACAACAAAGATTCACATAAAATATTTCAATTAAACAGTTTGACCAATTTGAGGGCTACTTACGCAGAAAAGCCACCGGTGTACACTTGAGAGGTGCCATTGACAAACAGAAGCAGAGTAGGGAACCCTTTGATCTCAAGAGACGACGCCGTTTTCGGATGCCGCTCGGCATCAAGCTTAGCCAACAAAAGGGGGCTTCCCAATTCTTTCAATGAAGTTGCAGCCTCAGCAAACTGAGGCATAAGCTCAGCGCTCCTAGAGCACCAAGGGGCATACCCAAGAACCAGAACAAACTCATGCCCTTCAATGACCCTCTTTGTGTTGTCATGGTTAAGCTCAAGAACAATCCTCTGGGCTTTGGTTAACACCTCTGCCTCTGAGGACCTCACACTGGCACTGGAACCTTCTTGCTCGTCTTCTTGTTCCACTTGTTCATCCAATGCCAATAGCTCCTCCAATTCACCATCTTCATTTTCATCTGTGGTGGGTTCAGAGGCTTTGATGGAAGTTAGGAAATTGACTAATAGGAGAAGGGTGAGGGTTAAAAGGATCAATCTTGAAGTGGGTTTTGGTCTAAACATGGTGTTGAGCAATGGGTTTATCAGAATTTTTCAGAGGGAAGTGCGGTTCTTGTGGATCTTGAATGAGACCTATGGTGTAAAAGACAGGGTCTTTGTGAGAAGCTTTTAGATCAGAGAGAGAACTGAGAAGGGGGTCTGTGTAACATGAAGATGAAAATGAAGGAAGGTCTTTAATATCTAGTGTCAGTCAAATATAATAGAAAGGTAATGTCCAATTCCCTTGATTGATGCTACTGCCTTTCACTGCCTTGATTGATGCAATTGTTGCCTTTGTATTTTTCTTTTTTCTTTTTGTAATATTATTAGAATAAATAAAAGAAATTGTCAATTTTTAGTTATTTTAGAAAATCTCAAATATTCTCTTTTTATTGTAATTTTATTTTGAATATAACATGCATGAACTATTTCTCATTGCTTCTTGTACATCCTTATCGTGGTAGCCACTACGAACCATGTTTTCAGGTACAAAATAAGGTTGACCATGGCAAAGTCATTATGAAATTGTTGCCATAACGACTTTCCCTTCCATCGATTCACTTCTTGTAGATAAAATTGAATGCAATCACAAAATTAATAATAAATGCTGGAACTTCAGATCGTTTTTCGAAAGGAAATATTTTTGCTCACCATTTTAAGCAAATGTGAGAATACATACTAGATTACTAATGATCATTAATGTTGAAATTACGATATTCCGTTTATGTTAGGAGCTGTTATTTGCAACCTAAAGTATTCTATTTATTTTGAAGTACTAATAACAGTTTTCTTTTTCTATTCTCATATTAATATTGTACTTATGTCTAAAAGGAGATTGCTTTAAGGTTTAGCGCCTAGAGATTATGATTTAGTGTTAAAAGACTTTACGTATCAGTAATGGAGAAACTAAGGAATCAAAGAATTTAGGAATCGGATAACTACTGAATCGATATGGGAAGAATCATTCCCATTAAGTTGTTTACTAAACATATGGAATTATCAATGGAATGAGATTGATTCTCATTGTTATTGTTTACTAATTTGCATGAATCAGAATTCAAATTAATTTTAGAATTATGTTAAAGTGATAAGGGTATTTTTGGAAGTTATTAAGAGAAAACAGGAATGGGAATCGTATCAACTACTCCCCCTAGTTGATCTAATTCCTAGTTTTGAAGGAATGTGATTATGGATTTTGAGGTGGGGCCCACTTATTTTTTCATTCATGATTGCAAGTAAACGCAGGAGAAGTCAGGAATGGAAATCATTCCCTTTCCTTCCACATCCATTACTGATACGTAAACATGCTCGTAAAGTAAGATATCAGCTAGAAGAGGTGAGCAGAGGATTTGACCCTCCAATTATATGACTCAGAACATTGTGCTGCACATCCAAAACGTCATTGTCGTTGAAATCGTTCATACAATACAACATGCATAACACAAATTCAAACTTATTTACATTCATTGGCACAATCCTCAAAGAGGATCACAACTAAACCAGTGCCAGGAATTGTCAAAGTAGGGATTTTAATCAGGCCATAAAAGAAAGCGAAGATTTTAACTTGTCGAAAATGAGCAACTCAACTCAAATTGCAGTACTCTGTGCTCCATGAAATTTCACAAGCAACGAGTAACAGATACTGCAAGTATGCACCTCAATGCTAAAGGACATCACTCATAAGTGCATGAACTCTTCTTGAACTTGATGGGTTTGGTAACAGTGGGATCCAGAACCAAAGGGCACGAGATTCGCCTTCGATGCTTCGTTTTCACTAGCTTCCCTACCACAAACGCTCGAGACCGGATTTCTAACTTTAAGGTCAATGGAATTGGAACCAACCCACCAGTCTTTGTGTATTTCAAACTTGATCCAGCCCCGTATAGAGGAACCTTAGTTCCTTGCAAGTTCACTGATACCGTTCGGAGACTCTTTCTTGGCTGATAATATTTCTTCAACTGCAACAACAAAGTTAGCAAAAGTTAAAACTTACCAAGAGGTTCCAATGGCAATGGAACAGCCATTGATCTTTATTGGGTTGGTTCAATATGCTTTGCTCTTTTGCCTATTTTGTGCAACATGCTACAACTTTCATTGTTTGTTAACATAGCATCTTACTGGTGTAAATTACGATTTTGGTTCCTGTGTTCTGACCTGAAAACCATTTAGGTCCCTTGCAAATTGGCAAATTGAAACTTCAGGAACCCAAATGTCGAGAAACAGAAACCAAAATGGTAGTTTACCCTTAAGATTAAGCAGATTGATCACCAATTTTCTTAGACATGAAAATGGTATTCATGGAGCACAGAATCCAACCTGGCCAGTTGCCACAGAAATCTCTGAGTAGGCGAGAATGATAGGTGCGGAGCTAACATGAATTCCAAACATTGAAGCAGAGTTGTGCACACTCAATCTTAATGAGCCATTCACTGTCAACATCTTTGTTGGAACCCCACTGAAATCTGAACCCTCACCAATATAGAAGTTGCTAATTTCCAAGCTCTGCAAGAATCACAAGTCCTCCGTTAGGCCAAAACAATCTCATCCTGTTTGCAACAGCAAAATTCCCACTTCATGCTACATTATCCTTCAATTAGAACCCCAACACACTTTTCTTTTTTTGCCTAATACACCAACTTATCATAAAGGGCATTTTGAAAATAGAAAACCAACGAGTCCAATTTCTACAAATAATCATTTTTCATCATGTCTCACACTATAAAAGGCTAAGGAACACATTGTTCAACATCAGAATAAGAACTTAGACAAAATTCAGTATCAAATGATGATAAAGACATATATACTATAGAAAATTTGGAACAAATATTAGACAATGACAAGTTGTAAAATTAGCATACCTTGACTACAACCGTTGCATTGTAAGGCCTGCTTGCACCCCATATAATCAAGCAGAAGATAGTGAACAACATCACAAAGCTAAGGAGAGCAATGCAGACCTGCACACGCCGCGAGAGCCCCTTATCAAAATCATCATAAGCCCCTTCTTCCATAATCACCTTACACTCTGGCCACCCCTTGTCATTCCTCTGCTTCCTACCGCCTTTTCTACCCGAAGAGGACCTGAAAATCCCCGAGAATCGACTCGCGGAGGAGTTCCTTGAGTGGCGGCCAAAGGAGGGGTGTGAGGGTGACTCCATGGGACTGTTGTTGTAGATTGGAGTGGCCTGCATTGATGAGGACTTGTCTCCATCATGAGAGTCCCTAGAAGGGCTCTGCACATAGTATACAGGTACCTTTGGGGACCTTGATGGTGATGATGGAGCTAAGCTTGTGACATCAGACTCAGATTTTGTTGAATGCAGCATTTCCTAGTAGTAACTATGCAGGATTGGAATTACAAGACAAGGCTCTGTGCCAAAAGCTTAAAACACAAATTTGGAAATTACCAAGTTCACAAACTAGTTGATGGAGCAAGAAAACACTAAAAATTGAATGGAATTTCACCAGAACTTCAGACTTTGAGCAAGTTCTCTGAAACCCAGAAAAGGGTTGGAAAGATATGAACTGGTTTCCATGCTAAAGTGAAGAAGTTGACCAATTGAACTGTGTACTAGAAAGAAAAATGAACAAAATTGAAAACCCTTTATGGAATTTTCACAATTGAACTACTTCAACAGATGAGATGGTGATAAAGAATAGTCAAGATTGTATCAAATGCCACCATAAATCACTGTCTGTTTCTCTCTGCTGTGTCTCTCTCTCTCCCTCCATATGTAAGCAAAACAAAGATAGCAAGTCTGAAGCTTTCTTTTTCTTTTTCTTTTTGCACTCAACGACCAATGAGAAGCTATGCATGCCCCCACTTGACACTTTGTTTTTTAGCCACCACCAGTTGTGAATTGGGCAAGTAAGTGTCGGCAGAACATATTTTCTTGTTATTATATTACCCCATAAATAATTGTCTAATTATGTAATTGTGATTATATATGTTTTCTGTAGATATGTGACAACGATGCTCCTAATGGTATTATTTGTTTTGATGGGTGTTTCGACAAACTACCTAATAAGATTCGGAGCCTAGTGCTTGTGACTTTTTATTTTATTTTATTTTATCTGCATGATTGTCCTTATATAAATGTTTAATATTTACGTTTATGCTTTTCTTTGGTGGTGCTTTGGAAAATGTTTTGTTTATGTATGTGTGTTATAAATTTTCTCATCCTATTCCTGTCATGACATAAGAGGTCTGTGACTTGTGAACCACACAGACCACAAAAATAATTTTTTTTATTTATATTTAAAAAATAACAATAATAATAATAACCACAACAAAGTCAAGCACCTACACTTCGCCACGTGGTTTGCGTTCTAAGGGTGGGTGTGAATAAGCATGGGGAAAAAGTCATTGTTTTCTCTACTCGTGAGACAGGAGAAAAGGAAAGGAGGTGATTTGGAACTTGAATTTTCTTCTTTGGGCAATTTAAGGGCAAGACGTTTGGTTTTTTTTTTCTTTGTTCAAAAGACACTTCATTCAATTAGGTATCATAAGTTAGCACATTGGAAAGGTCTTCTTCTATCCTAATTTGAAAATTGAGACACACAAACACATTCTTAGCAAAAAGATGCATCGTCTGATTACAGATAAAGTGAGCATACATATACGAATAGTATAAAAAGAACCGAATAGATTCTTCATTTCCTAAACTAATTTTTTATTTTTTAAATTTACTTTGCCTATTTTATTTTTTCCTTTTAAGTAATGTTAGAGGAGCAACTACAAATTGGAAAGAAAAAAAAATAACAACAAAAGAAAACAATATCATCGATGCTGGTAAGTATTAGGTTTATTAATAGTGAACGGACTAGAAGCCCAATAGTGAGTAAATTATAAGCAAAAAGGTCCAATAGCAAGCCCAAAAATCCAAAAACTAAAAAGACAAAAAAGAGAGTTTGGAAGCCTTCTCCTATATCAGAGCCAGGTTTCGATCCTGGGACCTGTGGGTTATGGGCCCACCACGCTTCCGCTGCGCCACTCTGATCTGTTGAACATTGCCTACACTTATTCGTATTTAACCATTTCTTAAATATGCATAATGGCTAATCTTCTTCTACAAATGTAATTTCTGCCCTCAGATCCTTTTTTTTTTATTTTTTTTTGGGCCTCACTAATTTTTATATTTTGCATCCAGCACTTCCATGGGTTATCTTTTTCTTTTTTGGGCCCACATATTGGTTATCTTTCTGTAACCTTTGAATTATATAAAGTTACACACTTTCCAAATTGTCATTGTAGTTCCTCCATAATACATATATATTTTGTTTGAAAATTCCAACTAACAAAAAATTGTTGGCATGACCTGTAGATTATTGACTTTCCTTTTACACCAAGGATTCCCATATTTATTGTAATTGATTTACTTTAATTCAAACCTTGACCCTCAAAGGAGGAGGGCTCACTCACAAACCACTACACTAAACTTGATTTTGTAATATTTATTCAGTTATACAATATTTATATAAACAATCAAAGGTTTAAAAAAGAAAAAAATCATTTCAACACATATTCACGCAAAAACTGCAAATAAAAACAAAAACTGCAACAAAAATACAATGTAGATATCAATTATGTAAATTTTTTAAAAAAAAACAAAAATTAATTTTATAGTAGCAAAAATTGCACTACAGAGTATGGGAAAAAAATAGACATATGAAAGTACTAGAAAATTATACAAAAATGTCTAACCAAATAGCACCTCAAACCAAATCTGATAAATAAATAAAAGCCAAAGTAAAAAATAAAAATTACATCAAAGAGTTGAAAAATCCACTTATAAAAAGCAAATAATAACTAGAAAATTCAAATAAGAATTTGATCACGAATATACATACCTCAACAATAGAAAAACTGAGCTTCACATCAAAACATGAATAATGTAATAGAAGAAGATCGAAAAATGCACTGCAGTTTCTAGAAAAACCAAAACTTCTCATATTTAAGTGGGATTTCAAAACAAGGTAGATATCAATGATGTAAATCAATGAAAAATGCAAAAACTGCAAACTACAAACAAAAACTACACTCCGGAGTATGAGGAAAAATAAATATATTAATAAGTGAGGAACCAAAATGGAAAACCAAGATGAAAGTACTAAAATGGAAATTGCGAAGCAGAAACGAAAACTACAATGTAGAAGCGGAAACTGCAATGCTGAAACGGAAATTGTATTGCATGAACGGAAACAGCAATACAAAAATGGAAACCACGATGCTGAGTCTGGGCAAAAATGCTCAGCTCTAGAGTTAAACAAAACAAAATAATTTTTTTATTTTATTCAAGACATGTTAGGAGAGGGGGAATCATATTGAAGACCACCTAGAATGTAAAATAGGTTATTCATGTTTCTATTTTCTGCATTGTAGGTTCCGTTTTTTGCAATGCAGTTTTCATTTTCTGTAATACAGTTTCCGTTTTCTGCATTGTAGTTTCCGTTTTCTACAAAAAGCAAAAAGATATATATGCAGACAAAAGCATTAGTTGGCTCGTGATTTTGAAACAAAGAGCAAAAAGAGATATATGCAGACGAAACGCAAGCAACTTCTAAACAGCTTGATAATCTAATTTCAGTAAAATTAGACAATAGGGCAGTTAATACATAGCAATATATGTCATCATATTGATGAAAACCATATGAATTCCACATTTACAATAGGTATTTAAATGAACTGAAATTAATATAAAATTTGACTCAACTAAGCCTTATACCAAATTATCCATCATTTCCTTCTCTACCAATTTCTCTGCAACCAATCTACACAGAGAGAGAGAGAGAGAGAGAGAGAGGAGCAAAAACTTACAAGGGTGATCATCTCTTCAAGAACAGAAGTGACTTGGTCACCACTTTTGAGAAGAGCTTCATATCGAGCAATGTCCAATTTTGAGTTGCCTTGCTCTTGGGTAGTTCTACTTTTCTCTTGCCTACCCAATTCCTCATATGGGTAGCCTCTATTCTTCAAATTGGTGAGGTTGAAGGCCAAGGAAATGGCAAAAATCCAACTGTAATTAAATGAAAACTGCAATGCAGTTTCCAAAACTGTAATGTTGTTTGTGCAAAACTACAATGCATAACCTGTATAAAATTTCATTGAACTAAAGCTTAGATGGTTGCAAAATGTTACTTAAAATATTATATGATAGTGACCATTTCCAAATCAAGACAAATGCATAGTAAGTGAGCTTTATAACAAAAAGTTGCAGCTAAATTAGATTATTACCTTACATACGTGCATACATATATTTGATCACAAACTCTCACATACCAAAGAACCTTAAAATTAAAGTCATCCTTTCACTTTAGAAATTTGAAATTTAAATTAAATTTCGGGGTAGGATGTTACAACATATATAAATTCGATGGTCCAACAAGTATCTATGATTACATTTCATATTAGACAATTTTCTATTCTTCCATTATGAAAAGAAATGCTGCAACAATAGGAAGCAGCTCCAGAAACTAAGAAACAATTCAATTGTTACCAATATACTATCAACGTACAGACTAATAGTGTAGATATCTACTCCAGATAGTATTCCTTTTGGAAGGAGAGGACTAGATGGAGTTTGTAGGACAACAAAGATCTTGTTGTACAATTAAAGAAAGAAGTTTTGCCTTCTCTGATTTGTCCAATACTAGAAATATGGGTAGCAGGGTACTTATATAAAGTTCATGGATTCACTACACTTGTAACGTATAATCCTGTTAATACTTTAACGACTCCATCATTTCAAAACATACATAATTAATTGTTATAGTAAAATATCATGGAAAACCATAACTATATAATTAATAGTTTCTCCAAGAGAGAAATTCCACCAGTAATTGAGAAAATAATAAACAAAACTTCAATATTAGAAATGAGGAAACATGCAAACAGAACAGAAAGGGAGAGAGGATGAAGGGATACCTGGAAGCTGGTAATGCTTTCTTTCAACTCCACGTATTTTTCAGGGGCACCAGTGAAAACCTCTGCAACATGGAATGGCTGGCTCAAGAAACGTTGAATTTTACGGGCACGGGCGACTGTCCACTTATCGTTTTTACTAAGCTCATGCATCCCCATAATAGCAATAATATCACTAACAAAAAAATCACTTCCAAACTCAAATCTTATCACAAACGGCAAAATGAGAACAAAATCTACATCAAATACTTCAAAATCAACTTCTTAAACCAAAACATAACTACAAAATTTAAATAAGAATATGATCTAGAAAACACATACCTCACTAGATGAAAAACATGAGAAGAAGGAAGATGAGAGAGAGGGTGCCATCATCGATGGAGCGAATAAGGAAGAGGAGAGAGAACGGGTGTCATCATCGTTGATTGAGCGAAGAAGGAAGAGGAGAAAGAAAGGTCATCGTCGCGTCGTCGATGGAGCGAACAGGGAAGATGGGAGAGAGAGTGTCGTCGTTGATGGAGAGAGAGAGAGAGAGAGAGAGAGAGAGAGAGAGAGAGAGAGAGAGAGAGAGAGAGAGGTAAGATCGAGTTTTAAACAAAAGGGTAAAATTTCATTTTACCTTTATAATTTAGACAGGCCCAACGAATCTGGGCCTCCTCTTTAGGCATATCCAAAATAAAATTTGATTCTTCAGTGTTAAAACCAAAACATAAAATACTCTATGTCTCAAATTCAAATTAGTAAATATTGTTATGTCTAATACCTAATTTTTCTTTATAAATATAACCTCCTACAAGGAGAGGAATTCACAAAAAATTCCTACAAACAAATATTCTCTCATAATTTCTCATATTTTAGAATGGTATCAGAGCATCGATCTTGAGATTGTTAACTCTAGTTTCAAACTCTCGCCACCATAAGGGAGGATGATTTTTTCATTCCTCATGGAGGTAGCACCATCGACCCCGCCTCTCCTTCTCACTCGACCTTAGCCAAATTGAGTGCTCAGATGACTCAGTTTGTAAAGATGCAGAATCAGACCTCGACCCTTGGCGAATTGAGTGCTCAGTTAGGTCAATTCTTAACGATGCATAACCAGACCCCAAACTCGATCCTAACTCAGGACCCGACCAAGACCTTGATTTCGACCACGATCTTCGAAGAATTGACTTCCAGAAAGACCAAGACCTCGAATATGTCTCTGATTCCGACCCAGATACTGACTCCGACTTAGATTCTGATCCTGATTCCTACTCAGCCTATATCCTTTGCATCTTCCGCTGCATAGATTAGGACTTCCTGACTAATGACCCCGACACATGGAGAGATTGCGCATCCTGTGGGGATCTGAGACACACTCATGAGACTTGTTTCAAATTGCATGGCTACCCCAAATGATGGGCTACTCTTAAAGATTGAACACAACGTGATACTGCTAGTAATGGTACTGGTTATGGATTCCACACTTTAGATAAGAGTGATTCCCAAACTGAATAAGTGATTCCGATACAACTGATCATATGACGTTTGATCCTGATGATTTTTTTAATACTACCCAAAAGATTAAACACAACACGATACTACAAGTAATGGTACTGGTTATGGATTTCATACTTCAAATAAGAGTGATTCAATAGGTTGAATAATTGATTCCGGTGCAACTGATCATATAACGCTTGATCCTAATGAGTTTTTGAATACTATCCAACCTAGACGAACTTGCATTGCTAAAGCTAATAGAGTTACTTATCCTGTGATAGGGGCTGACATTGTTGATATCTCATCATCTCTCTCATTATCTAATATTTCACTTGTTTCATCTCCATCCAATAAATTGACGTATGTTGGTCAAATTAATGAACAATTGAATTGTTGTGTACTAATTTACTCAAGTTTTTGTTTACTTTAAGATATTCACACTAAGGAGATTCTTGGTCGTGGTACTAAGCGATGGGGTCTCTATTATGTGAATTATTTTAGTCACAACATGGTGTTGAGGCCCAAAAAATCCAGAGTTTGGCCCAAATAAATTATTGGCCCAGTGCGACACCTTATTAAGAAAAGACTCAGTTCAGAGCACGCGAAATTCGTCATGCATGCTTGCACGAGCCACGACCACGTGCCATGCCAAATAAAATATGCAATCCATAATGCTAAGAATTAAAATGAGCCTATAAAAGGCACTTGCTCTACAAGCCCATGCTAATTATTTCGTTAAGCATTATGTCTCTTTTCAAAGACGATAAAATTCAAGCATGCCAATGGACATGCCATGCCAAGCAGGAAATCATTATTTCACACATAGCCACGCTACAAGGTTAAGCGGGCCCAAGCCACACAAATGCCCGAGGCTTGCTTGATTGAGTTGTGGTATGGATGGCAATGAGCTTTCACGAGACCCATTGATGAGCCGAGAAATGGAAATTTTGGGCTGCTTGGGAGCCCCAAAACTCAAGCCCAATTATTTGGGTAAGCATAAAAGAGAGAAAAAAGCCCAAATACCCTAGAAAATTAGCCCATAACTTAAGGAAATTAGCCCATGTCCTTAATGGGTTAACTCATCGCTTTAGCAAGGCCCGACCAAGCCAAGAAAAATATCTACAGTCTCCATCGCTTAGCTGGAAACATGAACCATGATAAAAAGCCAAAATGTGTATGTTTGTAAGCTAATGGGAGGCTTCAGCACATGGGAAAAAACAAACCTCAAGGCAGATCCTTCAAGAAACCAGAGGATATTGACGTGCGCAGGAGAAAAGGTAGCCTTCAGACCAGCCAAAGTTATATATCTCCTTCATTGAGCAGACCTTGCCATGAAATAGGGGAGGAAATGAGGAGAGATGATAGCAAAAAAAAGAAAAAAAAAGAAATCACCACTGAAATAGCTAAAGCCTAGAGCTCCCAAAACCCTGTTTTTGTGTGATTGGGCAGAGAGAATTTCACCAAATAGGATGAGTCAAAGGAAGAGAATAGATAGGAAAGGAAAAACTTGGCAAAATTGGATATAAACCATTAGAGTTTCTTGGAAAGAAGGAGCTTCCAGCGCCTATAAAATGAGGCTTTTTCTACCCAGCAAAATCATCATTCAGAGTGTGACCAAGCTTTGTTAAGCAACTGGAAATTCACTCAAACCACACCCATTACTTCACCACTAGCTACAACACACATTTAGAGAGCAAACTTCATCTCTCATATTTGAAACCTCTGCAATTTCGTGCCATATTCCTTCATTTCCTCCCATTTTCTCTTCTACTAAATCATTCCATAGCTTGATAGACTTTTCGTCAAGTTGCCGGAAACTGCTCAACACAACCATCATACCTCCATCTCTCTTTCTCTTCAACAAACCCTCTTAGAATCTATTCCCTCTTGTCTTAAAACCCATGTTTCTCATAGGAATTCACAGCCTTCTTTTTGTTTATGCTAAACTCATGATGGTTTTGCTCCCATGCCACAAACTTCTCATGCCAAGCTAAGAATCTACCTGTAAGCAATTGTCTTTTTTGTTGGTGAAGATAACCAAGGTGTTTCCTAAGGCTCCGCTACCCTTTCGTAGTATTCTTGGGGTCTGATATTTGAACTCAAACACAGGGGGTAATGTCATCAGTTTGCTTCTTACGACAGCCCAGCCCATTCGTCAGGCTGCTAGAACGAAAAAGACCCATACATATGGCTAACAATGTGACGCATCTCTCTAATAGCAAACAAAAGCAAATCTAGTTGTGGCACTGTCAATTGGTACGTTCGTCTTTTAGTTATATGAAACATATTCTGCCAGATTTATTCTCAGATTTTAAAGACTACGACTTCAAATGTGATACATGTATTATGCCCGAGAGTCACCATGTGCCCTATCCGTTGAGTACGAGCAAGTATACTACTCTGTTTACGCTAATTCATTTTGATGTCTGGGGACCTTCACCTATCACTACTTCTTCAGGCGTTCAATGGTTTGTCAAATTCGTAAATGATTGTACACAGATGACATAGCTTTATTTGATGAAGAATAAAAATGAAGTGTTTTTACTATTTCAATTCTTCCACAAACATATGCAAACTTAGTTAAATGCTAAAATATAGATTCTTCGCTCAGACAATGGTGGAGAATTTGTCAATCATGACTTTCAGACTTACTTCCAATATTGAATTATCCATGAGACGACTTGTCTTCACGCACCACAACAAAATGGTGTTGCTAAACAAAAGAATCCACATCTTATGGAAAGAACCTGAGCACTTCGAATTGGTGCTCATGTTCCTCGTCATCACTGGATGTTGTTATCGTCACTGCCGTTCACTTGATCATCTGCATGCCATTTGTGGTCCTAAACTTTCGTACTCCCCTACAAGTGTTCTCGCAACACGGGCACTGCGCTCTATTTTGGTGCTCACACCCTGAATCTTTGGATGTGTGGCATTTGTTCATCTCCACAAAAATCAACGTAGCAAGCTTGATCATCATTGTTTCTTTTTTTTTTTTTTTTTTTTTTTTTTTTTTTTTTTTTTTGGATCACTTATAAGAAAGGTTATCGATGTTATCACCCTCTCACCTGCCAGACGTATGTCACTTTAGATATAACCTTTCTGGAATTTGTGAAGTTCTTGCAAGATCCCGCATCCAATTATATGCTTCAGGGGGAGATACGAAGTGAAGAGTAGAATTGGAGCAACTTGGAAAAAGAACAAATTTGTATTTGCACAAAAGCAATCAATCGTCTTACCTTTAACGATAGATCGCCACAAGGTTTGGAGCATGGGTCTTCTCTCTGCCAAGAAACAATCTCTCGTCCAACACCAACGATTGATCGCCCCGAGCATGGAGCACAATGTTCTTCTTTGCCGCAAACCGATCAATCATTCATTCCGTATGATTTATCGCCTAACCCCTGCAAATCTGCTTTTGATTTGAGTCTCACTCCTAGAAACAACCTATAGCAACAAGTTGAAGACCATCCCTCTCACTCAACAGTACCAACGGATCAATCTTCTGAGAATATCTTTGAGGTAACTACTCCTACTACACTTGTGAATTTAGAGGATAAATGTATTGGATATCAATTACCTTTCCGGTACAATCGTGGGAAGCCACAAAATCGTTATTCACTAGATATTGGCAAGACATCAAAGTATCCAATTGCGAATCATGTATCCACCGAGAAACTGTCTAAACCACTCAAGGCTTTGTGCATCGGTTGTCTGCTATCCTTATCCCAACCAAGGTTGATGAAGCATTGAAAGACCCTAAGTGGGTTCAAGCTATAAAAGAAGAGACGAAAGCTCTTGAGAAAAATTAGCCTTGGAGACTGGAACCTTTACCAAAAGGAAAATGACCGTCGGATGTACATGGGTGTTTACTATTAAACACAATGGTGATGGATCTATCAAGCGATACAAGGTAGGCTTGTGGCCAAATGATACACACAAACCTACGATATAAACTATGAAGAAACCTTTGCTCCAGTAGAAAAGTTAAATACCATCGGAGTCTTACTGTCCCTTGCAGCTAATTTGGATTGGTCACTACACCAGTTTGATGTAAAGAATGCTTTCTTGCATGGAGAACTCACAGAGGAGGTGTATATGAGCATTCCTCCTTGATATAATACAACTAAGATTGGAACAGTATGCAAATTACGAAAGGAATTGTATGTATTGAAACAGTCACCGCGCGCATGGTTTGGACGGTTAACCATGGCGATGAAGAACAATGGTTTTAGATAGAGTAACTCAAATCATACTATGTTCTTGAAACATCAAAAAGGGAAGGTAACTGCTTTAATAATTTATGTTGACTCTATGATTATTACTGGGAATGATAAATATGAAATATCTTAGCTACAAGTCTAACTACTGAATTTGAAATGAAGAATCTAAGTGGACTCAAGTATTTCTTGGGAATTGAGATGGCCTGATCAAAGCAAGGCATATTTCTCTTTCAAATGAAATATGTCTTGGACTTGTTAACAGTCATAGGAATGCTAGACTACAAACCTGTGGACACTTCTATTGTTCAAAATCATCATATTGGAGAATACCTAGATTAAGTTCCAACTAACAAAGAAAGATACCAATGGTTAGTGGGAAGATTGATATATTTGTCACATACCTGACCAGATATTGCTTATGTGGTGAGCGTCGTCAGTTAATATATGCATTCTCTAAGTGAAGACCACATGAATGCAGTTCTTTGGATACTTAGATATTTGAAGTATGCACCAGGAAAAGGACTTACGTTCTCATAACGTGGTCATCTTAATGTTGATGGGTATTTAGATGGAGATTGGGTAGGCAATGTAACAAACAGAAGATCCACATCTGGTTACTTCATATTCATGGGAGGTAATTTTGTGACATAGAGGAGCATGAAACAGAAAGCTAGTGCAGAAGCCGAGTTCAGAGGTAGGACTAAAGGAATTTGTGAGCTCATTTGGTTAAAGAAGTTGCTTACTGAACTTAGGTATGAACCTACATCCACAATGAATCTTTTTTGTGACAACAAGGTTGCAATCGCTATTGAACAAAATCCGGTTCAACATAATTGCATCAAACATGTTGCGGTGGATCGACACTTCATCAAACAGAAGCTTGAGGCTAAAGTGATTCAGTTTCCTTTCGTGAAGTCCGAGAATCAATTAGTGGATATTTTAACAAAGGAAATTTCCAGTAGAGCATTCCACAATTCACTGGACCAGTTGGGCATTGGCGACATCTATACACCAACGTGAGATGGAGTATTGGCGTAACTTGTGGACCATTGACTTTCCTTGCTCACCAAGGATTCCCATATTAATTATAATTTATTTACTTTAATTCTTAATTTCCTACTGTAAATAGAAATAAGAATTTATTATTTTACTTGGCCACTAAGGATCCACTGTATTATAAATATGACCGCATACAAGGAGAATAATACACAAAAAATTCTCACAAACAAATATTTTCTCTAAGTTTCTCATATTTTAGCTAAAACTTCGAATTGAAAATCATAATAATAAACGCCTTCATGACTTGTAAATATTTCAAGGCCGAACGACATGATATTCGAATCAAATCAAATCACCTCCTAAAAATCCCCATGACAAAAATGTCAACATCAACACCCCATATACGTGAAATATCATCAACACATATTCTCAAAGTATGTAATGATTCGATGGTGTAAAGAGAGAGCAAATTGCAAGTTAGTGACTCGATTCACATAATCAACTATGGGTGATTCTGTGCATATAAAAATTGAAATAAGAGAGACGTCAAAGCCAAGTAAATAGACTGTGCAACAAAATCAGGGTATCAAGGAAATATATCATGGAATTCGATTTGAAAAAGGTCAATAAGGAATTGTAAAAATGATGTAGCTTATTTATTTTCAGAAAAGAAAAAGTCCAAGCATGAATCTTGTTAAATTGATCTATCTTATTATTGATAGTATTAAGAGGGGAAATGTTTGCATATATGGATTTAGAGCGGTTATACTCCTCATTCTGCATATGAGTTTGAATCCCTCTTCCCTAATTTAGATCGTTTATATCAAGAACCAAAAAATAAAGAGGGGAAATGTTTAATAGGGTTTTGGGACCATGTAAGTAAATTGGAAAGTATTTAGAATCAAGCCCGTTAATGATTTTACTGATAACTTACCTCATAATGTTGGAAGATATTTTAAGTTTAATACTCCGATCCGAAAAGTTAAAACAGAAATTTTTGAAAACATGATAAGATGAGATTCATACACATGAGTACACATCAATTCAATTTCTTGAGCAAATATCTTGGAAATATGTGATGAAATTCACAAACACGAGTAAGTCTCACCTTGATTTAGGATCATCCGTAAACCTCAAAATCTTGAAGTGTCAGACTGAGATGATACGAATAGCAATACACAAACCTCCAATCTTATCCATACCCAAAAAGCAAACATAAAAAAACTAAAATGGTCCATAACGTGGCAAGAGCCGTACTGGTTATATAATTAAAAAAATAGAATAAAGGCAAAGAGAGTCCATAAAGTGAGGAGAAAAGACTGAGAAAAACAATATTTATTGGAGTACGTGCCAGGTTGGAATTGCCTTTATGGGCTTCAGCAAAATCTGCCGTGTGTTTATCTCTGTCTACCTCCTCCAGCAACATGTGCCATTTTTTTCCCTCTTCTATTTCTGATAGCCACACTCTGAAAATTCATATTAAAATCAAGAGAGAATCATTTCCTCCTTGAAGATAAGAACTACCAAATCCTACAAAATCCCAACTGGGTTTTCTTCTCCAGGGACAAAAACAGAGAGAGAGAGAGAGCGAGAGAGAGAGAGAGAGAGAGAGTGAGAGCCAAAGAGAAGAAAGATGTTGGAAGGCAAAGCTTGCGTGGAGGACACAGACATGCCAGTGAAGATGCAGATGCAGGCCATGGCTGCTGCTTCTCAAGCTCTGGATCTTTATGACGTCTTCGATTGCAGATCCATAGCTGCCCACATAAAAAAGGTACAAACTTTCTCTGCCACTTTGTCTAAACTAACATAATTGAAGAATTTCCTCTGTTTTCTTTCTGTGGTTAATTGATGGATTTTTTTAATTTTTTTTCAGGAGTTTGACATGAGATATGGGGGCGGTTGGCAATGTGTGGTGGGCTCAAACTTTGGGTGTTTCTTCACTCATTCAAAAGGAAGCTTCATCTACTTTACACTTGAGAGTCTCAGCTTTCTCATCTTCAAAGGGGCCTCTTCTCCTTCCTCCTTACCCAAAGGCTAACGCAGTGTTTGGCAGAAAAGAAAAAAAGTTGGAGATTCAGAAAGGCTGTACAGTTTGCTTTTTTGTTTCCCTTTTTTTGGGTTTTTCTGGTTTTCCTGAACAGGGTTGGTTTTGCAATGGTGATGTTTAGGCTAGGCTATGCTGGGTGGGGACTTTTATTTTGTGATCAAGTGCTTTGTAATGTTTTTCTATGCAATGCAATGTGATATAGCTTTTAGCTTTTAGCATTTTTTTATTTTTTTATTTTGGGAATCTTTTGTTACTGTTTGTTTTCTGGAATTAATTTCCTATGTGACATTTTCTGGCTCAAAGGGAAGAAAGAAGGACCCAAAATAACAGGAAAATGATTTTGGTGAAGTATTCACCAGAGTTTAGCCTAAACTATTTTTGTTTTGTGGATGTTCTTATCAGTTTTGTTTTTATTTTTTTTTAGTTTAGCCTTCTTTCTTTAGAACTAGTTTGGAGTTGGATATGCCTCTAAAATCTACGCTTAGAATTGTTTCCAATATTAAAAAGATGGATTAATTTCAATTTAGTACTCTCCAATTGTACTCGGAAGACAAATTAATTTCAATTTTCAATGTAGTTTTGGTTTTGGTTTTATCCTAGGATTAGGATATATTGTCTGAAAATACCCTTAAAATAACTTTAAAACACAAAAATGTGAGACCTACGTGGCATATGAATGGAATGTCCTAGATTGACTGAAGAGTGAGTCAGCAAAAGTTAGCATCACCAAAGATGTCTCAATCCACCTCCTCATTAATCCTATCCCTTTGTCCACCACTAACTTATTGAGATTCACATATTTTTTCCTATTTATCTTCTCAATCACCAAGCAAATTAGTATATGATGTCGATAAACCTCTTTCTAAGGCAAAAATAAAAATAAATATTAGAGTAGTATTATCTTCCACTAAAAATATAAAATCAGCCTGGGAATTTAGCAATGCTTATGACAACCTTTGTTATCTACCACAAATTGCTTGTAGTTCTATAATGGTAAATGTTGAGCATGGTATGCTAATTTTAGTTTGAAAGGGGAGGAAAGGATGCGCAGCGACTGATTCTTTTGGCTAATTTTATTAATTTTCATAAGTTTTTTATTTTATTTTTAAAATCAGCGATATTGGATGAGGTGAGAATCAAACTTAGTACCTCAAGTGCGTGAGTAAATACTCTTGACAACTTGTGGTATAAGCCCCTTGCATAAAGTTCAAGTATATGTATTTTTTTGTCTAGAAACATAAAGTTCATATTATTAGTTTAGTTTACATTGCGTGATTTGATATTTTTTTTAAATACAAGTGATAGTCTAAATTATAAAGGGAGGAAGATTTCTCATACATACACACACTCTACCACGGTGCCATAAGGTTTCGAATTTGAGACCACTTATCTACAAATCAAGGCATTTTTTTATTGGACTAGACCCTATGTCTACATAATTTGATACTTAAACTAGCAAAAAAGTCACCACCTACTTTTACTTTTGTTTTGTTTTGTTTTGTTTTTTTTTCATATACAAGCGATATTGGGAAGGGTATTTAAACCCAAAAACTCGGTGGAAGAGTAGCTTCTCTTAACAACTTGAGCTACAGATTTGGCATGAATGAATAGGCTGATTTTTATTAGCAGTATCTTGTAGGTAGTGATGCGGTGATTCAAATACTTGTCAATTTCATCCTCACCTTGTCCTTGTCAAATGCATCCATATCTAGAATTGTGTCAATACAAGTTTATGCATCTGAATAGCAAGTATATCCAACAATTTTAAAAATAATAAACAAATGCAAAGCAGAAAATTGAAGTTTGACTTTAGCATTACCGTTGGCACACTTAAATCATATGATCATTGCAACATGATTTGAAGTGTGAAGAATTTTGATGGTCTGGGAGTTAAGGAAGTCAAGAGAAGAGTTAACAAGATTAGGATTTCTGAGTGCACATTTTCTCAAACCCCAGGTTTTCCTTGTGCTCAATCTTTTTCACCATGTTTGCTATGCCAACCCCACCTGTTCACAAACAAAAGCTATGTAAAACAGAAAATCCATATCTTGATCTGGACACATATGTAAAAATGACACATACCTAATGTCAATGCACTCACAAATATTGTGAAAGCCAGAATGAAGATGATCAAGGATGCTCTTCCTAATGCTTTGATCACCTTTCCTACTAAATATTGCCCCATGATCGCGGAAACGGTAGCAACAGCAGCGAAGTAGAGAGCTGCAGAAGAATCACAATGAAATAAAAGCCAACATTTATGACTTAGTTGAAGATAGAAATCATCTTCTAGACTTATTGACACAGAAACTTGAAAGGTTAAGAAATTTACCATATGGAATTGGAAACCGTTTTAGGAGGTAGTATTCTACCACAGACATGGATGAAGAGAATGTCATGATAAATGTGGCTGTGGCACTTGAAACCTGCAAATGTAAGGAGGATTTAAAGGCGTCCAGTAACTTCCTAGAAAGTTTATGATGGATAGCTTTTACCCTTTGAGGGGTGCAAAAAAGGAAATGAAAACAATGTGAATTGTACTGTAATTAATAAAAAAATTGTAACTTTCAAAGGAAACAAACTCAACTGCAGAACTTATCAAATGTTGAAGCATGAAATGTACCTGAGGAGGAATTCCCATCTCCAAAAAGACTGGGCCCATAATAAACCCTCCACCAAGACCAAGCAACCCACCAAGTATTCCAGCTACTATGCCAAGGACGCAATAAGAAACAAGCTTGTGCACTCTCCAGTTTGCACCACCTTCTCCCTTGGATTCAATTATTATGCTCCCCTTGTATAGCTTAACTGCCTCATATGAAGTTATCCCCACGGTCACCGGAATCTGAACAAAAAGAAGGAAGAAAAAGTTCCCATATGGTTAGGTTCTTATTTCACAATCATCATTTCCAGCCACAAGGAAGATAGCTTTCCTGATACAAGCAGCATGGAATGTACCTGTAAGAGATTTAATATCCAATATACCACTGAACATTTCGTCGCGTAATTCTGTGCCAGCAAAAATGAGTTTCTTATTAATCTGACTTCTTAGGGAAATTCCAAATAAATAAGCTATCAAGGAAAATCAACATCATATGTACTTGATTGAAACCTTAGCAATCTGCAATGCAAGTATTATGATCCAGACAATAACTATGACCCCAAGTTGCCTCCAGCGAACATTGCGAAGAATAGAAACCTGGGAAGGTCACAGAAGAAGTCAGTCCCTAAAACCATGCATAGAGTTTAGTTTGAAAATTCTAACCTTCTTTCTTTTAGTTTCTTGGTTTCAGTCGTGTCGTTGCCTACCCCTCCCGGGATAGTTATGTCTTCACTGCCAGCATCTAGTTAAGGAGCATGTTAGCCTGGAAAACCTATAGATGACAGACGTATACCAGAAAGTGAAGAAATGAGTGACCAACTCACCTTTTGATTGCAAACTTTTGGAAGCATCCAGCAAATTCTGAAGAAATGAAACAAGGTGCAGTATTAGATGGACAACATGATGAAGAACATACAATCAGCCTAGAAAACAAGCAAATTTTAAAACTACCTTTTTCGTGATGGTTTCTTTCTTCCACGTCTCAATGCCTCTGAAGAACGACTTAGTTGATGTGCCTGCAGATATACATAAATAAGTTGTCCAAGTGTGAACAGGGAAGGATGCAGTTTAGAAAAGTGTTACCTAAGAGAACAATAATGAGTAAGATTGTGATCATCCATTCAGGAAGAACAACATTCAAAGAAACTCCTATACTGATCCCCAGCACCAACATTGGTTGGAACAGAAGTGCAAGATCATAGTCAATGAGGGGCAACTCGAGTGTCGGATGCCTGAGCCTTAAATTGTAGAAGACAGTTGCAGCTGCTCCACTTGTGATCATACCTGACCAACCACACAGAAACATGCAAAATCAATTTTCCTGCTTATTATTATAATTCTTTGGAATTTTATAAAACTAATGTATTTGAGTTCAGAAGAGGTGGCTTCCTCAGAAGGTGAAAAGGGGAAAAGCTGTGATGAAAGTACTTACATTTTGATATTGCTGTTGATGATTTCTGATCAAAGCCAATAATCAAGGTGAGCATTGGAACAAAAAAGCCACCCCCACCAACACCTCCTACACTCCCAAATGCTGCCCCCAGGAATCCAATTATCGTTCCAACAGCAATTTTCCAGCCAAACCTCATTTCCTGTGACCCAATTTCAATGAATAATGCACCACAACATTTCTCAGTAAGAGCTATCTAGAGTGCCAGACCTTCTAAAATCTATTATTAAGAAGAGAAAAACAAATGAGTCCATGCTTTTTGGCCTATTGGTAACAGAGAAGTTGTTTCTTTGATGATAAAACAGAGGAAGGTCGGAGGGAACAATAGGATTGAGAAGTAAAACAGTATACATAAATATATAGGCCAAACTTTTTACATACTTAATCATTCTTAAGCAACATTTTCTCACCAGCCAAACAGTTCAGCTTCACACAATCAGTCTAGAATCACCAAAAAAATATATATATCTGACAAAGTTAATGGAAATTGGACTTACAGGCCAGACATGCTTATAAACCACTCCATCAGGATGCGAAAGAAAATTGGACGCTCGGATTAAGTCATTAGATTCAACCTCTTCCCCAAGAGTCTGACTTGAAGGTTGCTGCTCCAAAATTTCTTGTGCTGAAACAAATACTAAAGCTAAAACAAGGTAAACCATTCCAAGCAACCTCAGACTCCACCAATTTGATCCGCTCCGAGACGCCATCGGATACCTCAGAACTTCCTCCTCAAACCCAACAATCGAAACAGAACATTTATTCTAACAAATACTCATGGTTGAAACCAAAACCATGTTCTTCTACCAAGTTCTGCAGAATTTCAAAGTACTGTTAAGAGGAATACTAATCTCTAGACATAAGCAGTCAATTTTGGAATCTATTCTTGTGTTCAGAATTTTTCCTTGTAACTGTACACAAAAGTGGTACTTTCTCTCTTTGTCAAAAGTATAGTGGTAGCCCAGCCGTGGACTAGTCTCTCTCAAACACTCCCAGCCAAGAAGACATTTCAAGTTCAGATTGCATGCAAGAATTTCATGCATGAAAACAAGCTTGAGGTCTGCTGATTCACACACACACCCCGTCCACTTTCAACTTACCAGTTGCCCGTCTGCTTCCCATGCCATGATAACTATTTTTCTGATGAAATCAGGAAAAAAAAAGTAGCAACATAAAAGACTATGTAAAAAAATTATGAAATGAAGAATCAAATTACTTTAACCTTGAATTTCTTTGTTATAGAAACCCACTTAGCCTAGCATTATGCAGACACCAACTGACCAATATCTGTGATGCATCCACCATTTTTTTCTTGTTTCTTTGTATACGCTGTTTCTGGCAGTCTTCACTGGCTATGGTTTTGGTTGGAACTTTATTTTTTTGGTGGACGGGAAACTTAATTGTTCTTTGTTTAATTGCTTGTGTTTTGGCGTTTATTTATTTATTTTTATCTAGCTAGAAGTTGTTATTTGTAAAAGGTGAAGGAGATGGAAGAACATGATGTTTAAATGGCATTTAATTTAGTGGCCGACTTCTCCTTGCTTCCAAGCATCCCATCACATCAAGTTGGTTCACATCACCAAAATTCTGGTAAATTATTACCGTAAGTGTAAAAAATAAATAAATTAAATATAAAAATAAAAATAAAAATATAAAAAAAAAAAAAAAAAAAAAAAAAAAAAAAAAAAGAAAAATTCCATAAAACAAAAGGTAAATTGAAAGCTGAAATTTTGGTCACTTGCTTCCACAAGCCTTTTTATTTTAAGATTCTAAGTGTGAACTAACCACCTTTTGGTCTAATGATATTTTCTCAAATTCAATGCTCGTGTTATTTTCATTCTCATGTCATTATAGTACAAGGTTAAGACAACAGAATGGGAACAAGAAACACAAATCTTGGTTTGTTTGAAAAATCTTCATCAATTGGATTTTAGATACCCATGAGAAAAAGCAAATTCATTCTCAAGTGTCACAACCACAAGATAAATGCCACATAACGTATTGTATTGTGTGATAAATGCAAGACCAGACAAAATGTATCAAGACTGTAGATGGGCTTGACCCATCCCAATTTGGTTTGGGCCATGTCTAGGCCATCCCAATGTCATGCACAACTCGAGACCCAAATGTGGCCGGATTTTTTTACAATCAGATCTTGATAAGGATTTGATCTAAACGCTTATCAGATATGATATCGATTTACAGTTTAAAAACATAACATGTTAAATTATTTAATGACATCATACTTTTAACATGTCAAATATTGCTCCGCCTTTTGTTGTCTTTATTTCAAATTGTCCAAGCGCTGCCTCCACAAAAAAAGATATTCAATTGTACCAATCAATGGAAGTACATAAAAACTCCCCACTCCAATTTTGTTGAAATGATTAGAGTGTCACCATATTAATGGAAACTTACTTGGAATACGGCATGCAATTTTTCATGTGTTCTCATTGTTAATTTTCTCAGTGGTCCAACAGACTGCTTTAAACAAAATCCAATTTTAGTCAAAGGCACCAAGAAAAAGCTAACCCGTTCATATTTGCTTGATGTGATAGAGATATAAGGTAGAAAATAATTAAGGGAAGCTGTTTTGTCCATTGTGTGCATAACGTGAAGGATGAATCTTTGTCCATAGGAAGCCAAAAGCAACTTTGGCTGATTTTGTATAGGTTGCTTTTGATGGTTCAAATTCTATGTCCTGTTCAGGTTTTTAGCCCTCATCATCCTTCAAATTCTATATAAAGATACCCTAATTTCCATTTATTTTATTATAAGAAAGGAAATTATAATAAAATCCCATGAATCATTAGGAAAGCAACTGATAAAATTTATTTTCCAAATCTCAAAAGGTACAAGCCGAATTGGTGCTCAAGAATTTCAGGACAGTTCGTTTCTCGTCCCTCTCATGCTAGTGATAACTTGTAGGGCCAGCTTAGTTGGTCCAAAAAAGGATCCAACTTTTGTTGTCAAATCAGAGGAATCTTGAAGCTTAGGGTAGGGTAAGGAATTTGCGATGGTGGAAGTGGAAGCAGAAAGTCACTGAAACTAGGCATCGTAAGTGCAGATGTTTTCAAATCCCATATAGTCTTTGTGCTCAATCTTTTCAATCGTATCTGCTATTCCAACCCCACCTGTTTAAAAACACATTAAGCATCCATTAATCATATGGAGGAAAATAAAAAGATACCCTAATCCATTTCATGGGCAGGAAATGATCACTGACATAATGTATGAATGAAAACATACCTAATGATATTGCACTCACAAAGATTGTGAAGGCCAGAATGAAGATAATTATAGATGCTCTCCCTAAAATCATGACCACCTTTCTCACTACATGTTGCCCTACAACGGCAGAAAGGGTGGCTACAGCAGCAAGATAGAGAGCTGCAAGACAAATCAAATAACACTGACTAAAGCCAACTTCAAATTATTGGAATAAGTTTTCTCTTCCTACCATTCAACATTCTATAATTTACCAGAAACTTGAATGGCTACGATGGTTACCGTAAGGAACTGGAAAACGATGTAGGAGGTAGTACTCTATAACAGACATGGAGGCGGAAAATGTCATGGCAAATGTGGCTGTGGCACTTGAAACCTGCATCAAAGTTCTCAAACAGAATGAGCCAGGCATGAAAACAAACAAGTATATAGCACATAATTACCACTTATCATTAAAATATCGTCTTCGCCAGTGGTAACAGGCAAAGTGAAAGATGGTCATTCTCATTCAGCTGTTTTACCTTAAAGATGACTGTTCTTAATGGGATAATTAAATGCTGGATTATATGTAAGGAAATTCAATAAACACAAACTCAATTAGTCCACTCACTAACATCAAAGAGAAGTATAAAATTCACCTGAGGTGGGATTCCCAGCTCCAGAAAAACAGGACCCAAAATGAACCCTCCACCAAGACCAAGCAATCCACCAACTATACCAGCTACGATGCCACAGGCACTATAAAGAACAAGCTGGTACACTTTCCAATCTGTGCGCGATTCGCCCTTGGATGTAATCACTCTACGTCCCATGTACAGGTTAACTGCCTCATATGTAGTTACTGAGAAAGCAACAGGGATCTGAGAATTCATTTGAGGAAAAACAAGAAAAAACATCATGGTTTTGAACCAAAATTCATTAATTCAATCTCAAATGAGGGTCGTATTTGAAGCGTGAAATATGGGAAGTGAAGATTTATGTTTTCTTCTGATAAGGGACATGAAGGGTACCTGCAAGAGGTTTAATGCCCAATATGCAGCTGAACAAGTTGTGGTATAATTCTGTGACAACGAACAAGTTTCCCATCAGTCTGACTCAATGCATAAAAGCAAAAAAGGGAAGTACCAAATCATAAGCCTATAAAGAAAATCATCCAAATAGTAGATAAATACCTTAGAAATCTGCAATGCAAGTATTATGACCCAGACAGCAACAAGAACTAGAAGTTCCTTCCAGTAAAGATTCTCAATGATAGGAACCTGAGAAGGTTACAGAAGTCAGCCTCTAAAATGCTTCATGGAAAATATAAACTGCAAAGATTAGTACCTCTGTTCTTTTAGGTTCCCTGATTTCTGTTGGAGTGCCAATGCTTGGGCCACCAGGTAGAGGTTTGTATTCAACTTCTTCCCTAGGATCCCCTGAATGAAAAAAATATCTATATGTTAGACTGGTTCAAAAGATGAAAAACCATTGCTAGCAAAGAGAGATTGAGAGATCAACTCACCATTCGAATGCATTTGTCGTCTAGCAGCCTCCTGAAAATTGGAAAAGTAGAGTGAGCCAAGATGCAGGGGATGGATTAAGTTATGCCATATTTACAAATCAAACTAACACATCTTAAGGTGACCTCTTTCATTATAGTTTCCTTCTTCCACGTCTCAATGCCCTTGAAGAATGCCCTAGTTGATGTCCCTGCATGTCATCACTATACGACTCAAACAAGTTGTCCAATTGATGAAACAAGAAAAGCATGAAAGATTTCGTTTCAAATAACTCTTACCTATGAAAGTAATAATTAGTAACACAGTAATCATCCAGTCAGCCAATATCACATTTAAAGCAACTCCAATACTGATCCCAAGCACAAGCATTGGTTGGAAAAGAAGCGCCAAGTCATAGTCGATGAGGGGCAGCTCAAGCGTGGGATGCCTTAGCCTTAAATTGTAGACAACAGAAGAAAATGCAGCACCAGTGATCATACCTGACCAACCAGCACAAGCATTCAAAATTGCGTTCATTTTTATGGATTCATTCGGTGAAAGCAACAAAGGACCCATATGTTTCTATCTGTCTGCATTTTTCGGTCTCTCCACGTGCAGGATTGAGTTGCATGCGAGAGATGGTATTAGCTTGATATATATTGTTTGGCACATTTCTTAACAGTTTAAGCTTTTCACTGAGACAAATAGTCAAATACTACTATTAAAATGTAAGAAGGGAAAAGAGAACTAGAAGTATAGTTTTTTCTAATGGTCATAACCAGAAGTATACACTGATGCATAAGTTGAATAATTGCATCAACACTCAAGACTTCAAATAGCATGACTTGGGATGATATTTGGGGGTGCCCAATTGGATTTTATAAACGCTGCAATAAAATTTGAGGCTTCTGTTGCAGCTGAAAACTGTTAAAGAGGGCAAAACCTGTGAGAAGGGACTTACACTTTGATATTGCTGTTGATGATTTCTGATCAAACCCAATAATCAGAGTGAGCATTGGAACAAAAATGCCACCCCCACCAACTCCACCAACAGTCCCAAAAGCAGCCCCAAAGAATCCAATTACTGAACCCACCACAATTTTCCAGCCCAATTTCATTTCCTGCATATCCAATTTCACCACATCATAAATAAGTCAAGATTTGAACACTTACTGCACCCTCAAAAACAATAACAAAAAAACAAAAATAAGAAGCAATTTTTGAACTATTTTAAAGCACTAAACAAGGGTGCTCTAGCAAGCACTATATATCTAGGCTTCTGCTGCTCTTCCACAACCATTATCATGGTTTTTCAAGCTTTAGAATCGAATTCGGATCGTAAGCTATATCAAATCAGATTCAGATTAAAATCCAGACACCCCTATCAGAAACCACCATAGTCCACAAAAAGTATCTTCTTGTAAGTTTGTGCCTGCTTGAAAGAATCTTTTGGAGTTTGGTTATTTTTCTTGGGCTGAACTTTGCTATCAAAGAGGGTTGAATTCCCCTACTTATCCCTTTGAGGATATGAGTAGGTCTTAAGACCCCAAAAAAAAAAAAAAAAAAAAAAAAAAAGAATCTTTTTATGTGTTTGTGTTAGATTTTGTGAGTGTAAAACAGAGACTAGCTACAGCATACACAATCATGTTCATCTGTAACAATTCCTTTATAGAGACTTTATTATATGCTGGATAAATGATGTTTTGATAAATAAAGCACTGCAAAAAGTGCCTTTAAATATTTTTATTTTAAAAAAAAACTCCATAGACTCATAAATTTATCATAACCCACAAACACCTTTTCCTGTAAAGAAAAATATAGGACTTACAATTCAAAATATCTGATAAGGGAAATGAAAATTAGACTTACAGGCCAAACATGCTCATAACTCCATAATCCTGGACCTTGTTGCCATAGAAAGTTGAACACTCTGGTAAATAGATCATTATCAGATTGAAACTTTTGAGTCCCATTAATGTATCTGGAAGAAGCATCATCTTGCTCCAACCTGGTTCCTTGTGCTGAAGCAAGTACAAGAAAACCAGTCACAAGCAATATTGCAGTCCACCTTAGACCCGACCATTCTGCTCCAACAACTTCTGTAGCCATGGATGCAGATTTATGTCTGAATCTTTGTAATGAAAACTCTGAAAACAAAAAAGGAATAATTTCCAGTTATATAAAATAAAGCAGGTTAACCCGAATGCATGCATTAATAAAATTCTATAAATAGTAATGGGTGCATGATCACCGACATATATCCATATGAGAACGAAGCTAACCAAAAAGAAAGATAAATAATAAACAAAAGGAAAAGAAGCTGTAGCTCAACTGAGTCAAACCAAAAAAGCACTACCTTGCTTCAGCGTACTCACTCTATTATGGCCCTGTAATGTCAGGCATATAATTATATATAGGATGGATCTCTTATGTCAATCATATCATTTACTCTCTCTCTCTCTCTCTCTCCCTCTCCCCTTCCTTGTTTCTACACGAACAAAATTTTTGAGAATTAAACTTCTTTCAGGATTTAAAAATAAACTATGTAACCAAATTTGAATATCTCTTCTCGTAGTTTAGATTAGATTAAAGTAGAATATTCTTATATAAAAAAAAATTAATAATAATAAATAAAGCTTCTTTTATTATAGACTCATTCCATACTAAAAATATTTATATTATAAAAAAAAACCCTTGTATTACACTTATTAAATTGAAGCCAAATCTGCATTAGTTACTTATTATGGCTATTTTTCCAAGGTAAATAATGATAGCAAATTAAAAGTCGTTCACTTCAGTCAATATTACTCTTAAATTTTGAATTGGACTTTATGGTAATCCCTGAGCAATTATTGCCGAAATATGTTTTTGGTGATCTGAATTAGCTTTCGATGGGGTTTCAATAATTGTGGGGGGGACTGAACAGTGCTCACCGTAGCCACACAGACCTTCTGTTTCAAGGCCATCCACGTGTTTTTTTAGGTAGAAATTTCATTTTTCTAGTTAAAAATAAAATACATACTTTTTTTTTTGGTCGAAACTTAGAAGGGAAGGTGTCATGAGTTCAAATTTGAAATCATTGATATGCAAATAAATACTATTATCACTGAGCTATAATACTTCTTAAGAAAAGAAACTCTTACTTTCTCGTCAACTATATGATTTGACGTATTTTATATATATTTGTGTTTTTATGAGTAATTTGTACATATATGGCACACAAGTAGGTAATTTGAGTGAAAATGTCATTCACAGGCATGTGTTGGTGTTTTATTTATTTATTTGATTTTGTTTCTTTCTTTCAAAGCCATAAGATTCAATACTAATTACAAAACTCATTTGTAATAATAAATAATAATAATAGAGTATAGGATCTCAAACTAATATTCCAACAAACCTTGTTACTGTTTAGTATACTTATTTATCTGTAATATTTCAAGGGAAGTACTGATTTCATCAAAATCGATGAATCAAAAGTTAAATTCCGATTATGGATTACTTATGTGTTTACTTCGCATAGAGGAACGAAAAAAGTAAGTGGGGCCCACAAAAATTCAAGAATTTAACCCCTGATTTTTGAGGAATTTGACTCTTGGATGAGAGGTGATATTCTAATTTTTGGAGAACTAGTTAGCCCTTCATGAATCCATCTTTTTTACCCATTATATCCTCACACAAATTTAAAATTCTAAATTTTCCATCCACTTTAACCCAATAATTATTTAGAGCAAGTGCATTTTAGTAATCAAATAGTTTCAATTCCGATTCATGAGAATCTAGTAAACAACTTATAAGGAATCAATACAATTCCTACCCCAATTCCACATAATTTAGTAAACAACTTTAATATTCTAACTCTTCATTAATCCAACTCCTCCTCAATTCAATTCTTCCTAATCTAATTATGGTAATAAACACACCACGAGTGTATAAATAAATTATGAGAACGTACAATCCCTTTACAATAATTTTTTGATTATTATTTTCAACACGTGATCTCGTGGTATAAATAAATGATGTGGACGTACAAACCCTTCACAAGTACTTATTTATTTATTTATTTATTTAAAACACGTGATGTTAGCTAGAATTGACTGGACAAGCAAAACCACACCACACAAGACAGACAAGAGTCTTAGATCACAAGCTGTGGGACATGCCTGTCCTGAGCCTGAACCCAAACCTAAACCTAAACCTAAACCTAAACCAGGGTATAAAGGTTGTAGTGTCAAAGAGTTGTTAACACCACAATGCCCACCTCCTTTACATTTAATTCATATCATAGACCACAACTTAATGAATTATCAACACCTTCTTCCTTCCCATTGGATTATATAATATTGAAAAAAAACAAAAACAAATACAGGTCAACACTTGCTTTTGTTCCCGGAAAGAGAGTTGGAGATAACTTATAGGACCAGCCAATTCGTAGGTCCAGAAAGCTTGAGATTGGGGAAGTGAAGACAGAAGTCACTAAAACTAGCACTGCTAAGTGCAGATGTTTTCAAATCCCATATATTCTTTGCGCTCTATCTTTCCAATCATATCTGCTATGCCAACCCCACCTGTTAAAAACAAAATATTAAGCATCCATTGAAAAGAAACCAGAATCAAAATCATTGGGACATGACAAATATAAGGTAATCTCTTCTGCAAATCAATCAAAAATGTTCACATACCTAGTGATATTGCACTCACAAAGATTGTGGAGGCCAGAATGAAGATAATTATAGATGCTCTGCCTAATACACTGATCACCCTTCTCACTACATGTTGGCCTACAAGGGCCGACAGGCTGGACATAACAGCAAAGTAGACAGCTGCAAAAAATAAATTGACAATGACCAGAGCCAGAGCCAGGACATCAAATTATTGAATGCCAAAGAAAACCTTGTATTCCTACCATTCAACGTTTTATCAACCGAAACTTGAATGGATGAGAGAAGTTACCGTAAGGGACCGGAAAACGTTTGAGTAGGTAGTACTCAACAACGGACATGGATGCAGAGAACGTCATTGCAAATGTGGCAGTTGCACTAGATACCTGCACGACAATTCTCAACCATTGAGCCAGGATGGAAACAACATCATTAGAAAATGGGGAGATTCACTATTATACCAAATATAGGAGTCCAAATTATAAAATAAAAAAAATCATATATGAAATGGATTTTAGAAACACACCCAAAGCCCATTTACAACATAACAAAAAAACTTTTAACTTCTTTTAAATTACAAAACTGTCATTGATTTCTTAAAACAAACTCAACCCAAAAACCTCATAAAAAAGCCCAAAACACTCAATAGGGCATCAATGTAATTTTATAATCAAAATTAAATTCAATGGGACCAGTTGTCATTTTTTGGGTTTGTTTATAGAAATTAAATAGTGTAGGGTTTATTTATAGTTTTAGTGCTAAAATGGGTATATGACTAAATATCTCTATAAAATAAGGGCTGGCGTCTCTTAAATGATTTTAGGACCACTTATCTCTAACAGATAGGAACACTTATCACTTATCACTTGAGTGAAATTGTGAAGACAGTGTAGTGGGAAGTGTACCTAATTTGAGCTGTTTTTAACTTATAAGAGAAAGGTGGGACCTGTTTCTTACTGGGATTGAATGCTAGAATTATGTGAGGAAATTAAAGAAATGTCAGTACACCTGAGGTGGGATTCCCAGCTCAAGAAAGAGAGGTCCCAGAATGAACCCTCCACCAAGACCAAGCAATCCGCCAACTATACCAGCTATGATGCCACAGGCACAATACAGAACAAGCTGGTGCACTTTCCAATCTGTGACTGATTCTTCCTTGGATGCAATCACTCTGCGCCCCTTGTACAGGTTAACTGCCTCATACGTAGATACTCCGAAAGCCACAGGGATCTAAAATAAAAATTAAAAAACTACTGAACGACGACTCGATAATTCAAGCTCATAATGGGGACTGTATTTTCTTATGCAACAAATGGAAAATGTAAGTGTTTTTTCTTGTAAAAGACATGGAAGGTACCTGCAAGAGATTTAATACCCAATATTCTGCTGAACAAGTTGTGGTGTAATTCTGTGCACAACAAACAAGTTTTCAAGCTGAGTTTTCAATGCATGAAAGTTTCTAAAGAAAATGAACCACATAGAAATGGATACAGACCTTAGCAATCTGCAACGCAAGTATTATGACCCAGACAGCAACAAGAAGAAGTAATTCCTCCCAGTAAACATTCTCAATAATAGAAACCTGAGATGGTTATATAAGTCAAGTCTCCAAAATCATGTGTCTAAGGAAGGACATTCAGGCTGCAAAAATTATACCTCTGTTCTTTTAGACTCCTTGGTGCCTAATAGAATGACATTGTTTGGGCCACTAGCTAGAGGTCTGTATTCAACTTCGTCACTAGAATTACCTGAATCAAAGGTACTTAAATATTAGACTGGAAACGAATCCTCGTTTCGATGCCCAAATTTGGATAGGTGAAGGAACATTGCTAGCAAAGACAGAATGATAGATAAACTCACCATCTGACTGCATTAGTCTGGCAAACTCCTGAAAATTCAAAAACTAGTCAACTGAAATGCAGGGTTTGATTAAGTGAAGCCACATATACAAATAAATCCAATGACTAAATTTTGAGACCACCTGTTTCATTACAGTTTCTCTGTTCCATGCCTCAACACCCTTCAAGAATGCCTTCGTTGATGTGCCTGCAGGAGGTCATCATAATACGACTTGAACGAGTTGCCTAAAATGGAACGAGAAATTTCATATAATTCTTACCTAAGAAAAAAATAATTAGCAACACTGTGATCATCCAGTCAGCAAAGATAACATTGAAAGAAACTCCAATACTGATCCCAAGCATAAGCATTGGTTGCACAAGAAGTGCTAGGTCATAGTCGATGATCGGCAGATCAAGTGTCGGATGCCTTAGCCTTAAATTGTAGAAAACACTTGCAGCTGCTCCACCAGTGATCATACCTGTCCAACCAGAGAGAACCATGCCAAACTGCTTTCAGGTGTGTTTGCTGTTGAATTATAAGCTCTTAAGCTGAGTTAAGAGTTAGTTAAAACAGCATTTTTGTTTTCTTAATTTTATAGCCAAGTGTAAAGATCCTATTGGATAACTAAATGAATGGCTGAGATCACCTTGTGATGTAAGGTATCCAGCTACAGATGCCTAACGGTTATATTCCACACTCCAAGTGCGTGAGGTTGTAATGGAATAGAAGAAAACATTCCTCTGCTCCAAGAAAGCAGAGCAGTAGCCATTTTTCTTTTCTTCCTTCCTCTCTCCCTTCGTCACTCTCACTCACACACATCATTTGGTGGAAAGCAAAGGACCTAATTGAAATTAAGCATCTCAAATTGCGATCGGTTACATCCTCCATGGATAAAAACAGAACCAGAAGTATAAATTCATCATGTTTATTTCTATAAACAGCAGTTGAGGGGCCAATAGGTTTCATTTCAATATTGCATCAACATTCAAGTAGCATACAGTTTCTAAATTACTGAAATGATCTTAGGGGTGCATAATCAAGTGTCGAAAAATAATGTCCATTTGTGTTCTACACAGTTCTAGAAGAATCATGAATACAAGGATGGTTCTAGAGTTGTGGAGAACATACTATGTCGGCTAGACAAAGAGAATTGAAGTTGGAAGAACTCTCTAGAGCAAGAACACTCATGTTGCTAGACTATGGCGGTGGAGTATGATGGCTAAACAATACCCACAAAATTAATATTGTACAATATAGAATATTCTAGATGAAGCCACACACTTGTGGCTGGAGTAAAGAAGCCAAGTCGGTGGACTTGGTGTCGGCAAAGAATGCCTATAAATAGGCATGCAATGCAACGAAGCAAGGTGGAGTCTAACAAAGAGAACTCCCAAACAAAGCTATGTTGAGGAGCCAATAAGCTTACCAATCTACGTGAAGGGCCAAATAGCCCAAACTATGTACTAAATCAAGTGTGGTGGCCAATTAGCCTACACCAAGCTATGACTTACACTTCGATATTGCCGTTGAAGATTTCTCATCAAATCCTATAATCAAAGTGAGCATCGGAACAAAAATTCCACCTCCACCAACTCCACCAACAGTCCCAAAAGCAGCACCGATGAATCCAATTACTGTACCGACAACAATTTTCCAGTCGAATTTCAGTTCCTGCATATCCGATTTTGCCACATCATAAGTTGGACAAGTTTTGAGCAGTTACCGGCCAAAAGTTTAAGTCTTGTTGAACCATTTTAAAACAATAAACAAAGGGTGTTCTAGCATGCACCATCTCTACTTCCATGGTTCCACAATCAATCAAAGGATCAAACTATTCAATTTTCTAAGCAATTCAGGTTGCAATCTGCTCTTTTTAGAAGGAAAAATATGGGAATGACATATCAGAAATATCATGAAGGACAAACTCATCAAGAAGGTAATGAAAGTTAAGACTTACAGGCCAAACATGCTCATAACCCAATCGACCCGGCTGCCAAAGAAAGTTCAACACTCTGTCGAAATAATCAGGTTGAAACTTATTAGTCCCACTGTAACTTGAAGCATCTTGTTCCAAAGTTTCTTGTGCTGAAGCAACTACTGAAGCTGCTAGAAGAAAACCAATCACAACCATTGCAGCCCTCCTCCTAAGACTCCACCATTCTAATCCAACTTGAGCCATCTAATATCTCCAACCTACAGAACATCAAACTTCCTTAAACCAAAAGCTCTGTAAAAACAGAGTTCCTATTTGTTGCTGCTGTCCCTCACTCTCTAAGCTGGAAATGGAGTTGCTAGCCAAAACCTAGAAGTAGAGTGAGCTTTGCTTTCTATATTTGTATAAAGACGGTGACTTTAAATTTATAGCTATAGAGAACTGCGTATCACCTGGACATGAAAGTACTAAGAAACTTCTTGCCAAAAAGAACCAAGAATCTTTCAGAAAGGAGCTCTGTTTTTGTCACTCTGCCTCCCTCTCTCTCTCTCTGTCTGTCGTCCAAAATCTGTCTTGACTGTCTTTTTCTACCTCTCTCTCTCTCTCGCGTCCAAAATCTGTCTTCACCGTCTCTTTCTGCCTTTCTCTCACTGGCTCTCTCTTCCGTTTTCTCTCTCTCTCTCTCCTATATAAGGTGGAATGGAATGGAAATCTCATGAATCTTTTGTTTGCTTCTTCAAAATATTCCCATTCAAACCATAAGCCCGCTTCTCTTGCAGACAATAATAAGTAAACAATTTTCTATTTAAACCCCACATTTTTTTTAAAAAATTTTATTATTGTGTAAAAAGACAAAAAAGAGTCGTCCAACTTAATATTTAACCCTGTACATATATGAACACACCCCACACACCTCACCACTCTTCATATTAAGTTTTAGAAAAACACAAATTTTTTTACACCTTATTGTCAGATTATTCTTCTTTTTTAGGGCCTGTTGGGAGTGCTTTTGGAAGGGTGAAAAGCGTTTTCTGATAACTAAAAGCGTTTCTAACAGTGTTTGGCAGAAAAGTTTAGAAGCGCTTCTGGGTCATAGAAGCGCTTCCTGGAGAAGCACGTGCTATGTGCTTCTTCAGAAAGCACTCCAAGTGCTTTTTCATGAAGCACTTTAATTTTTTTATAAAAATTCAAGATTTTTATAATAAAAGCGCTTTTGTTAGAAGCGCTTATAAGCAAAAGTACTTCCTAGAGAAGCACTCCCAAACGAGCCCTAAATCTAATAAACCTACTATACTCTCATTTTCTCTTTACAAACCCTAAATAATAAAATAATGTTGCTACACAGTTGACAATATTATTTTTATCTCTTCAAGTAATGTGAGGTTGAGGTGAACTTAGAGCGATGAGGGACAAGATAGTGAGAAGTGAGGTTGATGAATTTTTCATTTTTTATTTTTTCTATTGGGTGTGTATTTTATGGCAATTTGGGAAGATAGTGAGATTATCTTAGAAATTGTGAAAATTTGAATTAAAAATTGATAAACTTAGAATATATGGTGATCAAAGAGAAGTGCGGAGTTTAAATAGAAAAAATCATAAATAAAATAGCTTTCGTCCACTGGGAAATGTTTAGCAAATCATTCCAATCATTCCTAGGATTTTATCCTCTATAATTTAAAATTAGCTTTTCATATATGGCAGACATTTTGTGCTTTATTGGGTCCTGAAGGTATCGTCCACCGGAGTAAATTATGTCTTTGTTTAAAAAGTCGAAAAAATGTTTCGCTAAAACATGACTCAAGAGATACAGATTGACGTGAACGGTTTTTGGATATACATATGATTTTGGCAAGATGTTGACCAACACTAGCCTTTTTCTTTTTCTTTTCTTTATGGAAAGCTAACATAGCTGGATATGATGCGTAAACGTGGGTTACACTAGTTGCGGGTACAGTGAGTACGTCATTTTGCACTCAATTTCAAGTTTTCTTATTTATAAATTAAATTAAAATTAAAATAAATTATTACTTGTATTAAAATTTAAAAAAAAATAATAATAATTGGGTGTGATGGTTATTTCTCAACACAACCCACCAATTAATAAAGCGAATAGATCCATGAACTGCATTGGTCCCTCAAGTTGTGAGCAGGGAAACTTGACTTTTGGATCAAACCATGACCGATCTCCATAAAAAAAATAGCACTATCATCAGCAAGTGATTGAATCAAATTAAATGACAGGAAATTGAGCTGCAATGATTTGTTTATCATGGGTTCCGGCAAAATTAAGCAACCGACAGAACGAGGTACAAAAACAAAGGGTTGACATACACATATCTCTTTACAAAAAAAAACATTGTATACATCCACCATAACATGTTGCCCATGATGATAATGTGAGGGAGAGAAGTTTTTGCATTATTTTGATACAAGCGATATTACGGGAGGAGAGAATCGAACCTAGGATTTAGAGTGCAAGGTAAAATACCTTTAACCACTTAAACTACTAGTCCTTGGGAGAAGTTTTTGCATTATTTCATCAAATCTTTGATGAATTAGAATCTCCATGAATATAAGATCCTATCTAATACAAAAACCTGCCAACACCACCAAAATCCAAGGCATTTTTATTCTTCTATTTTTTGTTTTTCATTGTTTTTGTTTTCGATAATTTACTTAAATCTTACAATTCACCAATATCCTACATCATTCATGTTATACCTCTACTCATCTCCGGTGACAACAATACACTACCATCGTCTATAGAGAGAGCTGCCTTTATGGCGTGGCGAGTCTACCTGACTGAAGATCTAACGGTAAGAGAGTGGCCAAGTGAGAAAGCCAGGGGAAGATTTATCATCATTGATAGAGCCCCGAGTTGCTCACAGATGTAAAAACATTAAGGCCCTGTTTGGTGAGTTGGCTTGGACTCGACAAATCTCAATTGAGCATAATGAAATTCGTGTTGAAGCTTCCAAGTTTTTACAAGTCAAATGAGTAACTTTTCTTCTGGGTTCGCATAAACTTATAAAAATAGAGAAGATAAAGATTCATATGAAGCTTAAATATGTTACAGAAAATGATTTAGAAAACCAATTGCAAATGTTTGTGGAGAAAATGGATTTTCAGATAATGCATTATATTGAATCAGACGAGCTCTATATAGCCAGTCTACTGCAAAAAATTACAACATTTTACTTGTCATGGATAATTGAGTGGATTTTTTTTTTAGAGTAAGCGATGTTTGGTAATTTAGGCACCAAGACCATCAGCCACAAAGACATAAACTACCAAAAAAGAGGTTAATACAAATGTAGAAGCACAGTAACTACTTTTTTTCAGTTAATAAGATGGAGGATCAGTTTTCTACTCCTTTTCTTCCTTCCTCTCGTTAATAATAAGGAGCATCAGTTAACAATACCTAAAACAAATCCTATAAGAATACGGAAACCATTTTCCCAATTTATGGCTTTTTTTTAATAAGGCTTTTTTTTAATAAGGTTTTTTTAAAAAAAAATTTTAATTCTATTTTAGAATTAAAAAAATAATTGGTAGTTGTGTTCCATAAAAATAGGACCTATTATTTAATTTGATTTAATATGAGAAAAATGTGAATTTACTATATTATCCTCATTTAATTAATAATTTCAATTTTTAATGTTTGAATTAACCAAGAACATTTTTTGGCAAACAAAATACATCATAGTCCATTAAACGGTGGCACAACCCAAATTGCTCTTTGAGAATTGGAGTGTGGAGAGTAATGTTGTGTGATGGTTCCGTCCTCCAAGTTGAAGATACCCATATCAAATGGTTCATCACTGTGTAATGTTGGCCAATTTGAAAAATAATCATCGGTGTAATATATGGAATTTGGCTGGCATTCAGGAAACTTTGAAGCTAAAACAGAGATTGAGTGATTGCCACCCACGAACAGAGCCTCATCTCCAATGCTTTTCACCTCAACCTTGTGCCCAATAGATCCTCCATCTTCATACACCCACTTGTAAACGATGAAGTGTGTAGTCTGCCGCCTAGCATCATACCTGAAACGACCCTCACTTGACGCATAAAATCTTAGGATATGCAACAAGTCTCCCTTAGTTGATTCCACAAGATATGCATGCAAAAATTTACAAGATGGGAATGGTTTATAAGGTGTGCGTAGCTTTAGCCGTGGCGAGTCACTGCTAAAAACATCCAATGACTCAATCTCTCCATAGGTTTCAAGTGCGTACACTTTGCTTTTATAGAATATAACATCATCAAATATACCATTTGGGATGGGGTAAGTCCAATTGTTTTGGCCTGCCTTGATGAAAGCCAACATGAAAAAGCGACCGTAAAGTGCTACAACCGCATAATTTTCCGGATTCATAGTGGGATCAGCAGACAAGATAACCTTACGAACGTACTGCTCATGGTAAGGGGGGTCATCGTGTGAGATAATGGTTCTCAAGGGAGGGAGAAAGATGGGCTTTGCTTTTGTGAAAGGGTTCCTGAGTACTACCACGGGAAGTCTTTGCTCAACATCTAATGTGGCAAACCAACCATGGCTAGAGCCACAACACCTCCTGCTAAAAGGCACTTGCAGTCGAATATTGTTGTAGATTCTTCCTTCAGAAATGCTGTACACTACCCTTCGGTAGTTGTCGTCCTGCTTTGGGATCAAGAGCATGGGGGGAAGTTGTTTATTGCGCCACCGTTGCGTTGCATGATTATAGAGTTCGGACATAGAACGACAATGCTTGCAAACAGCAGCAAAACGAACATGGTCAATGGGTTCTAATAACTTATCCAGAATCAAAAAAACAAGCATTGGAAGGCTTGTCCATCCCCCACAGCTGAAGCTATCAACCGGGGTCCTACGACAGGGCTTCTTATTAGACTTAAAACTGGACATGATTGATAATGAATTATTCTTATCAAACTTTGATTTGGAAACGCAAGGAAAAGGCAAAACCAGAGAACATAATAAGAACAAAGTATGGATGGAATGTGACGTTATGTTATGCAGAGAAGAATGCTTTCATGGTAATTGATGATGAGAAGTGAACTCTTTAATTATATGGAGAACTGAAAACAAATCCCTTAATAATAGGGAAACTATTTTACCCACAGCAACAAGAAAATAGTAAGAATGTGTAACTAAAACCTACTCGTATTCCTAGTAGGACTTGTGTTTCGTTGCCAAAGATAGACAGAGGGGCTGGTTGTAAATTGTAATTCAGAGCTAAGGTTATGGACTGTGGTTGTGAATTTTTAATGAGTAGTAGCTTCAGCCAGTTTCAAACATAAACATGAAAAAATTGGACGCAAAAGCTGTTCTCCATGTGTTTCACAGACTCATCAAAATCAATCACTCCATCTCCATCCGTATATCTACTACCGCCCCTGGCAGCCGTTAACCACCGCGCCGCCCGGCCACCATCCACATTCAAATAAATTAATCAAAAAAATTGTAATGCAAGTTTTTATTTTTTATTTTTTTCCTACACAAATTATCATATTTTTGTTATGAAATTAGAAAATAGTTGTTCATTAACACTAAAGATTTTCTTATTATAGTTGGGAATGCATCAATTCATGTGGAGGCAGGCAGCATGTTATGGTGATGGATGCATAAAATGCAAACCTTCTTAAAACCACTTGCAACAAGCTTGTGTATTTTACCTCATCTTCACATTGTCAATTTGTAAAAGTTCATTACACTGTACAATACAACCACAAACAACATGAAGTTAACACAATCCCCAAAAAAAAAATCCAAACAAAACTAGTATTAGGGTTTCAAACATAACCTCCAACCAAAATTGGTCCTTCACCATCACCATTCCTCACCTTGCTGTTCCCCTTCCCTCCAATTTCCAACCCAGCCAACCCATCCACACAAGCCCTATCACCACCCTCTCTCACATCTTCACCTCCCACAATCACCTTATCCCCTTTCGCCTCCTCACCGCTCACCACCACTTCATCTCCACCGACCTCCACCGACCCACCCTTATCGCCGCCGCACGGTCCCGGCGACCGAGTCTCAGGCCCAGCTCCGACCACCTCGTCAGCGGGAACCTTTAGGTCAGGCCATGGGTCACTGATGCAATCCTCAAAGGCTTCTTCGTCTTCGTCGGCGGTGAAGATCGAGGTGGATCGTGACTTAACGGCCGTGGCGGCTTTGAGGAAGGCTTCTTTGATGGAGTCCGCTGGGAGAGCGCAGTCTTCGAGGCCTGCGTCTTCGAGACGCGGAGGGAGGATGTGGTGCAGTAAGCCAGCTCCTTGTTCCTCGGTGGCCTCCATTGTTAAGATTTGAGGGGAAGCTTCGCGCTCAAAAACCCTAACTAATCGAAGAAGAAGAAGAGGAAGTGCAGTGATCGATGTAGAAAATACTCTGTTTGGTTGCTTGAAGAATGATGCGCTTTTGCCCTTTTTCGCATAGATATCTGCTATCAGCGGTACACGTGTCACGCTCTGAAGGAATATTAGTGTGTTAAGCTACGTGTTAGCTACTACTTGCTCACTTTTTTTTTTTTTTTTTTTTTTTTTTTTTTTTTGGGGAAAAAAAATGCATGGAAGAAAAATAAATTTAAAAAAATCCAAGTAAAGGTCGGTATTAGACTTAATAAATTTGACAAAAATCGAATATATTGTGTTTTACAAGTCTTATTTGGAAGAGTACGACGAGTAATAAACTCGACTCTAATCAGTCTAAATCAAGCCAGCATACGAGGCCTTAGAGCATCTCCAAGGGAGATGTCAAATACCAAACATCAAATTTAAATTTGATGGTTGATGTGGTAATTTGACATTTACACAGTTTTACACTCCACCCGATATGTCAAATAAAATAATTATTGTAACAGTCAAATCATTTAAGATACAGAAGAAAAAAATATAAAAAGAAAAATAATAAATGAAAGTAACAATCAACTATCTTTAAAAATAATAAAATATTCATTTGACATCTTGCTTTTAGGATGTCAAAAATAACATCTCAACCTCCAGCCTTCATTGCACATCAGATTTGACATATCGGTTGGAGTAATGTGAGATGTTATTTCTAGCCGTTAAATGTCTATGTGGCACTTTTAACACATCGGTTGGAGATGCTCTTACAAGTCACAACAAAACAAGCCATTTTGATTTCATGCAATTTACTTTTACTGTTGAATGGTGACAAAAGATTATGGAGAATACTAATACCTTCTCTTTTGGACATTCTCTCTATTCCTCATGATATGTGTCACTTCTCATACACTTAAAATAATGACATTAATACATCAAACAACCACCTTTTGTTTTCCAAGTTTATCCTTATTAAATGTATTGTCCTTCAATTTATCCCATTTTTCTTACAACTCTCTTATCATATGTAAAAAAAAAAATTAAAAAATTCTATTTTTAAAAAGAAAATGTCTATTTTTTTTAGAGGAAAAACTTTTTTTTTTGGGTTATAAAAAAAAACACAATGACCTTAAAAAAATCCATAGAAGATTTATCCCTTTTTTATACAGACAAAAGACATCCTTCTATGGAAGTATGTTTTAAAAGGAAGTTCATTGATTGCATTTTCAAACCATTAATTCGATAAGTCTGATTATTGATTATTTTTTTTCCTAAACCATTAATTAGGTAAGTCTTATTTATTGGAGCTTTCAAAAAAGAAAAGAAAAACTAATGTTTTTTCTTATTTAATTTTTTAACAAGGTGATAAGAAAGTTGTAACAAATTTGGATAATAAGTTTAAGGAAACATTAAAATCAATACAAAAAATAAGGGTAAATTTGGAAACAAATGTTATCTTATTTGATCATTAATTACATTGTTTTTAGTATAAAAAAAGTGACACATGTCATGAGGAAAATGAAGAAGGTCCAAAAAAGAAGGTTGGAGAGAAGGTTTCTAGCATTCCCCCTACTTTCTTTCCCTCTGTGAATGGGAGTCTTGTGGGATTTACATGAGGTGGTAGGGATGGCTATAATTTAATCAATAACACTACGTCACATTGGCTTATCACATTGTTAGGAACCTTCATCATTGCTGAGTTGGATTAGTGATGAGTTGGCATAGTCAGCTTGTTAATTGATTAGTTAAGAAATTAGTTTCTAACCGAATTGGTTAATGAGAGCTTACAGCTATATTAAGCAATTATTGTATCAAGAATGAGTTGTTGAGAATATTGTACTGTTTCGATAATTCAATAAATAATACTTGTTGCTCTGTGTAATTCTAGGGTTAACGTTGAAAGGGGTTTAACACACATAATCATATGTGACAACTGTTAAAAGTCTTATATAGTTCTGCTTTCTCCGAGGAAGGGCCTTGTGTCTGATTAGGTAGTTGGTAAGGCAAAGCTAACTAAGGCAATTAGGAAGATCAACCACACTAACTAAGACACAGCTCATACTCTTACCGAAGGCAATAGTGGGGAATTCTCTGCAATGGGAGAAAGCCCGACAGAGCAATGTCGCATGGAGGTAGAAGAGGCAATGAAAGCATCGGCTTTCTTTGTGCTAACAGTCGCAGTAAAACAAAGGATGCAAGCATTATCTGTATGATCAGGCTTAAAGCTGTAGGTGGCTAGTATAGTCCACTTGCTACTAAAGTTATTTGCAAATTGATACATTATCTACCACATGAGGTGGTATAGTCCTCTAGTCTTTCTCCAATGAGTTTTAACACCCATACACATGTTCCCCCAACCAAAAAAGGAGCCGTTCATTGGTATTTAAGACTTCCTATAGTCTTCATTGATTGATTGGTAAAAGTCTTCCTCTAGTCTTCATCGATTGATTGGTAAAAGCCTTCCTCAAAGTCATATAAACACCCACTTTTGTCAAACTCCTCAGAACAAAGGAGGAAGACATGTATTTTAATTTTTCATTTATGAGCACATGTATATCCTTTTCTGATAAGCCTATCTTTAGAATTTTCTTCATAATTTAATATGAAAATTATATAAAGAAAGAGCAGAAATTTCATAGATTATTTCATAGACTAATTTGTCTTCCTCTAGAATTTTCTGAGTCATTTAATATGAAAAATTACAAAAAGAAAGAGCGGAAATTCCATACATTATTTCATTGATTAATCTGTCTTCCTCTAGAATTTTTTTCGTCATTTAAGATGAAAATTACATAAAGAAATAGCGGAAATTCTATACATTATTTCATTGACTAATCTATCTTCCTCTAGAATTTTCTTCGTCATTTAATATGAAAATTACATAAAGAAAAAATGGAATTCCATACATTATTTCATTGACTAATCTGTCTTCCTTTTTGTTTGTTCCCCCAATACACGATAGTAACTCATACACATCAATAAGTTTAGACATAATAGAAAATTGACAGACCAGTTAAGGAAATGCAATATGCATGTGAAGAAGTGAGAAATGTAAAAATTTCCACATGAGAAAGAACTAACTATTAGCGTTTGTTTCATTGAATGATGGGGAATGCTAGTAACCTTCTCTCTAACCTTTTCTTTTGGACCTTTTCCATTTTCCTCATGACATGTGTCACTTCTCATACACTTAAAAAGAATGACATTAATACATCAAACAAACCACCTTTTTGTTTTCCAAGTTTACAATTATTAATTTGTCCACTTTTTCCTTCATTTTTTTTTTTTTTTTATTTTTTTTACTCTCTTACCATATGTAAAAAATTAAAAAAAATCTGTTTTTTTTAAAAGAAAATGTCTTCTTTTTTTTTAGGAAAAACATTTTTTTTTCGTTAAAAAAAACACAATAATGACCTTAAAAAAAATTCACAAAAATATTATTTTCTTTTTTTTTTTTTTTTTTTTTTTTTTTTTTTATTTACACAGAAGATGTCCTTCTAAGGAAGTTCATTGATTGCATTTTCAAACCATTAATTCGATAAGTTTGATTATTGATTTTTTTTAAAACCATTACTTAGGTAAGTCTTATTTGTTGGAGTCCTTCAAAAAAGAAAAAAAAACCTAATGTTTTTTCTTATTTAATTTTTACAAGGTGATAAGAAAGTTGTAACAAATTTGGATAATAAATTTAAGGAAACATTAAAATCAATACAAAAAATAAGGGCAAATTTGGAAACAAATGTTATCTTATTTGATGCATTATTTACATTGTTTTTAGTGTAAAGAAAGTGACATATGTCATAAAAAAAAAGGAGAAAGTCTAAAAGAAAAGGTTAGAGAAAAAGTTGCTAACATTCCTCAAAGATTATTGTATGTAGTTATGTAAATAATCTCCACTAAAAACACCCTATGGGTCTAAATTCAATCCAAAACTACCTAGTATTTCATGGGCCTTCATAGGTTCAAAGCTATATGATTAAAGAAATTACTGATCACTGTTTAGTGGGTTTTTCTGGAAACTGATATCTACCAAGTATCAGCACAGCCAACTTCAAGAGATTTTAAGCATGCACTTCACAAAAATGACCCAGTTCTACGTGTAAATAAGTTTATGTTGAGTTTGAAGGAGCTACAGTAAATGATAATAACCATTATCTTCCCAGAAGAAACAAATGGAAGGGGAAATACAACCATCAAATATAAACAGAAACAATACAAAGTAAACAAATGACTCTTCCAACTTATAATACAAATAAAAAATTTGTAACCTTCCCTACATTATCAACTTTTAAAATTACTGAGTCTCAATCACCAAATATCGTCGACGATAATTGCTTTCTGCCATCCACATAATAAGCCCCATTCAACAACTCTTTCAACATTCACAGCCAGTTGATCTTTGCTGCCTCCCTCCACCAGCAACATCAATTGTGTCAGGAAGGTATCTTCATCATCCACACACAAAAGCCAAAAGTGTTTAATTAGTAACCGCATCAAAAATTGGGTATTCCTACTGATTTAACATTCACATGATAGGGAAAAGAAAAATGGGAGAAGGGCAGCTTATAACAAGTTCATTAAATATAAAGGAGTCATTTGTTTCTGTTTGTGGCAATTGCTTTGTTTTACACTGTATCAACTTTAGGTTAAACCTAAAACCTGGTTTGAGAGAGGACTGGAACTGAAATCATAAGGACTACATTCAACCATATTTTTCTAATTTGCAGCTTTGATGTTCTACCGTATTTTCCAACATGAAATGAAATCATAAGCAACTTTTCATTTCTGACCGCACAGCCCACATTCTATTGGACAAGCAAAACTTGTGTAGGACCGTCATACCACGTCATCATGCTGATGTGGTGAGCCTAACCATTCAAAGGAAGCCATTCAAATGAAGAACTTCACTTTTTTCTAACAAATGACTTCCTTTGAGTGGTTAGACCCACTAAATCAGTACGATGACATCATATAACGGTCCCACACAAGCTTCTCTCTGGTTGGACAGTTTGCTGGTTCATTTATAATAGCTATGCAATCAAAACCAAACTATTCTGCAGTAATTTTTCAAGAAAGTAGCATCACTTTCATGATATGTGCAGTACCATCAATCTTGATCTGGCAGCTAATATTAAAGACCGTTCCACCCCATTTCAAGTTAAATTGGAGAGGACTGTGGTCCAAAAACAATAGAAATCATGGGCCCCAGCTGTCAAGAACAGTTTCCTGTTCTTCTTTCTCTCCCTTACTTCAAGATAAGCACTTCTACCTAAACTTTGTTTATCCCTGTTGACTTTTGTGATGGTAATCAGCTTCCCAATACGAATGCTAAGATCAGAACTATTGACCATGCCACCATGGACCAAAGAATTTGTTGGTCAAGTACAGAAGGATTGGATTATAATTCAATCCAAAACCATAGCATTCCAACATGCTTCCCAAGCTTTTGTTTGTGTTGACTGTTTGAGCTCCATTATTCATGCTTGTTATTAAGTCATCGAAACAAAATGATCTCTAGTCATTAATTAATTGGCCAAAGTAGGTTAAACAAAAAGGTAGCCTCCCTCCACACAAATTTCATCCCTCCATGGCGAGGGAATACCACTTGACTATAATTACTCATTATCAAAAGCAACTATAACCAAGAGGTACTTCTCCATATCAACTCATGGGATAAGAGTAAACAAGATAATTGCTATCCTTATTCTGTAGCTACCATCATCATTTGACAAAAAATAAATTGACTGATAACATAATTTTTTTTCCAAATACTTTAAATTGATCAACTATAGAATTGTCTTCACCTATTCAGATAATTATCTCAAATTATGGCCGCGCTATATAAGATATTTACTAAATCATGAATGAGGGACTAAATTCAATACTGAAAAGAAGAAATCCATGGCGAAAGGGGAGACTAGAGAATACTTACATCTCTTCTTCAGGTTCATTCTTCAGTGCATTTTTGGCTATACACTGGAAGGCATCATCCACATTAAAGCCCTCTTTTGCAGAGGTCTCAAAGTATGGTATGTTTCCCTTGGAAGCACACCAGGCCTTTGCTTTCTTTTCAGAAACCTACAGCCAAAAGAGTAAAACCACATGCACACACTATAAGAAAAGAACAGCTGCACATACATCCTACAACAACATAGAACCTCCATATTCTAGATGACATACCACTCGACTATTTCCACCATCAACATCAATCTTGTTCCCCAACACGACAAATGGGAAGTTTTCAGGGTCTGATGGACTGGCCTAAACATCAAATCCAGAAAATGTAACTTCAGTCAATGTTTCAATATGTGTGATTATCTAAGACGCCAATCTAATGGTAATTACCTGAATCAGAAATTCTTCCCTCCAGTTGTTAAGATTTTCAAATGATTTCATGACATTCACATCATACACAAGAACACAGCAATCTGCACCACGATAGAAAGCCACACCAAGACTTTGAAACCTCTCTTGCCCAGCAGTATCCCAAATCTGCAAAAATGAATAAAAGATGTAAACCTTCTAATTTACACGTTCATGAATCCCAAATGTTCTCTTACAAATTATTTCATGACATTCACATCAATACTTGCTTCATGTCACTTTGCACTACATGCTGCATGTTCTAGATAGGGGTGTCAATACTACAGAAGTAGGTAGATAATATCCCAAACATGAAGCAAATCAGTTTCTTTCCAGTATATGTTGTTTATGGAAACAAATAGTTTTTCAACTGCTAAAGCATAGATTTCATCTCCCATTCTTTCTTTTTCCATTATAATTAATTTCTTTTTATCTAGTACCTTAACGGCCATCACTGAACTTAAAGTGATCAACTGTCCATACAAATATCATAAGCTGTCCACTAAAGAAAACATTCTTGATCTTGAGAGAGCAAAAATTAAGTTAAATTTTCAACTTGGGATTTCTCCTCCCCTCGGTACATTAAATGAACCACACCAAATGAAAGCAACTACTTTTTGAACGAGAATTACAAAAGTAACAAATGGGGTTTTCAATAAGAAAGCAGAATATTTAAAAAGTCACAATCTAAGTGACAATGAGTTAACAACACCAAACCAATCAGACCACAGAGTTCGGGGTACCAATTATGATTGTTCAAATATTCATTGCATAACATGGATTTTGGCTTTTATTCAATAACATTCGTCAAATAATAAAACCACATGAACGCTCAGAGATCTCTCACCTGCAACGTGAACAACCTATCTTCAAACTGAACTTCCTTGGTCAGAAAATCGGCTCCAATTGTGGCCTTGTACTGATTACTAAACTTACGATTCACATACCTAAAATTCGAAAACATAATGAATTACCAAACCGACAAAAAATAAATCCAGAATTTGAAGAAAAATAAATGCATGATCTAGATTTTGGACGGTACTGATTCATCAGCGATGTCTTCCCCACCCTGCCAAATAAAAATTAAACAAAACATAGATCAGCATAGAAACACATTTTTAACATCAACAAATAAATGTCTAAATCCTGGCATTAATTACAAGCAAAATTGAACTATTAACCAAAAGAAATACAACAGCTTGTTTTATCCAATAAATCAGAATACATATAACTAGTTGACCAAAATTGTGAATTTTAATTTGTATAAGCAAGCAACGAGATTCAGAATTTTAATTCTTCGATTTGCAAATAAACAAACAATTATTAAGAAACTGATGAAGCTTACCCGCTGTCGCCGAGGATAATGACCTTCAGAAGCATGCGCCTACGAGAAGCCATGGATCAAAGGCGTAGAGAATTCAAATCAGGGTTTGCTTGCGCGACCAGAAAAACAAAAGGGAAATTTTTCGAACTTCGAATTTGGTGTTTGAAAGTTTTGAGAGAGAGGAGAGAGAGGATATTCTAGAGCGGGTATTGGTGTTGGGATGGGAGCAGAGCTAACCGAATAGTGACAGCCTGGACAAAATTGCACTGTTTCTGACTTTCTACTATACCAAAAGTACCCATACTTTTTGGTTGATTTTACACATGAAGTCTGGACTTTCTGAAAAATGAGAATATCCCATTTTTGTCACTCGAATCAATTCTGGAAACTTCGTTTTCTTTATTTGGAATTAATAAGACTTCCACATCTTTCGTCCACATCTTTACTTATTAGAACTAATGACTGAAATGATCCTTCAGTTATTGCTCCAGTATCATTTTGGTTTACCAACTAAAATATTCATTTGAACCGTTCTTCAACTTTTTATTTCGTATCAAGATGATCTTATAGTCAAAATCTGTCAATTTTATTGTTAAATTAAAGGGTAAAACTGTCCATATACAATTTATTTTTTATTTTTTATTTTTTTGTATCTATATGATTTTAAATTTTTTAATTAATTTAAACAATAGAGGAAAAAAATTATTAATTTTTAAGTCCATGTCGGCAAAAAAAAAGCCATGTTGGCAACAAAAAAAAAGCCACGTTGGTGGATTTTATATTTATATTTATTTGATTTTAATTTTTTTAATTAATTTAAACAATAGAGAATTTTTTTTGTATTAATTGTCAGGTCAATCTCACGAAGAAAAAAAAGTCATGTGGCTGGTGAGATTCAATTTTTTAAAATTTTCTAAGTTTTATAATAGTTTCCTTTAATTTTTAATTATAAATTACTATTTTAATTCATAGAGACATTTTTTACCCCTCAATTTAACAATAAAATTGACAGACTTTAACGGTAGGACCGTTTTGATACCAAATAAAAAGTTGAAGGACGGTTCAAATGAAAATTTTAGTTAGTTAACCAAAATGATACTGGGGCAATAGTTGGGGGACCATTTTAGTCATTAACCCTTATTATATGGTACAAAGAGAATAGGAAAAGTAAAATATATGGCGGAGAGAATAAACGGATAGGAGAATTCGCCAAATCAATTGAATTTTTATGAAGTAGATAATTCTAATTTCGTTTAAAATAAGGAAGGAGGACTCGAAATTTGAGTCTACATGGGTAGACTCACTATCCGACCCACTAGCATAACCCACGTTTGGAGTATGTTGAACTTTTACTTTTATTTTTATAAAGATTTGATTATAAAACCTTGTTATAGAACCAATTCACCCAAAAGAAAAACAAAATAAAATACTACCACTTAATATTTTTCTTATTTATTGACAAGCATAAATTACTTTTTCCTTTGGCAATTCATCCTATTTTAACAATCTGTACCTTGTATAATGGATGAGAGTTGGTGACTACAAGAAGACCCTGATTGGACGGCATCCTGGTCTCCAATAAAAGAGATGAAAATCGGACTTGGAGTTTATTTGATATACACATAAAAAATAAAAAATAAAAACTAAAAACAAATAACACATGTACAGATTCAACAAAATTTGAACACTAACCAACCGTTAACGTTAACAATGAAAAATCCACCATAATACATACATAATTATTCCTCCTAATTGTTCCTAACTTCAATATATATAAAAAGATTTCTTCATATGGACATTTCAATCAAACTCTTGGGAGGTATAGAAACACTCGAATTCTTCAAACGACTGAGCATGCGACTCCCACAAAAATCATTAATCTAGCTGAAAAATGTACATTTGATCTACCGAATGTACCATCAGAAGTGTTTTTTCATGAAAACGTGACACAGTATAGTGTGTGATTCTGGAAAGTTCGGAAGGATATCGGATGTAGAACAGGAGAAATTGGTTTTTCCAAGGTTTTGGGGGATCAGTTGTCAAGAGCTTTCACTCAAATTACGGGTGTTTTTCTTCGTTTTCCCAAGTTCAATCTCTTGGGAGGTTTGTTGGCCTTCACCACTAGAGGCAGATTGGTGCTGATCAAACTCACTGCTAGGCCCACTAATCCCACTAGTTCCTTGTTCTTGCTCTTGGCTTTCTAATGCTAGTTTTCTGAATTTCCGCAAGTCTTCCTTGTATTCACCAGTGTTGTAGTCTGAGCTTCCGTAGGAACTGTATATTGTACTGTGACCCGGTATAACTCCCTCATTTAACTCATCTGGAGAAAGATTTCCTTCCAAAGCTCGAACTACCTGCTTTTAATCAAAGATTAAGAACGAAATGCCACATACAGAACAATTTTTATATATATCAAAGTAAAAACACAAATCAGCATTGGACAGTCAAAATGGAATCAATGGATTTCGTAGGCATACTGACAATCTGAACAAATACAAGGTAATAGGAGAGATAAATGAAACGGAAAATCTGACTAAGAACGACCCCACACAATCTTACACAACTAGGTGGGTTCGAACTTTGAACTGTGTCTGTTTGGATTCACCAAACATGAAACAGATTAGATTGGTTCTGTTGGCAGGTTGTGCACTCTTTTACTCAATGAAACCAAACCAATCCTCTAACACGAGGGACTTCGGATTCAAACCTCCCACTGGAGATCAACAAGTGACAGCTGCTGTCGATTAGACCACCACTGTCACTTCTAGTCCCTTGAACTCTTCTCTTAAAAGCTGTGAGTGTTGAACAGAACTAAGATAGGTGTTGACTATGGTACAAATTTTATATTTCAGGGGTACTTTAGATAATCAACATGTTATTTAGGGTTGTATACGTGTAATCATGTATTGCTCAAGTTTTGTCGTTAAATAAGGTAACAAATTTTGTTCTCCACAAAGTTATCCACAACAATCCCACATCTCTCTGGGAGCACGGACCTGCTCTTAAGCCGTACTTAAAAATTACCTCATGACTACAGTAGTAAGTAAATAGCTCTACGAATGAATGGATCGGATCGAATTGGAAAATGGAAAACACTTTGCAATAAAGTTAACCATTGTTGGACTCTTGCTAAACAAGAAAATAAGGATCCACTTAAAGCACTTCTGTAGGGGGTTCTAAGTCCATACACATATAAAGACAACTGAATTATAACAATTCGGTTGCTAAAAACAAGACTATTAGACTTATTTTGACAGCTCAAACTAATTTCAGAACTTTGTAAAGATTACCTGGCTCATTCGTGGCCGACGTCGGCCAGAATGACGTACGCAAGCAGCAGCGCAAGCAAGCATACAAGCCATTTCACCAGTGTTGTAGTCATTCTGCAACCTTACATCAACAATAGCATCAAAGTTGCCTGTTTCCAATGCTTGTGCAAGCAAAGGCCTTGCCTGAAATTCAATAACATTGTCCATCATCTTTCCCATGCCATTCAAGCCTTGCAATGAATAAGATTTCATTACAATAGGTGAAAACAAAAACTGTTAGTCACACAGAAGACTTGTCCACTTCCCTAAACCAAAGAAATATCCCACAGAACTGTGTTTTTGTGTGTGTGTGTGTGTGAGAGAGAGAGAGAGAGAGAGAGATTACGCTCTGCATCTAAACAAAGGTGTGTGCTTTATAGTTCGTTCTCCACAAAAACATGATGGTAAAGTTCAGGTGCCACAATTAAACAGCTCTACTACAAGTACAACAAATTGATAAAATGCTAGAAATTAGTAGTGATGATATTGTCTACACACCCACTCAACCATGCTATCATCAGTGAAAGATTGAGTTTTATCAATTGGTTGGCGTCCAGTTATCAGCTCCAATAGAACAACCCCAAATGAGAAGACATCTGACTTCTCAGTGAGCTTTCCACTAGATGCATATTCAGGAGCTAAGTAACTGCATTTGGTAAATTTACAAACAAGCAAAAATGGAACTATATTAGCAAATCAACCATGATATCCCAAAAATAGATGGTTTTATTTTCACTCCACAAATAGACTTCATGGAACCAGTAAAGCTATGAGTAAATTAATACAGACAATTGATCTTACCCAAAAGTTCCCATGACCCTAGTGGAGACATGAGTATCTGTATCTAAAGAAACCTTGGCAAGTCCAAAATCTGCAACCTGAACAAAAATCAGATACAATACACAATACGAGTTAATTTTAGGAGCATTTCAAAACAAATTAAAAAACCATTCAAGAATTCCGACTTAAAGATGGAATTGCATGTTCAAATGCTAAGCAGTGCTGATTCGAATGTTTTAAGTTAAAGTTATCCAGATAGCCAGTCAATTCAACTACAATGCATTCCTTTAGTTTGCCATGGAGAATTGAAAAGGCAGGAAAAGGATCAAAATTTTGGTGAGGAACTTACAATACTATCCCTCATACATGAATGCGAATCTCCTTGTCTCTTTTTTTTTCCTCCATTTTAAGAAAAGAAAGTAGATATGACCAAAACAAACAAATCTACGGTAGTTATTTATTATCATATCATTCATCATGTCTTCGAATTTTACCGGTACCGGTTTGGAATTAGTGGTTAATTAAGAGATTAGGTAATGAACCATGAAGCTATTACAATGCTACCTTAATTAGGCTCAACTATCCAGGAAGAACATTGTAACTTTGATGCATTTGAAAGTTTAAAAAGAATCGTATCAAAATGGGGAAGCTATTACTATCTACCTTTGCCTCAAAGTTATGGTCAAGAAGAATATTAGATGCCTTGATGTCACGGTGTATGATCTTGGGCTGACCTGAGATATAGTTCAACAGTGGGTGACTTCCAAGGCAGATAACAATGACCAACAATTTTGCTTATGGTTAGCAACACAAAAAACTAGCGTGCAAAGAAGGCTTACAGTCCTCATGGAGATATGCCAATCCTTTTGCAGAGCCTAGGGCAATTTTCAATCTTGTTGGCCAATTCATAGTTGGCCTCCCCTTTCCTGCAATGATTTTCTTTGATAAGATTCCAATCATTGCTATGAAATGCAGAATAAAAACCAGATCCTAGCATAACCGTTCTTTTTCTTTCATTCCATTTTGGTGATTTTAGAAAGGCAGCAAACTATAACCAACGAAAAGACATACCATGCAGATGAAATTCCAAGGTATTGTTTGGAACGAACTCATAAATAAGCATCCTTTGGGCCCCGCTAATGCAGTATCCAACCAGTGAAACAAGATATCTGTGATGGACGCGACTAATGACCTCGATCTCTGCCTGGAATTCACGCTCCCCTTGTCCACTCCCAGCTTTCAGCTGCTTAATTGCAACCACTTTCCCATTTGGAAGGACTCCTTTATGGACATAACCAAATCCTCCTTGACCAAGGAGATTGGCATTGGAGAAACCATTTGTTGCCATCAGTAACTCTTCATATGTAAATGTGATTTGCGATGATCCAAGGGCAATGCCAGGAGATTGTCCTGAGGGTGGTTTCTCAGAGCTCAAGCTGCTACTGCTTGAAGATGGTGCTGGAAAATCAGTAGGATTTGAATATATTTCTACTTTGTCTGCCAGTGGAGGAGTATAATTTTGTTGCAAATGCTGAGGTTGGCCACTAAATTGATCATCTGGAGAAATCAAAGGACATAAATTGCACAAATTAATTAGGGGCAAAGACCAGATGTCTATAGACATTTCCATGCCATGAAACCCAGTGAATGAACTCAGAGGAAATAATTCAAGAAATCCATAACCAAATTCAAAAATTGCAAATTCAACTCACTCAATTCCAATGTGCAAACTTAAGCAGTGCACCCACATTCACTATATAATTAATATCAAAACTCAATAAACCAAAACTTCAAACTTCACATAAACAAAAGTTTCCAACCAAAAGAAAATTCGAGTTTTCAGATTTCAATTTTCGAACAACAAAAAAAGGAAGCTCACTTTTAGGTTCATGTGGATACTCATATGGCCTCCCTTGCTGCCGCCTCTTCCGTCTTCTGTAGAAAAAGAAGAAAATCGACACGAAAACTAGCATACTGAACCCTCCAATCCCAACCCCGACTATAATCGCAACATTCGTTTTCGTCGGCAAGGTCCCACTCCCCGGCGACGGCGGCGGCGGCGGCGGAGACTCGGTGGGCGCTGTGGGAGGGGGAGGGGGAGGTGTTGTGGCGTTGACCGGAGGAGAAGGAGTAGTAGGCGCTGGGGCGTTGGTCGCCGGAGGAGGTGGTGACGTGGCGTTAGTCACCGGAGGAAGAGGTGACGTAGAGTTGGTCGCCGGAGACGGCGCCGACATTTCCGGCGAGGTTCGAAGTTAGCCGAGGGATTGAAGCAATTCGCATTTTTTTTTTTTTTTTTTTTTTTTTTTTTTTTTTTGCGTTTGAAGAGAAGGTGTCTGAAAGTGAAATGAACAGTCACATGGGTGGTAGTTGGTGGAGAATGAAGGGAAGACTAACGCGGTGGGCCCCAAATCGAAAGAGACCGTTTATACTTCGTCTTTGGTACGTCAACTTTTCCTAACTGTTTGATTTTCTTTTTCTTTTTTTGGTCAGATTTGATTTTCTTTTTCTTTTTTCCTTTTTGATAACTTTTCTTACCAAAAATTAAGAAATAGACGTAGATTGTTTTCCTTGAAACTTGGAACGGATTGAGCCATTTACGTATCAAAATTCACTCTAATTTTATTCTGTTTCCCTGCCTGCTTAATTTAATTTTTTTCGTTGATAGGGGAATTGGAAATTAATTTGAACGCAAAAGGAAAGAAAGGTATTAACTAAAATCAATAGGATATATGAAATATTTCGAACAAAATAATACAAGTAATGTTGAAGGATGGAAAATCAGACACAAGGCATCATGTACAGAGATAAACTTTCTAAATATTTATGTATTGTCACCGATCGAAACGATGTCTTATTATGAAAAGAAGTGAATGATCCAATCTGCAATTATATAAAAACTAAATTCTATATTATTATGTGAAAATGTAAGTGCGTTTTACAATTAAATCATTTCGGTAACAAGGCCTCTAAATTCTTGTTAGGTGCAATGAGGATTGGTAATTAAGGACAATATAAATATAACAAAATGCGCTCATACCTTTGGGTTCATGTGGAGGCTCTCCGTGGAAAATCTCCACCACATCATGTCGTTTGCTTCTCTTCCTCCTATAGCAGACGATGAAAATCCACAAAGCCAGCACAAGTAGTATGAAACCTATCACACACCCCGCAATCACTCCAACCAAAGTTCCCGTCGATACTACTTTCCTTTTCCCCAAGGGCGATACCGGGTCGGTTACATTAGAAGGTATCCATGATGGCAATGGCGATGGCGATGGCAGAGATTCAGGTGGTGTTGCCAGGGCCAATTCATATTGAAATTCTGAAGGAGTTGGTGGGGAGAAATCTTGGTAGTACGAAAAAGGCGAATCCGCTGGTGATGACATGTTTAAATTGCTAGCTATTTTTTTCAGGAATCCTTGAACCTGTTTATAGAATTTTTAGCTTTCCTTCCTACCCTTCATAAGAAAACCAATAATCTTTGTCCCAATGAGTTGCCTTTTTAGAACAAACTCTTGTAACAGTAGAAGTTCTAGAGCCAGTATTAATAAACTCTCGGAAATAGTAAATGAAGAACAAATAGAATACGAAACTAGTAATGAAATTGACTATAAAGATTGGAATATCCCCAAAATCCCTAGTACAAAAATTTACAAGAAAAAATGGTCACTTTCAAGTTTCAAAAGTACAACCCATGTGAAAACAGTCGAACAAGTCTATGCCTTGAGTAAGGAACACGAAACATGTCAATTATTAAACCTTGAGTCAATAAAGAAACATAAGAGTGATGGAAACAATTTTCTTCACATGGGCCTCATTCAAGTAGCAGTCAAACCCCTTATTGGGTTAGGACTAAATGCCTCTATTTTACTTTTCCTACATGATGCCAAATTTACCAACTTTAGTGATAGTACCCTAGGAATAATAGAGTCAAGCTTGTTTAATGGTCCTAACTATAGTGGGATACATCAAAAAGGTATCGATGATGGCGGTGGCAGTGGCGGAGAGTCATATTGAAATTCAGGTGGTGTTGCCAGGGCCGATTCATATTGCTGGAGGAGTTGGAGGGGGGGAATCTTGGTGGTACGAAAAAGGCGAATCCGCTGGTGATGACATGTTTAGATTGTTAGCAATTTTTTTCATGAATCGTTGAACCTATTTATAGAATTTTTAGCTTTCCTTCCTACCCTTTGTAAGAAAACCAGTAATCTTTGTCCCAATGAGTCGCCTTTTTAGAACAAACTCTTGTAACAGTAGCAGTTCTAGAGCCAGTATTAGTAAACTCATGGGAATAGAATATGAAACTAGTAATGAAATTGACTATAAAGATTGGAATATCCCCAAAATCCCTAGTACATAAATTTACAAGAAAAAATGGTCACTTTCAAGTTTCAAAAGTACAACCCATGTGAAAACAGTCGAACAAGTCTATGCCTTAAGTAAGGAACACGAAACATGTCAATTATTAAACCTTGAGTCAATAAAGAAACATAAGAGTGATGGAAACAATTTCCTTCACATGGGCCTCGTTCAAGTAGCAGTCAAACCCCTTATCGGGTTAGGACTAAATGCCTCTATTTTACTTTTCCTACATGATGCCAAATTTACCAACTTAGTGATAGTACCCTAGGAATAATAGAGTCAAGCTTGTTTAATGGTCCTAACTATAGTGGGATACATCAGAAGGTATCGATGATGGCGGTGGCGGTGGCAGAGATTCATATTTAAATTTAGGTGTGTTGCCAGGGTCGATTCATATTGAAATTCTGGAGGAGTTGGAGGGGGGGAATCTTGGTAGTACGAAAAAGGCGAATCTGCTGGTGATGACATGTTTAGATTGCTAGCTATTTTTTTCATGAATCCTTGAACCTATTTATAGAATTTTTAGCTTTCCTTCCTACCCTTTGTAAGAAAACCAGTAATCTTTGTCCCAATGAGTCGCCTTTTTAGAACAAACTCTTGTAACAGTAGCAGTTCTAGAGCCAATATTAGTAAACTCCCGGAAATAAAATATGAAACTAGTAATGAAATTGACTATAAAGATTGGAATATCCCCAAAATCCCTAGTACATAAGACCATCTCCAACCATGTTAGGGCTAAACTCAAATTTTCACCCTCCAAAATACAACTATTCATGTATTTTTAGGACTCAAACTGTTTTTTCCTCCAACCTTGCGGACTCATAATTTGAGTCCGCAACTTTATTAAATTGTTTAAGAATGATTAACGCTTAAATTTTTTTTGTCATTAATTTTTCTTGACATTAATTTTGTTTCAACATTCGTGAATTAATTTTCTAAACATTTTAATCTAAAAAAATTAAAATTCCATGAACATAAAATTTTTTTTGGCTTGAAATTAAAATGAGAATGATTGTATAGTTTGAGAGTGGGATCTCATTTAGATAAATTACAAATATTATTTTAACCATTTGATTTTAATTTTGATAATTGGATCTTCTTTTTCTCGTTAAAAATCAAGTTGAAAAAAATATGGGCTGTTTATATCTATTTGAGAAAGCTTGAAAAATGACAAAAAGTTGGTTCCCATTGCTTTACACGTGGCCAGCTTTTAAAGGCTCCAAAAGATTATATAAAGAATTAAAAAAAGAACAAGTAGATGCATAATTGGTTTTCAAAGGGAGCTGTTGGATTCCAACGTCCCTTTGATGTGAGCCTTCCACGTGTCCAGCAAATTTGCTCTGTCTTGTCATTCCTTCACATGCTGCACAAGTTGGCTTCGACTTGGGGCCCACAGAAATTCCACCCGGACTGGAAAGTTGGGCCAAATTCCACCCAAGATTTCAGTCTGACCCAAATTACCACCCCTCATTATACATGGTTGGAGAAGGTTTTTGGGGCTATAATCCTAAAATTTGGGTTTGACCCTCATGGTTGGAGATGGTCTAAATTTACAAGAAAAAATGGTCACTTTCAAGTTTCAAAAGTACAACCCACGTGAAAACAGTTGAACAAGTCTATGCCTTGAGTAAAGAACACGAAACATGTCAATTATTAAACCTTGAGTCAATAAAGAAACATAAGAGTGATGGAAACAATTTCCTTCACATTGGCCTCGTTCAAGTAGCAGTCAAACCCCTTACCGGGTTAGGACTAAATGCCTCTATTTTACTTTGCCTACGTGATGCCAGATTTACCAACTTTAGTGATAGTACCATAGGAATAATAGAGTCAAGCTTGTTTAATGGTCCAATTCACTTTGACTGTTACCCATACTTCATAGTAAGCCTTAGTGATCCTCACATATTAAAAACTCTAACATTAAACATTAAAACTTCAGGGTATAAAGTCTTGCCAGGTACCCAACCTCTAGCTTTAGTCTACAGAATTTATTATAAAGTCACAGGAACTAATATGAATTTCCAAGCTCTTAATAAAATTCCAAATGACCAAACTAAGAAAAGTCATTGGTCAAAACAATACGACCCCCCCCCCCCCCCCCCACCCCCAAAAAAGCCTAAATATGACAAGATTTACAACTTGAAGTAAAAAAACTATCAAAAAGGAAATCGCTGAGTTGAAGCAATCCAACCGACAATTACAAAGTGATAATATTGACATTAAACAAGACTTAATCAATCTACTAGAAAAAATGGAACCTAACAACAAAGGTAAAAAACAGTTTGAAGATGAAGATGAACATTCAAGTACTGACAAAACCATTAATTTAATCAAACAATTAAGTTTCCAAAAATGGTATTCAAGAGTCAGCATTTATATCAACAACTTTGAACTAAAAACAATAGCCTTATTTGACCTCAGGAGCCGACCTTAATTGTATTCAAGAAGGATTAATTCCCACTAAATATTACATAAAATCAAAAGAATCCTTAGGAACAACCTCCGGTAAACCACTGCACCTCAAATATGAAATCCTTAAAGCCCATTTATGCCAAAATAAAATATGCTTTAAGACATCCTTTGTCTTAGTCAAAGGCATAACTGATGAAGTCATTCTAGGATTACCATTTATTGCCCTACTCTACCCTTTTAATGTAGAATACGCCAGAGTCACCTCAATCTATATGGGAGAAAAAGTTAAATTTGAATTTTTAACTAAGCCAGAATTACAAGTGTTAAAAGCTCTTCAAAAAAATGCAGTCTCTAAATCAGTCAAACTAATTCAAATTAAAAGCAAGCAAGTCAACTTAAAGAATAAATCAACTTCAATAGAATTGAACAACAACTTGCAAATAAAAACTTGCAACTACAAGTCAAAATTTTTGAAGAAAAGTTAAAACAAGAAGTTTGTTCCAACCTACCTAATGCCTTTTGGCATAGAAAACAACATGTAGTGAGTCTTCCTTATGTCAAAACCTTTAATGAGAAACATATTCCTACTAAAGCAAGACCAATCCAAATGAGTCAAGAAGTCATGGAATTTTGCAAAAAGGAAATTACATAACTACTTCAAAAAGGGATAATCCGTAAAAGCAAGTCACCTTGGTCCTGTCCAGCCTTTTATGTTCAGAAAAATGCTGAATTAGAAAGAGGGGCCCCAAGATTAGTCATCAACTATAAATCCCTTAAAAAGGCATTAGAATGGATTAGATATCCGATCCCCAATAAGAGAGATCTAATTAATAGATTAGATAAAGCAATCATTTTCTCTAAATTTGATATGAAAAGTGGATTTTGGCAAATTCAAATCCAAAAGTCAGATAAATATAAAACCGCTTTTGTAACCTCCTTTGGTCACTATGAATGGAATGTCATGCCTTTTGGTCTAAAAAATGCGCCTAGTGAATTCCATAATATAATGAATGAAATATTCAACCCTTTCAGTGATTTCTATATAGTTTATATTGATGATGTCCTTATTTTCTCCTAGTCAATAGAACAACATTGGAAACATCTGTATAAATTCCTTCAAATAGTCAAGAGAAATGGTTTAGTTATCTCAGCAAAAAAGATCAAGCTATTCCAAACCAATATTAGGTTTCTTAGTTTCAATATCTGTCAGTCACAAATCAGCCCAATTGATCAGGTCATCCAGTTTGCTGATAAGTTTCCAGATCAAATTCTTGCTAAAAGTCAACTTCAAAGGTTCCTAGGATCTCTTAATTATGTCTCTGATTTCTATCAAAATCTGCAAAAACAATGTAAACCCTTATTTGATAGACTCCAGAGTAATCCTCCTCCTTGGACTTCTGTTCATACAGAAATTGTTAAGCAAATCAAAATTCATGTCAAAACACTACCCTGTCTTGGTATTCCTTATGTCAATTCCTTCAAAATAGTCGAAACTGATGCCTCATAAAATGGTTATGGAGGTATCCTAAAACAAAAAGTCAACCCACACCAAACAGAGCAAATTGTTCGATTCCATTCTGGAATTTGGACATAGTCACAACGTAATTATAGT